TGCACCTAAATAGTAAGATAATGAATGCATTAATTGATGTAAATGAGTAGTGATGAACTGATACGCTCGATTAATGCAATCCCTTTTTTTCTGCTAATGTTCTGATTTGTAGTTTTTGTTGGTAATATTTTCCTTTTCACATAAAGAAAACATTATTTTCCACACTAATTTGGAAGAAATAGTAATTTGGAACATCTTCGAGATCCTTGTCTTTAAATGTGCACCCCAGATCAGAGCCAACACCACCATGACCGCTTTTTTTGGTCTTACTGTTCCTGTAAACATCTTGTCTTAGTTAAACATTTTAAGAGTTTTAAATGTCAAAATGTGTTAATGCAATGAGATCATTTGACGATAGAAGAATTGTCTAAGAAATTAGGCAAAAAGTAGATAATAGAATATTGTGATTTTTTTAGTTGTAATTTTTCTGCTTGGCATTGTGCCTGTCAGTTTGCAGCTTAAACCAAACCAGTGTGAGATCTGACACAATACAGTTATGCACTGCAGCTGTCTAGACTTAGCTGTCACTTTTATGCCACATTGTTTTTACATATATTCAATTTTACACTCAACATATTGCAAATAACAAACCAGTGAGAAGAGCACAAGCACAGCATTCCAAACCAAAATCCTTGAATTCCAGAAATAATGTGAAATAAAGAAAAACTGTTATCACTGTGGTAGAAAATTGTGTGTTCATGTGGGACCTCACTGTTCATAGAAAGACATTTAAGAAAATATGCTTTCAGGACTGCCAATAAGAATAGTGTCAAACTTACAATCCATGTATCCTTAGATTACCTATTATTTTCTTTCTTTCCTCTAACGCACCCATGCAGTGATAATCAGCCAGTATGTCAGTTGCCTTCCCTATCCGAAAGAACTGTAAAGCAGGTACCTTTTAAATCTGAGAATTAAACTACTATTTTAAATAATTAAGAAACAAAGTGAGACATTAAAAATGCTCAGTCATGCCGACAGAAAAAGTAAGTAATTCAATGTAATTGTGCAGCCGCAAAACTGAACATGCTCTTTAATTTTCAGTCTGGGCAGGCAGACTGCTGATCTATCGGTGGATTTCAGTGGCAAAATGAACTTGAAACAGTCAACAGTCGGTGAAGTCTTTATTTCCAAAGGAACAGCCCGGTTTCTGCTATCTCATTCTTTTATTCATTAAAGCGTGAAAAAACATGATTTAGTTCTCTGTTCAGATACACACCCGTACATGTTGTGTTGTCTGTGTGTATCTCTGGTGAACACTAGCTGATGCGCCTCTACAAAGTATGTGTAAACATCTGGAAATGTGGATGAATCCTAATGAAATATTAATGGATAATGAGTCTCACTTTGTTTTAGGACGTTTGGCTGCGATGATTGCTGTACTGCTGCATCTTTGCACATTCTGGTAATGCTGAAATCTCTGTTTTCTATCTACTTTGCATTAGTTGCATTAGTTTTTCTGTTTAGTATTTCCATGTTGAAGCTGTTGGTTTGAGAAAGCTTATTTTCTGGTAATTAACTTAATCCTTTACAGGGTTACAGGGGGCATCAAGCTATCCCAGCATACCATACTAAGAGACACAGTAGACAGACAACCTGTCTAGATTGATACTCACATTGGTACCGTTGAACAATTTAGACTCTCCACCCCACCTGTCTTCTATGCATTTTAAATACAGGAATAAAATATAGCATAGGAACACAGGAAAACATGCAAATCACCTCTGTTGACCAACTGCAGCGCAATTTCATAAAAGTTTTTTCTGATCTGATCTAATCTAGATGATTTAGATTATACATTATGGCTCTACGCGGGACACAAAATCTCTTCCACTGATAAATTGTGTGCTTTGCTGGTACAGTGCAGAGCTAATGTAAGCCATGACAGAAGTGTGCCTCTCACAGGTCAGTGACCCGGCTCCAGGCAATAAGAGCACAGCCCGTAGGCTATGCAGGGCAGCATGAGGTCTGCTGCAAAGTGGTAGAACTGCTTGTGCTCTCCTGATGATGCCGACATAGCTCACCAGGAGACTGATCCATGAGCCAAGCTCCTCCCTGACCCTGGTGAGAAAACCTGGGGTCCAGGCTGCGAGTCTGGTGGCTCTGTGAATCAGCGAAGAGACATTTATAACGCTGCACTGTCCAGATTAATTATAGTCTTCCTATAGATTTCACGCTTAATTTCAATTGGTGACATGTAACTTGTCATGCTGTTGTCTCCCTGCAGTCTTTAATTAGCTGGCTGGACAAGCCTGGTGGGAAGACTTTTCCAGCTTTAGTATGTGAGAGCTCTGGAGCTTTGGTGCTCCATATTGAGGAGTACTCTCCATGTCTCCATCTCTCAGCTTCTCTCCAGGGAGCAGAGTTAAAGATACCTTGCTCTGATGGTATCTTGGGAGGCCCAAGCTGGTCATTAATGGCTCAGACATGAGAAGGTTGATCCATGTTGAGGGCAGCCAACCAGAACAACGGTATAAAACATGTAGCTAGTGGAGGTTTACAGCTGCAATTATGGAACGTACTGACAAACAGGATACCCATAAAATCAGGGATAATAGGTACAGTACAAGGCAGTATAACATTTTTCACAAATATGTAGCCTGTAGATATTGCCATTCAATAAAACAAAATAATACTGGTCAGATATCTATTATATATCTTCCAAGCATAGCCCCCCAAATTAAGTGTATTTTGAGCAACTTGAAGCCAGCTTTCACTAATGATATGATTATAGTTCTGAATATAATAACATTTTAGATATTACAGTACACAAAGTTTACAGTTGTCAGCCACTATTTACACCAAGGCTACTGACAGGAACACTCTATTGACTGTGAGCAGTTTTCATCTGAAGCACATCAAATACATTCTGTCTCTTTGCCAGTGTTAGAGATTGAAAATAATTTGTTCCTCTGCAGAAGCTTTTGAGACAAGGTCAGAAGAACTTAAAAACAAGTTTCCAATAAGGGGTTACTTTGCTAGAATGGATTGATTGTGTTTACAGCAAAGCCTGAGAGAAGTCTAGAGAATAACTAATGCAGTCAGTGAGTAAGTCAAATAAAAAATCATTCATGTGTATTTACTTGTAGTTTTCACCTTTGTCAGATCAAATCAAATCCATAATATTGAAACACTGGCATACTTTGCCCTCTAATGAAAGCAAGGACGATATTTTCAACAGCAAATTCCTTTCTTTGCATACAAACCAAACCATAGAGGGCTTTTTAGATTGATCAGATTTGCACATATTCTCCACAGTCCATAAAAGCCCAGTGAAAATATATTTTCAACATAAAGGAATTGAAGTATTGCATTCAGGCCTGGCATTTGGTTCTAAATGCATTACTTGTACCACTAGAGGAGTTATTTGTATGCTTGTATGCCCCCCTTGGCAAGAAAAACAAGGTGACAACTAAAAATATGGATCCCAGAACAAGACAGGGAATTAAAGACCAACTTCACCTGTGAAACATTTTCTGGAGTAGAAACACACATTTTCAGGCAGAGAGTGGGGTGGCAAACTGGGTTTACTGCCTTTATTTTATAGGACATGTGAAGATAGACAGGAAAGGGGGAAGAGAGAGAGGGGGACAACATTTTTTTGGCTATATTAATCATTTTCCTCATAAGGATAAATGGACTCTTAATTGTCCATATATAATTTTTGGGTATAAAAATTAAATAGACAGAAACTTATAAGTGCTTTTAATCACAATACATGATAATATTGTTATTGTATGGCACCTGACTTGCTAAGCACACAACATGTAGTTACTACGATGTGATAAAACATCATAGAAATAATTTACCCATAACCTATGAGGAAATGAAGGTCATGTACTGAGTTTATACTGCAATTTTCAGATTCATTTAAGATGGTAATAGCCATTGGCTTCTCAATTGTACTCCAATGTACTGAACTCCAATTGTGTATTCAGCATTATTTAAATGTAAGCCCAGTGAAGTTCATGCAAATTATTTACACCCCAAAATTCATCATAATTAGCCTGCATTGTCCTACGATTAGCTCTCCCTACAATGGGAACAAATGACACCTCAGTCTCAAAGCTCTGTCCCCTACACCGCTACATTTTTAGACCTTACACACCTGGAAGACCACCCATGATTTATGTAGGCTATACACACACACACACACACACACACACACACACGCCAGTGTCTTAAATACATTGCTACACCTACTGAGGTTTTACTGTTCATGCTTAGTGTATTTCCACGTATTGTGCCACTATTAAAGGACCAATGTGTTTTTATTATTGTCAGGTGATTACACACTAATAAAGGCATACCTATGAATATTATATTCCATTTCTAGCAAATAGAAATGTTGCAAAATGCTATATACTGGAGCTTTGAAATACAAAGTCAGTCTAATGCTGTGACCCAGAAAACCTATTTGATGCACACCTTTAAACATATTCTTCATAAAGATTGTAAATGGGTCCAACATAGTCAATTTCCTGTAGTCCTTGAAAACCAAAGCGATCTACAATCTATTATGTTGTCCCTTGACAATTAGGTTGCAGTTGTTGGCATACCACACAGGAAATGTACTTGCATTGAAGTAGTTTCCTAGCAGCGCAATTTCCATAAAAAAACATTTCAGTGTAATGTGTCGCTGAAGGTTGCAGACTATGTTAAACTGATGTTACCGAGATACAAGACAAACCCGTTTGGGTGGGCTATCCGTCTGTTCGCTTAATCTATGGCAACGGACAGCCCGGCGTAACAAATCAATCCGTAGTTGAAGACCGGAAAAAGACTGGAAAAAAGCCACTTCCTAACTCATTTGATTGGAAAAGGTGTAGTCAGTAAAGGGAAATAGCATCGACTGATAATATCTTAGATTACCCTCTTCAGAGAACATTAAAATTCGCTAGATTTTCAGCACTGCACCGCCCAACATGTCATATTTAGAGACACACCGGATTAAGTAAACATACGCACCCCACTGCGCATTACGGACATGACGTCAACGCGCTGCAATTCAAACTTCAGGAAACGAAAGCGTCTGGTTAGAAAACGGTCTTGTTGTCACAAACAGACTCGTTTCAGGGGATACCTGCAGCTCTCTTTGCCCGTAAGTGTGGAATATTCAGTCCTTACCTGTTTGTTTTCACTGTATATAGTATCGACATAGAAAGCCTTCATTTAAGACGACGTAAGGTTAACGTTAGGTTATTAATAAAAGCTATGAACTAACTTAACCAAGCTAAAGACAGGTGCGAGCGTGACTGTAACGCTCGGCAGCTGTCAGTTTTATTACTGACACAAATGTTTAATAGATAATTCTGTTATATACCGAGAAACGACGGTGAAAAGGGAAAATAAATAAATGTAAAAGCACAACAAATGGTTATTTTAGTGACGAATATGTTTATTTTTCCATCGATTTACACTAATAAACCTGTAAAACCTATGGTATAGTATCATATTTAATGTTAATATTTAATAACAGGTCTGTATGCCACCATTTTTCTATTTCAGCTCTGATGTTTGGGGTGTGTGTGTGTGTGTGTGTGTGTGTGTGTGACTTTGCATTCAGTTTAATTATTTATTGTCCAAATGATTTCAGTCAAATTTGAAGCAAAATATCTGCTACTCCTACACAAGTCTGTGAAATGTCTTGTTTCCTCCATAGAGACCAGATTACTTCATCATCAACATCAACAACAACAACAACAACAACAACAACAAAAGCAGCCATGACATCTAAAGGTGCAAAGGAGACCATCGTTTCCAGGTTGGGTTTCAAGTCCAGCAGCTCTGGCTCCAAGGCTGAGGCGGAGCTGGACAAAGTCAGGAAGGAGAACGCTCACCTCAGGAGAAAGATTGATGAGCTGGCCAAACGACACATCAAACCACCCGACTCGGACAAAAGCAAGCTGCTGGAGGTAAAGAAAAGTGGGGGTTTTTTTGGGTGTATTGAGGATTTTCAGGGGAAACTTTAGTATCTCCTGTCTGTCTTGTGGTTGTTCGCTTCCTTTTTTGCATTTAAATGTGTATATGGTATCTCATATTGATTGTTTCAGAGGATACTTTCCCTTGAGACGCTGCGAGAGAGAAACAATCAGCAGCTGCTCGTTAAAGAGCAGGAACTGGAAACCCTGAGACAGCAGTTGACAGCTAGAGGAGGAGAGGTATGTATACATGACACATTTCTGCATAAATATATGGTTAAAAATCACTCCTAGAGTCGACCGGGCGGATGTATCCCTCTAGAACTCCTCTGTAAACATGCACACACACAGAAACAGATTCGGACACCCTGAGGCTGCTGTTTTCTGTCCAGGGTGAGGCGATAAACTTACAGCTGTGTCTTTTTTGAAAGAGACTCCTCAACTTGTGAACATTTGTTGCACTTTTGGCTTTGTATTGGCGGCATATGTAGTGCTGGCAGCAGACAACTGTCAGAGAGGAGGGAAAAAAATAAAAAAATACTAGAATTCCTCTGAGCTGTCACGAACACAGTTGGGGGGAAATAGCTTCTATCCCATTTTGACAGCAGCTCAGCTAAGTGACGTTTAGACAGCCAGCAAAAACTGCATACTAACACATGGTGTGTGTGTGTGTGCTGTTCACTTGATATTTATAAACCAACCATATTTCGCTGTAGTGGGTCTGCGTATGTATTAGCATTCATACCCTTTTACTGTTTATGACACTGCTGGAGAAACTGATGCTATCTGTTTGAGGTTCTTATCCTCATAAAAATCTCTTTTTCTATTGTTGCGGAAATCGTTTTCTAATTTAGGCTAGTCAGAATGGCATCCAGCTAAAACTTGGAAATGGCACGCTGGTAAATGGAACATCAGCTATTTGACATTGTGAATGTGTAATGTGATTTAATCACACTTGCCTCTTCCTCATTAACTTTCATCAGCAAAAGCGCTAAAACCAGAGCCGCTTGGTGGGCAATGCCAGCAGACTGCCAGCTATGTAATGTCATTTGTGCGAAGCTGATAATTGCTTGGAGAAGAGCAAATATCTTCAGCAAACTGTCTCTAAGTAAACAAAGGTTTAAAAAAAAAAAAAAGAATGTATCAGGCTGACATGGTTTGTTCATTTCATTTTTTGGTGTATTTCAGGTGGTGGCGTCGCTGCAGGCCCAGCTGGAGCACCGGAGGAAGGAGGGTGAGCAGAGAGACACGCTGTTCCAGAACTTGTCACAGGAGACCGAGAACCTGAAAAACCAGCTGGTCACTGTTTCTACCCGGTGCCAGTCGCTGGAAACACAGGCGGTGGTAGGTTGACCAACTTACAGCCTCTGTACCTGTCTAGAACCTCTCATTAGTTAGAAAAGATGGCAGTGCCATTAAAGTTTGTCTCCTCTTCCACGCAAGCAATTATCTTGTCGGGAATCTCTTGTGGTAATGTTGTCGGCTTTAAAATGTGTCTGACTAACTACTTTGCCCGCTCAGAAGTTTTAATGGTATGACGTTGATAATTACAGTGCTTTTTCAGTAACCTTTTTTAAGTCATCTTTAGTTATTGATGTCTAGCCCAAGGATATTATTTATTTATTTTTATTCTAGATTGTTAGTAACGAAACTGTGAAGAAATGGGAAAGAAATGAAGGTGTTTATTAGGGTTTCCTGAGGAAAAAGTTACAGTTTAGTTTTGTCTCATAAAAGTTGGATGAATGGATTTATCCTTTTCTCTGACAGCATATTTTTCTCCCCTGGCCTAGGATTAAATCCTGCAACAGCTTTGCGTCCTCTGTCTCCCGTTCTAATATCCTCTATCTTTTTTTTTCTTTCTTATCTATATAGCTGATGCAGTAGAATATATATATTTTTGTTGGATTATAATATTTTTCACAAATCAAATTCCATTTTAGTGCAGCGATAACTGACTTGAGCTCCAGCAACACAAACATCTGACTTACAGAAATGTGCTTTTAAAGTAAGAAATAAATCAATAACTTCATCAAAATCGGTGAGACATTTGCCTCTGCTAAGGTTTTTGAATCCTCGTGGCACCTGTAAGTGGGTTTAAATCATGTTTATCGAGCGTTTCAACAGAAACAATTTTTCAATGTCTCTGCTGCATGAAAGGAGACTTGTTTGGCAGTTCTTCCTCTGTCCACTGGGTGGCATTGTGTGACCTCTGATTCTTTCCCTCAGCTTCTGACATGAACTCCTCTGTGGAGCAGCCTCATTAATTTGTTATGATCAGGTGCAAGTGATAAAAGTCACTCAAATTGAAACATTGTAACTATAAACACAGACATCACAATAACGCATCACTTGCAGTAGTTGGGATAAAACAACGTGTCCACATGACACTTGCAATATCATCATCAGAATCATCAGCGCAAGAAAAAGAGCCTTTGGTAAATCCGTGGTTGCCACTCAGTTCCCTCACAATCATAGGCTCATTCCTAATCAAAAGGCAGCACTGATTTGCGGTCAGCCCTTTGATGCTTTGAGCACAGCAGGCCCTCGCTACACCCTTAGAGAGCGGTCATCACGATTCTCCTTGGCTTCTGGAGAGGCTTAGGCGGCAAAATCACAAGAAAGGGCTTCAGCACGAAGATCCTGAAATCCTGAAAATACACCAAATTCGTCTGTTTTTTGTTTTTTTTCTTCATCCAGTTTTTCCAAGAGCTATAGTTATACACGTGTCCTGATTTCTCTTCTATCTTAATCAAACTTCAAAACCAATTAGGGTGAAGGACTCCCCGGGCATCAGCCAAAATAAAGCATAAAGTGTGTCTTGTTTACTCTAAAGGCATATGTTTTTTTAATGTACAAACGTTAGATGCTGCACCTTATTAAAAGCTCTTATTATAATCCAGATCTAATCTCCCCAGGTGCTTTAAAATGAGTCAGTCTGCTGCATGCCTAATGTTGACACAAAAACGCCAATAGAACAGGAGAGAAAGTAGGGACTTGTACAGGAAAGATGATGATGCAGTTTTTTAATGTTCGCTTGTTTTTGTTCCTCATAAAGGTCACCAAAAAGCTGGAAATACTGTCTTGAATCTAAATGTTCTCTGGTTATTTGCATAAATCCTGCTTTGGTTTTAAAAGTCACTACTTTTTGACTCAAGGTTGGGAAGTATTAAAATGCAGAATATGTGTACAGATGAATACTGGTACTTGTAGACATATAGTCCTTTTTGAAATCAGTGTCTTTCAATTGCCACTGCAGGTGGATTTCCTTATCTTTAATGTGCTAATGGTAATTTTCCAGGAATTCTCTCCACTGTCCAAGGCCACGGCTTAGCTCCCTTTTGCGTTTACGAGAAATAATCTGACCAACAGCCCCTTCTCCCACCCTTTATCCTCGTCCTTAGGTTTAGCTTATGGGACATGAGTTTAATTCCATCTGGAAAAAGTTGACAAGCTCATGCTGCGTGTCTGGTAGTGTAAGAGCTCACACAGCCTTAGCACAGAGATGATCGTTTAAATGCTTTTGTGCTTAGACGTTGGATGGGATCAGACGTGTTAACCTCAGGGCAAGGGTGACAGAATTATGAGATGACTGACAGTCCTCTAGGGACAGATGTCGAGGAATTAGCCCTACGGATGTTGTCCTGGGTCACATGGCCGAGTCTCTGAAAAAGTTAGAGCATAGATTGATCACTTGCTCCAGTGTTTTGTTTTTTTCTTGCATTATTAAAACTTGTATAGATGAATCATTTAAACCAGCAACACTACGAGTGATTTTCGGCCTGTGGCAAACCTACTGTTTTGCTGTCTGTCGAGATTTTGCACAGAACAACAAACACAAACAACATGAGTTCTTCAAAAGGACCGGGTCTATCATTTTCTTTTAGAACAACTTTATTTGTCTTGGACTGAGGTCAAACAAGTCCTGAATTCTGTTCTATTTGACCAAAAGCCTTTGGTTCTGTCTGTCTTTTCACTTAAATGATCTTTAAAGTCACCTCCACCACAGCACTGTGTCTAGAATAACTAAAGTAAGAGTATAATAACAGAGAAGGCACAGTGCTAGAGGGCTGTGCTCACTGCTCTCTGGTGCATAACACATAGATTTTTTATTATTATTAAGACTTGCTCATTTAATCCAGTCTGTTTGTTCCATTTACAGACCAGTGTAACTGAAAATTTTATTTTATTCCGTGACAACCAGAGCTTCTAGAAGTGTTGATGTAAACACTGTATATATCAGAGTTGGGTTTATATGAAAACATTGCTTTTCTCTCTACAGAACGGACAGGTACCTCCTGCAGACTTGGCTTTGGTACAAGATCAACTGAGAGACGTGAGTCCAGTCAATGATTTACTGTGTGCTGTTTGTAATTTAAAGTACAGACAGACCTTATGTTTAAAGCAATGGTTTTTGTACCATAGCTCTGTAACTGCCATTACAAACGCCATTGCCATTACACAACCTTTTCTGCAATTCATCACTCAGTATTTCCAAAATATCTACAACCCATTTTTATCAACATCAACAAAGGACACACTAGGCAGTTTTTGGATAGAACAAAACATTTTGATTATTTTGTATGAGTGAAAGCATAGTCTCTTTTTTTTTTCTTCTAGTTTTGATGAAAACCTTGTCACAGAACTGCTCCCTGAGGAGACACAACGTGATTTTCTCTTGTTTTTTCCCCCGCCTTGAGTGTTGAGCTCAAATGTTCAAATTCTGAGAATACAGTACATCAGTGTAGGGCTTGTGCATCTCACCACCAGGCTCTTGAGAAGAACCAGCAGTGGCTAATGTACGATCAGCAGAGAGAGGCCTACGTCCAGTCCGTCCTTGCACGCACACTGGAGCTGGAGCAGCAACTGGCCCAGGCGAAGCAGCAACAAACCAAACATGAGGCCAGTTTAGATGGTGGGTACATGAAATGTTAAAATAATTAAAATGAACCTCCCAAAACACTTTCTTTTGTGCTCTGATACATATAGAATGGAATGTGAAAAGAGGAAATTATGCCGTTTGATTTAGATATTAGCTTTTTAGCCACAACATTAAACATTAAAAAAGGCAACTGACGAATTCAAAATGTTTAATAGAAGCACTAAAGCCTTGACAATTAAACTTTCTACAAATCTTAGACAATGCTTTGTACCAAATAATTTCAATGAATAGCTTTAAATTAGCTTCTTAATTTTCTTACTGACACTTTGTATCTCAGCTCCTGCCAGCTCAGCCGCTCCAGAAAAGGAGGTTCAACTGAAGTACCACTATGACCAGTTGCTGTTGGGGGTAAAGAAAGACTTGGAGAGCCAGAAAGATCAGGCCGCCAGAGCTCAACAGGAGCTCAGTGTGCAGAAGGAACAGGTAAATGCTGTAGCATTTCATTTAATTAATATTTACTCATTTCGACCTTTCTGGGTCTGAGGCTTCCTGTTTCGGGCTCCCCAATTCATTTTTATGTTCTACCTTTTGTGCCTTGCAATCACCATATCAAACTATGTACACATTCATTAACATTCACTTTGTTCAAATGTTTGTGTTAGTGCTAAAACTGCATGCCACTGAACCAATGGCATTCAATTTCTACATTTAGGCATCTTTATAATTAATTTGTAGGACACTTGTCTTATTTGTAGAAGAAATTAGTAGACAAATAGTGTAAACTACTCTGAAATGTGGTATTTTTCTATGGCTCCACAGACCTTAAACGCTCAGGCTGAGCTGAAGTCTCAGAAGGAGCAGGTCAGCAGGCTCCAGGAGGAGATGTCGGCACTGCAGAGGAGCTATGAGGACAAGTGCGGCGAGCTGTCATCTTTTCTGAGGAAGTACAAAGAGAGGAGCCACGAGCTGGAGGAGGCCAAGATGCAGCTCCAGGCGGAGCGACACAGCAACAGGTAAAGCAAGTCTGCTCTTGTTGTCGAAATCAAACAGCGGCGGCTCTCAGAGCAACTCGGTTCATGTTTACACGGTAAATCCAACTGATGTAAAGAAACTGCAACGGTTTGGTAAAGACCAGACTACAGCCAAAAAAATACTAAAAAATAGTCTTTTTGAATGCACTAACAAAAACTGCAGTTCATCAGTTTCAAACTAGTGTTTTTTCACTGCTCAAGTACGATATAAGCAAACGGGAATATTCTTAATAATTATGTGGATTACATAAACATTGCACCCAGGCATGAAGTGTGTGAGGAGAGAAAGGTGTCGTCCGAGCGGGCAGACAGGATGAGAGTGGAACTGGAGAGTATGGACATCAGATTGGAGGAGGAGAGGAAGAGATCTGCTGAACTTCTACTGCAGGTAAGACTCGCATTCAACGTCACGTTACCTGTACTCACTTTTCACTTGCTCATTTATGACAGTATCCACTCATTATATCAAAGCACTCATGCATGAAAGAACGTCCGTGTTTAAAGGGTGGAAAATATAATCCATCACCAGTTCAATCAATAAAATGCAACACTCAACAGATTTGTAGTAGAAGTAGAACTTTTCCAGGTTTATTTGAATGGGAAAAGGATTTCAGCATAGCATTGTGTGTTATTGATCATTTGGCCTTCACAGGTAAATATGCTGCAGAAGTCTCTTCTGAGCCAAAATGAAGAACAGAGGAGAATCGCAGCACTGGAGCAACAGGTAACACTACAGACAAATGGTCCAGCAGTTCCAGCTCACACAAGCAAAAATATGTATAAAATGGTGGAAAATCCTCATCCCAACTACAAGTGCATTCTGGTTGTGTTGTGTGAAGCGAGGATTCAAAGCGAATGATTGCTGAATACTGATTGCAGTTCAAATGTTTACTGCCCTGTTCTGTAGTGTGTGTGTGTGTGTGTGTGTGTGTGTGTGTAGCACATAGAGTTGTGACTATTATTTCTCAAAAGTAGAAATCCATACTGATCCACTTGTGCAATTTAAGTACATAGAGTTCTTGGCTCTCTCCCTCTCATATATTTCTACCCCTCCTAAGATCCAGCTGTCTGCCAAGGACTCCGAGAATGAAAAGATTGATCGTCAGAGCATGCAGCACCAGTTACATAAGGTGCTGAAGGAGCTCCGCAAGGCCCGAGATCAGATTGCTAAACTGGAGTCTGCTGTAAGTGTTACTGCACACCATCACCACATGTTCAGAAGTACAGCTTCAATCTGTTAAATCATACACAGTAAAAAAAAATATTCTCTGGGTTTCAGAAACAGCCAAACGCCCGTTTTTCAGAGCCCAGCTCTTACAACAGCCTTGAGTTTGAGCGTCTCACTATCGATGACCCTCGAGGTCCCGCATCTCCGTCCAAAGTTGCCAACCTCCTGGACGAGAGTTTCCTGGAGTGCCCTAAGTGTCGGGTCCCCTATCCCACCAGCCGCCACAGGGAGCTCCTGGCACACATCGACTACTGCTTTGCCTGAGTAAGAAGAGAGTCTAGATCAGTGGTTCCCAGTAAGGGTGTCAGGACCCCTCCTCACCCAAGCAAGATAGCAACAAGACAAAAAAAAATTAAGCTTCATGCTATCTATACTTCTTTCTTTTTTTTTTTTTTTTTACCCTCTACAGACCTGAAATTTGAGGTTATATTTAGTTAACCTGGCCATACTGACAAGCAGTGTGTGAGAATGGGTAACAAGCTTCCTTTTTAATGGGTCACAAATCAAAAAGTTTGGGAACTACTGGACTAGATCATAAGTTCGATTCAGGAAACTTAACCCCCTGCATCGTACATATGCTAAACACCTGTCCTTGGTTCGAAGGAAAATCTGAATTCCATGCTCAGCCAGTATGCGATAATTTGAAAAACAACTCTGATTCCACAAACAGAGCACTCTTGTCAGCAACAGAGCTGAGTAAACGATATTTTTAAACTCATCTGGAAGGCTACCAACTAATTCTTTGTTTCAGTTCCCAGAGCTGATTAAAGATGCATAGTGGCTGAGATCTCATGCAAGATGATTAGTTTGAAATACTACTCCTGCTGTCATAATGATCAGTGGATACAGATTTGTGATACATTAAATAAACACGATTGGTTGTGCAATTCCCACAAATATTTCATTACTGCAGTAGGCTGTGGCGAGTTCTTGTTTTGTCTTCACTCCAAGAGATATTCAAATGGTTATTTTGCCCCCTTATTTTAGTTCTTTTTGTATGGGAATCAAGGGACATTATTAAAATGCTGCATATTTCATCTTCAAATCCCCCTTAAAACTATTTAAAAGTCTGTTTAATGCTAATTGACCATTTAAAGAAATGTACTGCAGTTATTTTTGCTCTTAGAATACCATCAGGCCAAAGATGGATCTGATCATTTACTAGAAAAGATCATATTCCTTCCATGTGTTTATTTCTGCGGTCTTCCTGCTTCATTTGTTTGAGTTGTATTTTTCAGTTTTTCTTGTTATGAAGCTCTTAGAGAATTCTTTATTTCTGTGTGCATTTGATGAAATTATTTATTCTTGGGTCTTTTTTTTTATAAGCGAGCTACTGCCTTTTTTATTTTCCTTCAGTAAATGTTAAGAATAATAATTGTTTTACTATTAAATGTTCTACATTTATGATGGCCTTTTTTGTATCATCATGGGACCTTTTTATTGTATTTTGTATAAAAGTTTACAAACCTGCCTCATGTTCCACACTGTTCCTCCACTCCTAGATTGAGTAATTATTACCTTTTTGGTGTTTTTGTATACTATTGAAGGCATATTTGCATTGTTCTGACCCCTGAGCAGCAATGCTGAGTTGCAATTTTGACAGTATTGAGGCAAAGGACAAAATAATAGGGAAACATATTTCTATGTTCCAGCTTTTTTGCTTTCTTGGCTACATTCAGTAGTCATAATTATGGGGGGAAAAAACATTTAACTAGCCTGCCGTGTGTTGTTGCCTTTTAAATTCCTAGTGGTTGTTCTTCCATTACCAAGTGTAGCAGTGTTTCTCTGTCTGCATGTTGCAAACAAACCTTGTTGAATCATGTGACTGTAACCATGACCAAGATCTTTCGGTAACCTCAAACACAGTTTTATTTGCCTAACAAGAACATACTTTCTTCCTGGAGCTTAACTGGTCACATGGTGCCAGGTTTTCTATTTATTCTCCCCTGTTTAAATGAAGCTCAATTCCATCTGCACCTTGACTTTTCAAGTCTGCAGCCCTATGAGGCTGGAATGAGATTGCATGAGTTAATTCCTTGTACTAAACTATTTAAGGCAGGAGATTAGTGAAGGTCCTCTCGGTAAGGGAAAAGGGTTATGGTGTCTTTATTCCTGCAGCCTTGGCAATGTGACTAGATAGACTTAAGACAAACACTGCTACACTGTCATCTTTCGGATAGTTGTTTGTGTCTTTTAAAAATGCAATCCAAGAATGATTTTTTTTGCTGTGTTTTTAGTTATCTTTGTTTTATTCTAATCATGTGCTCCAAAGTTGTTTTGCCATGCACTGTACTGTACAAATATGTGCAATAAAGATGTAAATCTTCCAACGCACCTGTCTTTTGTGTACTTTGTCACATCGGACCATATTTCATGACTTTGACATTGTACCCAAAGATTTACTCAAATGTAATACAGTGTGTCCAAAATTCTAATTTATCTTTTTATTCCTTAAAGTGTAGTTTTCATGGCCTTGCTGTTACTGATGATCCACAGTGGAAAAGTGAGAGCTGAGATAAGTGAGGATGTTGTTCACTCAGCTGTACTTTGATACTGCAAAGGATTAGGCATCATCAGTGTATTCTATTCTCTATTGAGCTGATGTAACACATTCTGATGTTTCACTCTATAATTGATTTTCAGCGTTATCTCCAAACTAACTAGGTATTCATGTAGAAAACATTTAGTCAATCTTTATAATCCCTTGTGACCCATTAGATTTTGTGATGCTAGTGGATCAGCTATGAAAAATACAAGAGTCGGTGGTGCTTTGAGTTAAATGCTAATGTCAGCTTGCTAATGTTCTGTTGTTTAGCTGGTTTAATGTTTGCCATGTTCATTGTCTTAGTTGGCCTGCTAACATAAGGCATAAACATAATGTGCATCTGAGGTTGATGGCAATTAGTGTTGCAGCTACTGCACAAATTTAAGTGTAGACATGATAATGCTTACTGTACATGAAAAGTCCCCCTCCCCTCAAATATTTATTTTCTTCTTGTTCCTGCAGTTGGATGTTTGAGCTTCACTGTGCAGACGATGTATGTACATACAGAGTTTGACACTAAGACACTAAATCATCTGCCGAAGGTGCAAAGTTTCTGTGCTCACTGAAAATTTAATTTTAAGTGGCGGGTCTATGACCATGATTTGGTTCAGTATGCAACTTAAACAAGTGTGATAAAGAACCTTGGAGCAACCAGTGCGCACACACTGAGAATGGACTTTATAGTGAAGTAGGAGACATCTTGTGTCTAGCAGGAAAACTTAAAAAAATTAACAAAACTTGCATATTCATAGACTCTGACATGTTTAATCAGGCAGAATGAGTAAATGCCTTTTTAAGGATTTTAACAGGGAAATTATACTTTTACTTAACATATCAGATGCGCATTATTCTTCCAAGCAGAGTATTTTTATATGCTGTAATACATGTCTAGAGGGTATCTTTAAGAAATCAGCTGATTGCAATTCATCCTGAGGCCCACATTAATGTCTGTACCTATTTAATAAATTCAATGAAAATCACAAAGTCATGGACACACTAGAGGAAAACAGGGGTCAGTAAAGTCGAAATTCATGACAATCCGCCCCAACAGTTATTAAGACATTTCACTAAAAGCCAAACGTCAACCTGATGGGTGGGACTAGGGGTAAAGTTTATATATCCAGTAGTGGTAGCTGTTTGACCATAAATGCATCACACCTTCCTGCATGCTCATGCCCTTTTTTATTTATTTTCTTGCTTCTGTCCCTCAAACAGAGTTGCAATAGAAAAATATTTTAAGGTTATCAAAAATTGAATGAGCCAGAACAGTATGAATGTTTTATTTCAAAAACTGAATCAAGAAGTATACATCATACAATCAAGAAACAACCAAACTACTGTGCCTATGAAGCACATGGCTCAATATGTATGTAGTAAGGGTTATTAACAATACCTGCTTTTGTGCTACACGATACTATAAGTCCTTCAGTGTTAAAGCAAAGCCAGTGACTTGTGAACCTGTTTTTTTTTTTTTTTTAGTAAACATGGTGGTTATACTCCGGAACTGCGGTAAGGCTGAGAGTTCAGCTTCACATTGAAAAAAAGATTTTAACAACGGATTATTTGTCACATTGGCCTGAAAAGTTGCAAAAGTTGTTTTTCAGTGATATGTCTTGTCAGTTTTTGCTGGTTTCCATAAAGAAAGTTGTTTTGCTCTACTCTGAAGATCCAATACAAAAAACAACATTTGACACATGTTGAGGATAAAATGTTAAAAGGCCCAGAATGTCCTTTACTTTTGGTGACAACAGACCAACATCAACAGCCATCTTTCCTTTCTATGTACAGTAGAGTCATGTGAATGTGACATTTTTATAGTTCGCAATTCTTTAGTTTATTTTTAAAGAAGAATGGACCACTTTCTCTGTTAGAACAAAGACAGTAGAGGAGAGGGACCTCTGGTGGGATTCAGTCCAAGACCAGCAGAGAGGCACAAAGTCCCAGAAGGGGGATGTTTTAAGTTCACTGAGGATCAACAGATAAATTGGTCTCACAGAAGCCTGCAGCAGAAAGAAGGGAAAAAAATTGCTTACTACAACATACCGTATGAGCATGAAAACACAAACATGTCATGCAAAATTCCTAAATTGTAATGTCTTAAAAATATGATAAAAGTCCAAATCTACAAGAGCTGTTATAATACTGCAGGTATCATTATCAGGTTAGACAGTGATCACAAAGTCTTACACAACTTAGCTCAATCATTCACTTGCTCTCTTTACCTTATTGAATGGCACTGACTCACAAAAGGCGTGGATCAATAAATCAGTGCATAAACAAACGGGCACTTCGCTGAACTCACCCGTGTGTGAAATGCGTCTGTATTTGCCCAGAAGGCAGACCTCCATCTTCTTCTGGGTGACAATGCGCTGGTCCTCCGCTCTCAGACCGGTTGGATGACGGGAGAATATGAAGGAATAGCTGTCTAAGCAGGTGCCGTCGGAGTCTAGTAGTCTGCAGGAGTAGTGGACGGCGTAGTTATCGTAGTCCGTGTCGATCACCCAGTGGTCATCGTCTGAGAGAAGGGAGAGTGTAATAATGGGGAGGGACCATTTAGACCTTTCACAAACTTGCATGGCAAGTATGAGGCTGAAGAAAGGTATCCTACACATGAACAATTGACATTTCACAAGCACTTTATGTCTCAGAGTTGCATTTATGTTGTATGTATATGGCAGCTTTTTTTGTTCACAAGATAAATAAGATTTCAGTTAAAATTGTGGTAAATTTCCATTTAACTTTACTGTCCTTTAAGCAACCATATGGATATATGGACTACAAAAATGTGCCCTTGCACAAGCATTTTTAGCTAACTCACACATTATCCATCACTGTATTCAAAACTCCAGACTTTGTGCTTGGAAAAAAAGTGATTATCTCTCTTTCACATTGATTATTTCCTGATGAAAATGGAGTTGGAGCACTCTGTCCACAATTTATACAAAGACAATGCTGGGAGTTACTTGATTGCACAATCAAGTCAGCAGCTGATGCAATACCATGGATGGGTATTACGGGTAATACTAAAGTGACCACAGTTTGGGTCAGGGTCACAGAGAACCAAGCGTTGCCATTGATGATTCAATTAACTCAACAACTGTCTGAAAGTCAACATAATATCAACGACTCCCAAGTGAAAATGTCACACATTAATCCATTAAACATGTGCTGACGAGCCCAGACACAAACAAATTCAAGTCAGAAATTTAAGTCTTATTAGTGTTCAGGTGAAAATGTTCTACAACTTACTTCCTGTCTGCAGGTAGGATGCGACTCCCCAGTACTTCATTCTGAACTTGGCAGGGTCAGGGGTTTCCTCAAAGGTGGCCAACATGTCAGCACACATTTCCCAGTTGCTAGAGGCCAAAGAGAGAGTAGGACATAACTGAAGATGTGAGGCAAAATGGAGGCGATACAGGGGAGAGAAAGCATACTGATTTAACCGTATTAAAAACTTAACAGTAAATAACAGAACTCACTTGAGGATGATGACTCTGCCCCTAGCACTGGCAGTCATTTTGCCATCTTCTCCGACAATAAACGTGGCCTTGATGTTGTCAAGTAAGAACAAACCCTCTGGGTCCTTCTTAGCTACAGCATACCATGTACCTGCATACTACAAGAAAGAAATCTATGCATAAGTCCACTTTACAACTCAATTTAAAAGTTAAAGCACAAAATATTCCAAGTGAAAGCAGGGATACAAAAATAAATGTAGCAAACCATGGACCTACAGTCTAATTTGTATTAGACAAAGTACAACTCTAACAAAAAATTATAATAATAAAAAGCAGATATGATTATAGAACCTAGTAATTCTTATTATACTTTCAACTCACCCTGGCCCTGTCAAAGTTTGGCACAACCTGGATGTTGGCCACCTGGCAGTCCTGTCCCCAGGCCAAAGCCAGAAGGCAGAGGGCCACAACGTACCGCAGCATTCTACTTCAAAAGAAGAAAAAAAAAGGCAGAAAGAACAGAAAGGTTGGAAGGAAAAGTTTGAGAGACGGAGGCACAGCAGGGAAGAGGAAAGACACATTTGTCAGCTACATTGCCTGTTCATCTCAAATCTTCAAGTGAAGTAAAGTGAAGAGTAAAACAAATCTGTGCTACAAACTATTTACCAAAAACACTTTGAATAAAGGAATCAAAATCATTTAAATAAAAATGAATAAAAATAATTACACTTAGTAGAAACTCAACATTGTCAGTGCATACCTGATTACCAAAATGTGGACAGCTCACAGAGATTTGCTGGTTTTCTCTAAGGTTGTGGCCTTATAAACAGCTGGCTGGTATTGCATAACAACTTCTGGAGATCCGACCCTCCCCTGTTTTTCCCCCACGGCTAACTTGCCTTCCATTGGACGAACATTTACATAACTGCGTGTCCCCGTCCCTATTGATTTGTGTGTTGTGCACATTTGGCTGACCACACCTCCAGACCCCCCCCAAAAAAGTGCCTTCCTGACAGAAACTGAAATGAATTGAAAACTGAAAAGAACTGAAATGTTCTTGGTCTTATGAAAGCAACCACCAAAGGGACCATATAGATTGCATGTATAGGTACAAACTCATATATTGTATAACCATAGACGCACACAGTGAGTTGTACACTTGGGGATGATTGATTTTTGCTCAAAGTTACAGCTTGAGTGTGCACAGACAAAAAAGACTACTACTAATAATAAATCTAAGTGAAATCTTTTTGCGTGCATGGACTGAACCCCCTTTTTTTGTGTGGAAAAACTGGATTGTACTTTATTCAAGTTTCAGCTCTTTCTCCTTTCTTATTTAATAAAACAATGAACTGTTGACTTGATTATGCTGTCAAGGGACTTCTTTGAAACTCCCAGCACTGTGTTAATATAAAAGGTGGTCAGAGGGCTCAAGTCCACTCACAACAGAAAATAATCAATGCGAAAGCGAGATAATCACATCTCTCAACTAAGCACAAAGTCTGGAGTTTCAATCACCAGTTAGTGATGATGGAATCATTTGATTGTAATCTATCCGAGTGTCCGAGTGTCGAAAGCATTGTTTTCATTTCAGTGATCAATCCGGCATCAAAATGTGTATTTCTAAAAGAAAAATAGCAATACAGAGAAGTTAAATACTGATTCCTGGGAACACTAAGATACAGCAGAAAGCTCCAATAAGAACCTCTTTATTTCCTATTTGAAAAAAACATGCTGTTCTCCCAAAAGTAGTGTCTTTTTTCTGACTTATTTTGTTCTGCTGCTCCGGATTTGCAGTTAAAAAGTATGTGTCATTGACAGTACAAGCATGTTAGGAGAAATACCTAAACTACTCTCTAACACAGGTCTGTGTTTCATCAGACTTAAATCTACTGTGGCACAATATTATAAGTGGTTTGCTGTTGTTTTGCTCTGGGATCATGTAACTGGTCCTCTGAGGGCTAGGTTGAATAAAATCACAGCACAGCCAAACATCTGCAGCTTGCATAACCACAGTTCTGGCCAGTTGAAAACAGCGCAATCACTCATTTTCAGCAGAAATAATAGCAGCTGGAATCTGGCCAGAGGCACTGCAACATTTCACAATCATAAAGATTGGCCAAGAAACTATATAGGTTACACTGCTAGGTTTGTGTATGCATTTAGAATTTGGGCCAGTATAGTGGTAAACAGTAATGTCACGCAGGAGTCGGTTTCTTGTTTTAATGGGGTGTAAAACTTGGGTAACTCAAGAGGAGGTTGGGTAAAAGTGCTCATGGCTGAATGCACTTCTTCCATTTCAGCTTTTGGGCTTTAAAGAGGCCAATTTAGGTGTTTTGTCGCCTCACGTAGATATAATGCAGTCCAGTCAGACCTCACCATTACCGCCAGCCAAACGTGCCAAAGAGTTTAATCAACATTAAGAAGCTTTATAATGATAGTATTGTTGTCATAGTAGACTGTATAAATAGTGGATGTAGGTCTGAAAAGTGGAGCCAATGAGGAGTGCCCTAAACCTGCATTCTTTCTAATGGCCAGCAGGGGGCAACCCCAGTGGTTGCTAAAAGAAGTCTGTATGTAAGCTTATGAGAAAATTACCACACTTTTCACTTTATCTATTACCTCATTTAACATTTTCCTCATGGGTTTATGATATCAATCTCTCATTTCAAGCCTTCTTCCATACAGCATGATGTTAATTTTTTAAATTATAGTCCCATTTAAAGTAAAATAGACAATCGAGCCACTACCACGTCCTCAGGTTCTTAGTCAGCTACCCAACTCCAAATTGTCCAAATATGATCACTTCTGTCTCCAAAAAAACAAGGATGGCAATGGCCATAATGCCAGATTTGAGGCTTCAAGGCGGTAGTCCACAGACTGGGGAGTGACATCACAGTGGGTTTAAACTTGGGTGATTGTATTAGATTGAAATAAACTGCACCGGTGTGGTTTATAAAAAGGTAATTAGTTTGCCAACTGTTTTGTTTAGTCAGGTTGCCAGATATCAGCCTCTTTAAAGGACCGGTGTGTAGTGACATCTAGCAGTGAAGTTGCCGATTGCTACCAACTGAATACCACTCACCTCATCCTTCCTTCAAAGGCATGTAGTAGAAACTACGGTGACTGCAAAACTCGCAAAAAGACCCTATCTATAAGGCAATGTTTGATTTGTCCATTCTGGGCTACTGTAGAAACATGAGAAATGTGGAGATAATCAATGTGGCGTCATCCTGTAATTGCTACTTGGCTGCTTATCAGTAAAAGTAGCAAAATCTCAATTTAACAGGTAGCCAAAAACACACAAGATTAATTAAATGTCATTGTATTGGTTCAAAATGAACACAATCCAGAGAAGTACTTCAAAAATACTGGAACTGGCCATCAGAAATACTTAATTATTCCTCATGTTCATCATTGCATTTGGCTGCCTTGCCTTGTCTTTTCTCTTTCACACACTAACATCCATTCAGTTTCTCCCTCTGTGAAATGGGTTGCTCTAATTTATTTCTACAACACCTCACATCCATACACCCACACACAAACACACACACACACACCTTTTGTAGTTCTCCCTTGATAAGCTTGCCTTCATCCCTGCAGCAAAAAATAGTGGGGAGCTCCTTGTCTTGCCGGCCTGCCAGCAGCTAACCAGACAGTGCACTTAGTTAATAATAGCCAGCCATCTTTGTTAGAGCCTTGTTCTCAGACGTCCAAGTCTCACTAATTGGCCTGTTTCCAGTTCTAGGACTGATACCTCCATGATGATGGTGATTAAATTAGAGCACCCAGGTAGGGTCACACATTTAAAGCATTAGATAGGCTACCATTATAGCTCTGAACCTGATCACTGCCAGAAGCTGACACTATTTAGGTACTTCCTCTGCTGTAGCAGCAACAACAAGGATAGAACATCGGTAATACAGGGTTGGCTCACTTGGAGGTTATTTGAGGCAGAGGAAGCTAATATCATGTCCCTTGCTTGCTCAAATAAGTTGATAATAAAAAGATAAATGTTAGAATGGAAACTGGCTACTGGTGTGAGTCCAGTAACTGGTTTATATAAGGCCTGGGCATGAAGCAACTCTATTCAATTCATGTTCAGGTGCTCTTTAGTAAGGCACTTAGGCCTCCAACTTAGCCAGTGGTTGAACTAAAGGTGTCAAGGTGTTTGTAGCTCTAGAATAAGGGGGACTCGAACCAGGACAGCTGTTGGTCAATACCTCCATCATCATTTTCTCCTGTGTCCTGATCCCATCTTTTCCCTCATGCATCCCCAACCTGGCATCTGACCTGACGACAGTTTCACTCTCTCTCCTTGCCTCCTCCCTCAGATAAATTGATCAGCGTTTCGGATTTGCGGGTTAAGGACGCTTAGAGCAGGGGTTTTAATGTCATGACGTCACTGTAATTAGCTGCCACTTTGATCCGTTCAGCCTCTAAGCCGCACTCTGCCCTATTCTGTCCGTCGGTGGACACAGGATGCGTTAGAGACTCCCTCGGGGACCGTGGAGGAGAATGCACGTCCGCGCAAACGGGTGCTACTGATCCGCCCCAACCCTGCAGGCCACAGCAAGGCTTCCCCCCTTTCCATTTCTACACATCCCCTGCGAGGTGATGCTTTTGTGAAAAAAGTGGAAAAAAACTAAAAACTACTCGAGTTCAACATGGCAGACAAGGATAGCGTGGAGAAATACCTGGAGAACAACCCGCAGTTCGCCAAAGACTACTTTGATAAGAAGCTGCGCGCTGATGCGCTCTCCGCCGCCTTCAGCGCGCCTGTCGATGTCAAAGACACTGCTTCGTTCAAGGATATGAACTCTATTCAAGAGGCAGCCATCATCTTCGAGCTGGTCCAGGAGCTGCAGAAACAGGGATCCGTTGAGCAGTCCCTTCACAAAGTGTTTCAAAGAATCGCCATGATCGTGCAGGCCGACAGGGTCGGTTATTTCCTGTGCAGGGCCAGAAACGGAATACCCGAGCTCGCCACCTCCCTCTTTGACGTGACACCAACATCCAAGTTCGAGGCAAACTTGGTCCATCCGCAGACGGAAATTGTGTTCCCTCTGGACATGGGTGTTGTCGGTTTCACTGCTCAGTCCAAAAAGCCACAAAATGTTCCTGACGTCTCAGCGGTGAGAAGTAGTTTTGGATAGTAGTTTTGTTGCCACAGTCTGTAGATAGCCTCACACAGATACACACACACCATAATCACAGGAGAAACTTACAAAACAGCACATTTATGTATGTATTCCAATTCATTTACATAATATTTACGCATGAGGGCTACCAAGGCCAGTGATCTGTATCTGCGCCCTGATGGGATGTGAAACATGTGTGCGTGGATCTGAAGCTGTCAAAATGTAGATATATGGAGGTGTTCCCATGTTTCTGCAAATGTATTAGTGGAACTAACCTCTACAGGCTTGGTGGGTTTTTAGGAAAGTGAAATTACTTCAATTCCCTAATTTATAAACTTGAATTTTGTCAGCTGAAGGTCATTTAGGCTGCACAGATTATTGTTTCTGAAGAAGTAGCCGACAGTTGTTTATATTCACTGTGCAACTGATAATTTTTAAAAAAATTGATTTATTTGTTGTTTGTTTTTGTTTTTTTTTGTCTACTTATATATTTGTAGTCTAACATAAATTATGAGGTGTTTCTCCTAAAATGACTGAATTTAGAAACGAATGTGTAATTGCAAGCTCCAAATACTGGTATTGACATGTATTAGTGGTACAGAATTAGGGATAAAACATATGGGTGTTTATTTTTTGTAATATACTATTTGCTATACATTTTTAAAACTTTTTTTTGTTATTATAGTTTTAGTATGCAACAAGATTCATGAAAATATCAGAATCTTTTCTTAAGAGCATTGTCCCTATTAGACAATTCATCAAAGTATCAAACTAATCAGCTGAATATGATGATATACTACCCATCTTGTCTATTGACCAATATGAATGCAGGAAGTGTAACCAGTAATGGAATATTGATTACAGAATAAACAACAAATTGCAGTTTATTTATTTAAAAGTGAGATCAGACAGCATGCTGCCCTCTATTTTGAAAAAGTCAATGTTAGATACATTGTGAATATGAATCTTTCAATCTGACAGGCAGTTAATGAGCTTATCGCATTGAACTGCAAAAAAATGAAACAAAGAGTGTAAATGTGAATGTGTTGTTGTGTGTTAGTGATGCTGTTTTATATCGACATTTGCATTATCCCAAACTTGATTTTCTTCTTTTTTCTCTCTCTCTCAATACAGAATAAAAAGTTCTGTGACTTTGTGGATAAACAGACTGGATACAAGACTAAATGCATGCTCACGTTCCCTCTGGTGGCTGACAAAGAGTGCATTGGAGTCGCCATTGCACTAAACAAAATAGGAGCTGATAAGTTCTCTCCAGAGGATGAGGCGGTAAGAATACACACTTAAACATGTAAATTCACTCTTATCCGGAGGGATTTGCTAAGTGAGCTGTAGTAGGGTTGTGTTTCAGACACCCTGATGCATTGCTGACACTTACTGTTTCATAAATCAAACCTAAATTTGACCATTATAGTATCGTTATTATAACAAGTCTTATTTGTCTTAAGCAGCTAAAACCAGATTTTACAGTAATTCTCTGTTCATCATATCTATAGTTGCTTGTCTGCTACTTTAAAAACTGCCTGGGCTCTGCCATTTGAAATTTGCAACTAAATAAAGAATATTGCTGTAATTACACTTTACCAGTGGGGTGCAAAATACTTCCATTATGTCAGTGGGAGCCAGTCAATTTGACAAGAAAAAAAGGGCATTGTGATTTAACTGGCAATATGTTATCTCTGTAGTCTATATCAGAGAACATTCGCTGCTGTCTCTTGTTTTTCAGAAGCTATAAACTCACACTGGGGCACAGTTACATAAAAATTGAACTGGGTCAGATGGAAATTCTGTTTTTATAGACTATTTGCAGTTATACAGAAACTGAAAAGCTGTGAGTTAAAGAGATGTAAGGAGAGGATTAATGGAAATGATGCCATGGGCAAAGGGTTTCACTTCTAACATGCATTATCATGTCTCATATTACATTACATTCTTTGTGTATATAGACAGAACGTTATCATCTCTTTCTCTTTACATGTTAACTCTAGGTAAAAATCCTGTAAATGTGAACTTGAATGGACAAAATGTGTGCAGTCTGTGGAAAGATTGGCCAAACATGGAACTAAAAGACCTTGTGAATTTTTTGTCAACCTATTTATTTATATTAACAGATCTGTCAAATCCATATTTCATCATATGTGAGCAATATTCTGAGGATACATACTCATAAATCACACCTTTGCTGGAGGGGGAAATGTAGCCATATGGCACTGTACGGAGAAAAGTTCCCCTGTCTTAATTGTGCTGTTGTGTATTAATAAAAACCTTTAATCTCATTTGGTCCTTAGCTCTTCCACAAGTACATGAACTTTGCTCAAGTCATCGCCCTGCAGCATCACACAGCCTACATGTTCAATGTGGAGTCGAGAAGGAGTCAGGTACATCTCCCGTTAGTTAGTAGTAGTAAGCATTAAACAGATCTCATGCTATACGCCATAGCCAAATATGTAATTACCCACATTCACTGCTGTCCTTGTGCTTATAGGTGCTGCTCTGGTCGGCCAGTAAAGTGTTTGAGGAGTTGACAGACATTGAGAGACAGTTCCACAAAGCCCTCTATACTGTAAGGACCTATCTACTATGCGAGCGATACTCAGTGGGTCTGTTGGACATGACCAAAGAGAAGGTTGGTTTTGCAGAATATACTCAATAATAAATAGCATTCATGGTGAGAGACATAAAAAACTATTATTCTCTGTGTTTTTCCCCTGCAGGAATTCTATGATGAATGGCCAGTGAAACTGGGAGATGTGGAACCCTATAAAGGACCAAAAACGCCAGACGGCAGGGTAACCAACTTATTTTTCTCCTCATTTATTCAGTTTTGTAGTACTTTAAATCTTACAGCCTTCATCTTTTGTCTAACAGAGTTTGATCATCAAGATGTAATTTCTAACAGGCGTCTGCTTTTTGATACAGGAGGTCATCTTCTACAAGATCATTGACTACCTCCTGGAAGGCAAAGAAGAAATCAAAGTCATACCGTGAGCAGCATTAGCTACAAATCCACTTAAACTAATGCAACACATTTCAAAATAATACTTCAAAATACAGTTTCAAAACATTGAAGAGCTTTCTTCACAGTCTTATTTCAAAATAAATGTCCTAACTTAATTTTTTGTACAAATCAGATCTCACACTGAGTCAAATTAACAAAATTTAGAGCCCAAATTAAATATAAAGCTAAGAAGACACTGACAATTCTGCGGTTTCTGCAGAGGCAACATAATGTACGAGAGTCAGCACTTGTTTCACTTGCTTCTCAGGGAATAATTTGCTCCCTCGGGCTCACACCACTCTGTGTGTTTCTCTCTTTTTCAGTGGTCCACCTGCAGATCACTGGGCTCTGGTTAGCGGGCTACCGACCTACGTTGCAGAGAACGGCTTTGTAAGTCTCTCGCCAGCTGCTGCAGGACTATTCATTATCAGAATCACCAGAAAAATGAGAGGGAATTGGTTTGTGAAATAGGCACAGAGACTTGTCCTCTTCTAATGTAGTAGCATAAGAATGAAGTGAAACAAAAGACACAGGGACACATTCAGTGCAAAGTGATAATACTTGAAGAGTATGTCACTTACATTTTTGTGTAGAAAATCAGCTAATAGGTTGCAATACTTAGGATATTCAACTTGAATGTTTTTTAATGTGACTGTCTGCAGATTTGCAACATGATGAACGTGGCTGCAGATGATTTCTTCACTTTCCAGGTGAGGAGACGTTTACTGTCCATCCACATATAGGAATTGTCTAGGGCCACCTTGTTATCCTCCTATATTTCCCATATATATAAGTATTTTATCTCAATGTCTTTCAGAAAGAGCCTGTGGATGAAACAGGTTTTGTCATCAAGAATGTGTTGTCGCTGCCCATTGTCAACAAGAAGGAAGAAATTGTGGGCATTGCCACTTTCTTCAATAGGAAAGACGGCAGGCCATTTGATGAGCATGATGAACAGATCACTGAGGTCAGTGCCACACATTCTCTCTCTCTTGTTTTATTTTCCTCTCACCATCAAACAGGCATTGTCTGTCTGTGTGTAGACTACACAGTCTACACCACAGGGTTCCCTCATAAAAGGAAAGATCTGTTCTGATTTTGTTGCAATTAGCGTGTTAATGAAGAAAAATGTCCTAAAACAGCAGTAACTTCATAATGCTTTGATACATTGAGTTTGCTGTAGCACCACCCATGTGCTAAGTGATGAAAAGTATCTATAAATATTTGCTCAGTGCATTCATTGGCTTAATTAACAAGGTAAAAACAATAATTAGAAATACACCAGGGCGGTGGGGGCGGCTCGTGGCTTCTTGTTTGGATGTGTTTTCTCTCTCTCATTCTTTCTCACTCTCATTGTTTTGTACCAGGCCCTGACACAGTTCTTGGGTTGGTCGGTGCTGGTCTGCGACACGTACGACAGGCTGAACCGCATGGAGTGGAGGAAAGACATTGCTCAGGAGATGCTCATGTACCAGACCAGATGCACCAAAGCTGAGATGCAGTCCATTCTGGTCAGTACCGACCTTACATTGCTCCACATTTTCTCTCACCTTTGATCTCACTTAGCATTTGAGGCCACTCAAGCAGGTATTAAAAGTAGTCAAAGGTTAATGTGCCGTGCATAGCTTTTTAAGTACCAGTGCTCCAATAGCAGCTATAAGAGGACTAATGAAAGGTCCAGTGGATCACTTATCCGTTCGGGAACTAACATTTGAGACGATGATACGATAACAGTTTACAAGGTTACAGCTTGGAACACTTGTCTGAAGTGTTTGAAAACATTGTGCGTGTTCATGGGCTGAATGCAAATGGTGTTATAAATGATTGCTCTCTCTATATAACCAGAACACCAAAGAGAAGTTTGACGCGGAGCCTGAAGACTGCGACCAGAAAGACATGTACAAACTATTGGTATGTTTTGTTGAAACATGTGGACTATCTTGAGATTGACATTGTAATTGCATAGCCATCCTTCACTTCTTGAGTACTGAATGATTCATGGATGTCTCCTGCTTGTGCTGCATCGTGTTTTTTTTTTTTTCAGAAAGGAACCTGCCCGCCAGCTGACAATGTCAACGGAGAGAATCTGTACTCGTTTGGCTTCAGTGACTTCCCCGTCTCAGAGTTCAACCTCATCAAAGCCGGCATTCGCATGTTCTTTGAGCTTGGAGTGATTGAGAAGTTTAAAGTTCCCGCAGAGGCGAGTCATTTGAATGTAGCAAGATGCTCTTAATGGCGCTGGCACTGCAAACAGCCCTTAGCATCCGGAGAATATCCCAATTTCTTTCTGCAGATGTTGCTATTGACCAGCTGGAATATAATTATTTTCTTTTTTATTAGTATTTATTTAAAATATGTATGAAAAAAAGTGTGAATTGATTAGATTAAAAAACTCTGCAAATGCAAACATGCAATCCATGTGAAAATGTGGGTACTTCAAAATATGTGAAGAATAGAAATGACGTGCCTTAAGGATGAATGTTCATAGCATCATCAATATTTCAAGTGACAGGCAATCCGCCATGGGTCTATTTTCCTGGGAAGAAAGAAGTAGATGTGATTGTTAATTAGCCTCTGGAGGCACATCATGCTGCAGCTACAAATCTGAGTGATACTCGGCAGTGTAGCTGTGAAGGCAGAGCGTTTTTGTTTTTTCAAACACGGGTACATCAAGCTGAGTCATGGCCATGGCTCACCTAAAAGCCTGTTGCCTCTTCTTTTCTGTTCTCTAAACCCACCCTTCCCCTCTCTCTCTCCATCTCAGACACTGACCCAATGGATGTACACAGTGAGGAAGGGCTACCGTGACATCACCTACCACAACTGGAGGCACGGCTTCAACGTAGGCCACACCATGTTCTGCCTGCTGCAGGTAATGCTCGCACAGCATCTGATGCCTCTACAGAAAACCCCAACTGTAAAGCTCACAAATTAACAGGATCATCCTCTAATCTAAGTTGTTTCATCTGCTCCACTTTCCTACTGCTCAGTCTGTTCATTGTAGAACAGACCGCTATGTCTTACAGGACTGTGTGAACCTCCTGCATAGGCTTATAACATATGTTATAGTCCTTATAATAATATGAGATCAATACAGATAGCTAATATGAGCATTGACTATGCCCAATATTTAGCTTTTTTTTAATTTAAAAGGTCTAGAAATAAGCGTCAAATGAGAATAAATATTTTACACATTTTTATAGGTGGTCACAATCTAAACCACAAACTCAAATACCTCCACATAATAATCCCCGATTTTTCTCTTCGGCCTACAGACAGGGAAGCTGAGGAGGTACTACTCTGATCTAGATGCCTTCGCCATGGTGGCAGCCGCTTTCTGCCACGATATCGACCACAGAGGGACCAACAACCTCTACCAGACAAAGCAAGTCAAGATATTTTATTTTGGTGATTACATATGTGTTTGTGTGTGTGTGTGTGTGTGTGTGTGTGTGTGTGTGTGTGTGTGTGTGTGTGTAACCAGTGTTGTCAATATGTTTTCCAACCTTTTTTTTTTTTTTTGCAGGAGTGCATCTCCTTTGGCTAAACTTCATGGCTCCTCAATCATGGAGCGGCACCATTTGGAGTACAGCAAGACGCTCATGGCTGAGGAGGTATAACAATAAATTTGAAAAATATCAGACTTAAGTGGTATTTAGGAAAAGGCACACACATTTTGACCACTCTTTGCTGTCCCTTACAGAGCCTGAACATCTTCTGCAACCTCCAGAAGCGCCAGTTTGAGAATGTGCAACACTTGTTTGACGTGTGCATCATCGCCACTGATCTGGCCCTTTACTTCAAGTAGGTTATCTGAAATACTGCACTCGGACTACTAGAATGCTACCACGCTACAGCTGTAGATAGTGACAGGTGTAAAGTAATGTTAGTGACTGGATCCTACTTTTGGCTGACCCAGTGCATTTTCTGGAATCAATTTATGTATTTGCTTAGTTCAGTTGAGGTCTGATTGACTTTCTGCCATCTGTTTGTCTCCACGCAGAAAGAGAACTATGTTCCAAAACATTGTGAATGCCACTGAGCCAATGCCAGATGAAAAGGAGGCCATTGCCTACATCTCCAACAACTCCACCAGGAAGGAAATCGTCATGTATGTAACTGATTTAAGCAGAAGATATTACAGCTCTTGAGGCAGCTCTGTCCAGTTAACTTTAAAATATATATTGTGGGGAGAAGAGTTCTGCAAAAGCAGCCCCCTTACAAATCATCAGAATCAGTAGCAGGATGTCATCTTCTCTCCCCTGACTGTCTGTCTCTCACCTCCAGGGCCATGATGATGACAGGTTGTGACTTGTCTGCTATCACCAAACCCTGGGAAGTACAGAGCAAGGTGGGTGCCTTCACAGCCTTCACAGCCTTCACATGGGCTCATGAAAGGATATATAGTGAAGCTCACAAGAAGCAAAAAATAGATAGGAGCTAGTTTTACAAATAATCATATAATTTGCTGATAGAGTTCTACACATTGCATTATTTTATCCTCCTCGTCATCCATCTTTGATCAGGTTATTCAGCTTTGAGATCAAATGCTAAAAGCTTCACAGAAGGTCAAAAAGGTTTCATATGTATAGATGCCAGAAGAGATCCTCTGTTCCTCCCATGTAAATGTAGATACTGTAGCCTGGAAACAAGTGAAAATAACAACATATAAGAATGTCCTGAGAGTGAAATGTATATATTTCATTTATTGCTTTTTTGTTTTTGCAATCCTTTTCTCTTTATTATTTCTCTGTATCATTATTTTTTTCCCCTGTCTGTCTATTACCTCTCCAGGTGGCTCTGATGGTTGCTGCTGAATTCTGGGAACAAGGAGATTTGGAGAGAACTGTTTTGGACCAACAACCAATTGTAAGGGTCATATCCCTCTTGTGCCTTCTCTTCATTTTTACAGGATTTAAAAAAAAAGGTTTCTCAGGGTTGTTTTTCATCTGAAACTCTCTCCTCTGTCCCTCTCAGCCCATGATGGACAGAAACTGTGCCGAACAGCTACCCAAGATGCAGTGTGGTTTCATCGACTTTGTGTGCTCCTTTGTATACAAGGTAATGAACAGCTTTCGCACCCCACAGCTGCAGACAAGTATGATTATTATAAGCAGTGAAGGGGAGGTGATTGTCGGAAGATGGATCTTGAGGCATGAAAAAATACATGGGTTTTGCACACAAAAAAAGGGAGTCCAGTTGGTGCTCTGTGTTGCAACAATTAATCTGTAACTTATGGAATTTAAACACAGCCACAGTCTAAGAGGGCTGTAACAATTGAATCCAGCTTCTGTTTGATTTAGATTTTCAGCAAAGCAGCATAAAATACTTTATTCTGTCCACAGTTTGTTTTGATTCAGTTTGATTTAATCGATTTTGATACTTTCAAAGAGTATCAGCTCTACAAATGTGAACTGTGAAAGTAACCAAACTCCATAGTTACAAGTGCGACGTCTATTTTCAAGGCAATAACATTCATTTTCAAGCCCCTACTGTGCGATAAATACTTATTCGTAAAGCCTGGTGTTCAATTTAGAATGAGACTGTGTCAGGAAGGTGTAGCTTCAACTCGATAAAGCTGAATAACTAACTGTATGTGGGCACACAAACCAACATGTACACCTAATCTATAATGCAGTCTAAAAAAACATTCCTACAGACTACAAAATGACCGTTAGAGTTAAATAATTTCTCAAACAGTCTCATTATTAGCTTTACAGATGTGTTGTTGCAGCTTCAACCGTCTGAGGTTAAATAACAGGATGTATAGAGATGAACCTGTTGAGCCCAGCTGGCCCCAGGAGGAATGTCAATTAGCTCTTTGTCACAATGGTATTTGGACAAGAACACACACATCTGTAACTGTGAACATGTGTTGGTCGTCCCTCTGGACTTAGAGGACTGGGGTAGGCTATATTGTGTATTTGCAATGCCAAAAGTCCTTCTTCTGTCAACAGTATGTATCCCATAAAGTGAATAACATATACTTAATTTATTTCTTTCATTTATCAGGAGTTTTCCCGGTTCCACAAAGAGATCACGCCCATGTTTGATGGTCTGAACAACAACAGGGCACACTGGAATGAGCTGGCTGAGGTATACAATGCAAAGATGAAGGCCATTGAGGATCAGAAGAAGAAACTGGAAGAAGAGGAAGCCAAGAAAGGTAAAAAAAAAAAAAAAAATAGGTCTGTGTATATTGGTTTAGTTGATGGCCTGATAGAGGTGTTTAGTGTTGTGAATCATAACTTATCAATGCATCTTTTTTTTATTTCTGTGTTTATTAAGCTGGTGGTGGAGGAGGCGACGCGAAGTCAAAGACCTGCACCATCTGCTAAGTTCCTCCAGGGCTTCTTGATCTGGACTAATGCGGTCTGGTTAGGCCTAATCTAGGCTACGCTGACAACTAGTCTAGTTGGAGCTTGACTAGGCTAGCTTGGTCTAGTCTGATCTACACCAGCCTAGTTCTCTCTGGTTAGGTGCTGTCCGCTCTGATGCCGTCCAGTCCAGCCCTGTTTGGTCTGACCTGGTTCAGTCTAGCCTAACTTTAGTCTAGTGTAGTCAGGTGTGGTCTGCAGTCCAGCCTAACTACCCTCCAAGGAGGGAAGAGTCAGAAACATCACCAAGAAGTAATGTTGGGACTCTGCCTGCAACAGAGAAGCCGTTTGACTCTGAAGATGTGATGTGTTTGAAACTTCCTCCACCATGAACAATCGAAAACCAACACGGACAACATATATTTCCCTTTAGCATAGCAATAATCTACACATTTCTGTCATGTATGGTTTGAAACCATGGTTGGATATGCCCATAAGTTGTAAGCAAATTTTCCAAGTCAAGCTAAAGTACAGATACAAACTCTTACGTATGAATAGCCCAGATAGGGTACTGTAGGTTGCACAATGCACTTAGCTGCTGCTGTTTTGGCAGCAGCAGGCCATGAATGGAGGGCAGGCAGGCACAATAACCACGTAACCTGGGTAATCTGGGTTACAATTCTCTTCTGTTTGATTTATTTTTTATTTTTTAGTTAACAGTTAAAGTAGCATGAGTTGTGGAATGAATTCCTTGAACACAAGAGCAGGAAACTGCAATCTGAAGGGTCTGTTAATGCTGCGTTACAAACCTTGAAGCTCAGATACTATAGCGCTCATTCAAACAAGGGCTGATGTTCTTTTACCTCAAAAAGGAGCCGGTGAGTTGTGTAAGGGTGTATTTCTTTTAATATGCAATCTATCTATATACATATATTTTTTTGGATTCTTTGTCTGAGAATTTTGTACTTGAACTGTCTTCATGGATGGAAAGTTTGAGGCGAGCTTTGGCAGAGGGCGTTGTGAATCTAGAAATTGTGAAAACTTTATTGTCAGCTTTGGAAAACACTTGTAAGCTGTTATCTTTATGTCCAATGACCTGGGAAAAAAATAACTGAAAAAGGTAATATACATAATATTTACGCCAGTGTTTAGAGCAAAATTCAATTCAAAAAACGATAACTTCTTTTAAATGTGCATGATTTCACATGTATATAGTTTATTACATAGAAATTGTAAAATGTAAATTGTGTAAACTTAAGAATAAATGAAGCATAAAACTGATTTGAAGGATGTAAAGTGAAAGCAACCTTTGTTTCTTCTAAGGAGGCAAGAGTCGGAGTCAAACAGGGCACGGTAGATCTACCTCCCCTGTAAGAAGATTTGATGGGATTTGATTTGATTGCCAGCCAGCCTTTGAGATCCACACAGCTTTAGACACTAAATACCCTTCTTACAGAGAAGGTAAAGCAGGCTACCTAAACCTTATTTGTATGTGCAGGCGACTTGTGTTTAAAATGGGCAGATGCAACTATAGCATCAATGATTGTACGACGGTACAGGCTTTTTTCTTCACCGATGTGATTCTTCACACAACGCTTCTCCATTTAAACCTGAAATGAACTTGATTTGGTCAGGCATCTAAGTTGACAGCGCAACCCCTGTGAACTTTCTGAAACACTTTTAGCAGTGTCCCTCCCGGGTGCAGAGGCAAGCCCTCAACTTCCTGTTACACAATGGCATCTCCTCTAATCAACAGGGCATCAATCAAAGGCACTTAATCCTATCAGAATGGCTTTGGGACTACCTGGAAACTTATTTTCTGCTGCTTGAGGTGAAGCAAGGAGCCGTTGTGATTACTGGAGCCAACGCTGTGCTAAAACGTTTACTGAATGAACCCCTGAGTGATATGTTTTAATGATTTAACCATGAAATTACCTCATTATTGCTGCTGCACACATTTTATATGGATGGTTACACCACCAGTTCTGTCTCCAGTCATAAAAAAAATGGCTCCTTGCTTTTCCTTCAAAGATCCTTTTTGAGATACCAAATAATACACTGTATACTTCTCCTTATCCCATCAGCTGTCATTCAGGTAATAGAAATCATTTGACGTATGAAATGACCTCTACTGTATGTATGTGTCATGAGATGTAATATGTGTAAGCAAATAAAGGATTTATGGAGGTGTAAGAACTGAGAGAACCATTTTTCCTCAATATGAAAATAGTACCTCACACACACACAAAGGTGATATTTATTCTATACTAGCTCTTATTCACACTTGACTTTCACGCACATGAAGGTTAGCCAGAGACAGAGAATGAAACCTTGGGCTTAGCTGCGACATTGCTCGTTCTTAGACATATATCGTGCAGGGATCTTAGAGGCTCCAAAGCTGGATGAGCCTCCAGGGAAAGAGGATCAGTGGATTGGTTCTGATCCTTGCCCGATACAGTGTTTTCTGGCCATGTTGTTCAGCATCCCGTGTCTTGCCCGTCTGCAGATTGTGCATGCAGGAAACTGCAGAATGTGTGGTGTTTAGTTAAAAATTTGAAGTATACATTAATTTAGAAGACAAGAAACCTCACTCAAAGTAGAACAAAGCCACAGCACTGCATTCCAGTATGTGTGTAATTTGAGTGACGGATGCTACTTTGGCCTCCCCTTACAAGATGGTATATTTGACGAGGGAACAGGACAAGCCCTATAATCTATCATTTTGTGCGACACTTGTAAAACCCTGTATCAACATGACCGTTCATCCCGCCGACAATTTAGGGGTCAGTGGGTGCAGAGCTGGCCTCCTCTACAGGCTGCTCCACCCGCCTCCTCTTCACATGGACCCACCTCGAAATTTGAATGTTAAATTCAATGTCCCTCTCCTCTCAAAAGTGTTTTCTTTTTTTCTTGCTATTTTACTTTCATTAGCTTTAAGGGGGGAAGTTTCTCTGTGCTCTCTGTGAAGCACATGCATCATTTTGTGACATTACAACAAGTTACAAAAAGCCAATCATGGTCCAAATTGCAACTTACAGAAGTGGGATGTGGAAACTTGTGCATATGGACTTTACTGTGTAGTCTTCTCCTAGTTAAACTTCTTTACATGTGTGCACACTCAGATTTTAATGGGGGAGAAAGAGTAGAATTTTACTTGGTTCTACTTTTTTGAAACACCATAGAAAACAAAAATCACTTCCCAAGGATGTGTTAAAACATGGCAGGAAGGGGAAATTTAAATGTTAAAATTATTTGGGATTAAAAAATTCCTCCCAGGACATTCGCATGGGCCAAATTTCCAAAGCAAGAATTTTAAGAAAACAGATGTTGACAACATGATTGATTGAACTGTAAATGCATCCAGGTGTACAAGTATAGCCAGGAGTCAAACCACTCCCCACCGGCACTCAAAAACAACACTGTTACTCAATGTACCATTCACTACACTTAACCAGCTCCTAGCTTACAATGCCATGAATCACACAGTAAAAGACTCCTGTGAGAGCAGAGAAAAAAGTTATAATGAGACAGAGTAGAAGGTAAAGTCTTCATTTAAGCCAAGGACTATAATCTCCCAGCAACCTCACGCAGTTTCCTTTTGCGAAAAGTGAAGGCCTCAATCTGCCCTTGGCCAGAAAAACATCACAAGCTAATCCTGTTGTCTTCTTTTCTAAGAGCAGAGTGCTTTTGTATTTCTATTTCACAGGAAGAACTCTAGAAAATCTAAAGCGCAGATGCAATGAATAAGAGATAACTTAAAGTTTAGGCAATCCAAGACTAAGAGTCTAACAGCCATGTTAGCAGCTCTGTGAAGCTGTACTTTGAGTTAATGCCACCGTCAGCATACTAACATAGACAATGCTAACATACTGATGTTAAACAGGTATAATGTTTCCTATCAGCATTTTAGCATGCTAAGATTTGCTGATTAGCGCTAAAGATAAAGTACAACTGTCATTGGTTTTGCAAATATTCATTTATAAAGTTAAAATTTTGACTTGATGTTGGCTCTAGATGAAAGGTTAATCACCAAAGTAATTACACTTCATTCCAAATGGACATAAAGTTGTGGGCCGACTGACAGATAGACACTGCCATCCCGAGAGCCACACTGCTACCGTTTCTAAAACAATTTTTACAGGATTTCCTGCAGTGATAGTGGTGGGATTGAAACAGCACGATGACAGACATGTGAATCAAAGACTGACGGTTACAGGATAAACATTGTTTTATTTCTGTAGCAGTAATGAAACATAGAGTCAAAAGAAATCTACATGCACACAAGACTCAAACAGAACATGCTTAGTGTCAGCGGTGCGCCAAAGGAAGTGTAGTCGCAGCAGGGTTGCCGCTGATACCAGCAGTCAAAGGAACATGTCTTCAAAGTACTCATCAAACTCCTCCTCCCTAGACAGAAAAAAACAAAACAAAATCACTGTGTTAGTTCCTTTGATGCACGATGCTGACAGACTTTTAAATGTTTTGTATGGGTGGCCCATGTCTAACTGGCAGATTTATAGCTATGCTTTTTTATTTCATTTACATTTTATTCATGCTCTGAACAATCTGAAATGATGTGGAGTACAAACAGTGGTACAGAATACAAACACATAAATAGTGGCGGAAAGCAAAAAAAAGTCAGTTTAAACGAAGGCAAGAATACCTCAGAAAGGCACCTAATGTACTTACTATCGCTGGCTTAACCGAATGTAACAAAAAAGTAGGTATGATTAATATGAATCAATAATATACACTGCCTCTTATGGTTTTCTTTTCAGTAATATTACTTCTTTCTCAGAGCAGAAACCTAAATTGCAAGAGCAGCATGACAGGGCAAGCCAAGTAGGCAGGTTAAAGGTTTACCAACTTTCCTGACAGTTCAGAACAGCTTTGTGCAGGGTATCTAAGTGGTCTACGTACTGTGCTATATAGAGATCCATAACCTATGTAGGCTAAGTCAGTATGACTGTCTCTGATGGTCTTATAGCAGCTTACTGCGTGTAGTTTCATATGAACATTTGCTGTTAACCTCACCTTGACTTTTCCTCAACAGCAGGGGCCGGTCCTCGCCAGTGGTCGGCTTCCGATTGGCCCTTTGGCTCATCGCCAGCTTCGGAGTCTAGTGGGAGAGTTTCAGAGAGTGCTGGTCAAACTCCCAAGAAGGAAAAACTAGGTCGGCCAATAACCCTTGTCCATCAGTTTTAATGTCAGGATCTTCACCGTTAGCGTAACACATCAATAATTCATCTGAACAGCTCAGGTTTTGCTGTAATTTCTTAGGAAATAAAGTGCATTAAGTACAATAAAGTATCAACTAAAGCGGATCCTGCATTGCTACCTAATCATATAGCGCTATAGCGCGGGTAAATAGGGGACCAGCAACCTATTTTTGCCCTCTGACAGTTTAATCTGACCAGGGCCAAACCAGATCACATTGTGTGAAACAAAAATAGTGGGCCCATAGATGTGCCCTTAGTATAAAGTTCTCCCAATTTTCCAGGAGACAAAGCTTCCATAACCTTAAAGTCTCTAACCCTCCCTCAACGCATTACAAATGACATGATGTTCCTACATTTAATCAAGTTCAGCCTTTAACAACTGCTTCAAATATGTGCAGCTGAGAGAAAGACAGAAAGAAAGTGTTTTTGTACAGATTGCAATGCATGTTGAACTCAATGACACACGTTTGTTTTTGTGTACAACTGCACCCACCCACCCATCCATCCATCCATGCAGACAGACCCTGAAATGAGGACACAGGGGCAAAGACATATTTCATTTTATGCTGCTCACAGTGAAGGGCAAAAAGACAAGGAAAAAGGCAAAAAGTTGAGAGGAATGGAGAGAAAGACAGCTGAGAAAAAGCAGACGTGCTGTCTGTCTATTACTATTCACTACAGGGCTAATGGATGTTTTTCCAATAAGGACTGTAAGGGTGTTTTCACTCCAAAGGTTTTGAGGAGTGTTCATGGACTAGAGGCCTAGGGGAGTAGATCATAAATTGTCCAATGTTCGTGTATTTTTAAAATGGGGGAGGTGTGTGTGTGTCTGAGTGTGTGTTTGAGAGTTATGAATGCTACCTTTGTCCGAGTCCTGCGACTCCTCTGAGCTGCTGGAAGAGGTGGAACGATCTATAGAGAAACAGAGAGTTATAAAGTAAGATGTATTTTAATCAAAAGGGAGTCTTGGCAAAATAATATCAAACACAACAGAAAAATGGGAATTTCCAAGAACAAACCATAAACAAGGCTGCTCCCATAGGCTGTTCCCATGTGATGAGATTAGGAGAGGAGAGGAGAGGAGAGAGTCTTACCTCTGTGCCTCTTGTGTTTGTGCTTCTTGGAGTGTGAAGACGATCTCTTCCTTTTCTTCTTCTTCTGTGATGGCTCCTGGTTCTCCATCGATAACCTTTTAGTCTTTGTCTTTGCTTTCACCTCCTTCCTCCTACAAACAGAATCAGATTTTGAACAAACTGTATTCACATTATTAAGCAGCCAATTGTAACTCTATTTGGAGGAGAACCGGAAATCCATCAAGGCCAAAGGCACTTTCAGAGGCACACAAATGAATCTTGGCTAGAGCTTTAAATGGATGAAAGCTTTGGGATATACAATCATGGCTGGTAAGACGGTTAGACAGGAGACATAAATTGTGGTCGGAATCCCAAACCTCTGCATGCTGTAAAATAATGTCTGCCGACTGTCCATTGTGACCTGCCCTACTTCTGGAGGACAAGTGCACTTTAAAAATGCTTTAAAAATCATTCATCATGGGCAAAACGATCTACATTTTTAATGTAAAAATGTCTCAAAGGTGAAAAGTGTGTTAGCTTACTTGTGGTGGTAGTTGAGTTTGAAAGAGCATTCGGGGCAAAGTCCTGGTGAGGAAAACAAGAAGAATTAGGTCAAAGTTGAGCATGAAAATTTATTTGATTTATTTTCATAGGGACAGGTACGTGAATGTAAGTGTGTGTAGAATTCTACTTCATAAACCTGTTTGATAGTTTTTCCATTTTACTTCAGAAATCTGTTCAATAGTTTTTCGACAACTTTTACTAACTTCTGGTGAGGGATGACTCCTGCATGAAAAGCACATTCTTAATGTTACTATAAGCATTAGACATAGCTTTTAATTTCAATTCATGTTTCTGCCAAATCTAAAAACTGCATCAAATGTGTCTTAACTGAGGAAATAGTTCCATCAGATACATATATAACAGTATTATGTGCATACATCTGGAAATCACCTCCATGACATAAGGCTGGTAAATTATACACCGCTCAGCCATAACATCATGACCACTGACACCACTCCCCATTTTTCTGCTTCTTATACATCAACTTTGAGGACAAAATGTTCACTTGCTGCCTAATATATCACACCCACTAACAGGTGCCATGATAACCAGATAATCAGTGTTATTCATCTCACTTGTCAGTGCTCATAATGTCACGGCTGATCGGTGTATATAAACTAAAGAGAAGAGGGCCAAGGACAGAACCCTGTGGAACTCCTGTTTTACTGGTGATAATAACACACCAAGATTTGAACCTTTGTATTCACTAATTCATATTCATTAATTTATTGCAACATCACCTTTATCCATTACATTTCTCCAATGTGCCTTATTAAGTTAATGCTCCAGGGTCACCAAGTTTCATTACTATCAAAACATTTATGACTGTCAAAAACATTGATTTAGAATTACTACAAACTGGATAACATTTTTAGTTGATGAGGAGAAACAACATGTCTGGATGTGACCTGTTGCACTCGCTTGTTAAAACAGCCTGTCATTTCTTGCTTGACTGAGTTCAGTATGACTGGTGGGTCCTCCAATTACGGTAATTATTCTAACAGGATTTTCTGCAGTATGATACCTGAAGGAGGATTATTATGAGCCGGGTCTTAGACGGGAACCCCCACCAGGCCACAGCCACACATACATGCACGTATGCAAGCATGCGCGGGTGCACGCACACACACACACACACACACGCACACACGCACACACACACGCACGCACACACACACACACACACACACACACACACACACACACACACACACACACACACACACACACACACACACACACACACACACACACACACACACACACACACACACACACACACACACACACACACACACACACACACACACCTTTAACAAAGAATGAACCAGAGAAAATACTATTTACTTAGTTTGACCAGTGCATTTCTCTTCTCGCCGTGTTCCACATAGGCAAAATTTACTTCCCAGCTTTTTAGGCCTTCCTGCTTCTCGCAACGTTTGTTTCCACACTGGAACTGACCTGGAAGACCAGAGAGTACATGTACTGTATACATACAAACATATATTTTAATGGCATTTACAGTCACATGATATTTTAGCCATCTATCTCTTATACGAGTGCACACAAGGGAAGACATTTCTTATTTGTTGAAATAGATTTCAACAGAATCCTGACAGAGCATGCACAAATATTCTAGTGTGTAAAGATTTATTATGCATGATATAGAAAGAATTAAAAATAAGAATTGATGCAAGTAGTAGAGAATGGCATAGAAAACGGGTAAATGTTTTATTTTAGGATTATGGAATGCAGACTATAAATCTCCAAACATTTCAGATTCTGCCAGGCAACCTCCAAACCCCGCTGCTCTCTCTTGCCCCCCCTCCGTCTATCTCTACACCCCGTCCTCCTTATCCCCCTGCTCCTTCTCTTCTCCCTTTCTTCACATCGCCTCATCCCCTCGGGCTTCCCTCCAGCCGCTGCACAGCCTGCCTATTATCCCTAGAGGAGCTTAAGGTGGCATTGATCTGGTCTCCGGGGTTCCTCCAGATTGTAGCAGAGGGAGCAAGTGCGTCAGAGCAGTCCATTCTTGGCACAGGGGCGAGAAATGCTCCTTACTCTGTGAGAGGAAAGTGATGCCTGTCCACACCTGCCTTAGACCGAGACTCTGTAAACATTCAGCTGGCCGTCATGGCTTTGGGCCACTTTGGTCATAAGGCAGACTTTCCCCTCACGTGCTGAATTAGATTAGGGTTGAATGACGTCAGCTAAAAAAGACACTTCTGGGTCCAGTCCAGGGCTGTGATGAGGTTGACTGGATTTACTTAGGAGGGCCTGACGTTATATTAAACTAAGTGAAAGAAAACTGTCAATGTACCAGTGCAGCAAAGCAAAATATTGAGCTGTATTTTCATTTATTTTTCTGGACTAGACACCAAACAAATATTATAATAATAATACTTTAAGCTGAGAAGATACTTTTACTTGGACATTTAATTTTGCTATGTTTTTGCAATATCCAAACAAGTCTAGAGCCATGCTTGCGACTCTGTCTAATGTTGACCTTGTTCACTATCTCATTCTAACAAGTTAGCATGATAACATTTGCTAATTAGCACTAAAAACAAATTACAGAATGGGAATGTCATTAGTTTTACAGGTATGTGATGATAAACCAAAGTACTGGACAAAATAAAATTTGACCTGATGATGGCGCTAGATAAAAAGTCAGGGTCATCAAAATGAATACAGTTCATCCTGAGGAGGGTATGAAAGTATCTACCAAATTTCATAGCAATTCATTCAATAGTTCTTGAGACATTCCAATTTGGACTAAAGTGGTGGACTGATACACCATTCGCAAATATTATATTCATTAATGAATTGACCAGAGAAAAACGGCAACAATTTGATGACTTGCCATTTTCAATTTAAGTGTTCTGGTTTTCAATAAACGCAGCAGCTATATGTATACATTAACCAATCTCCATTTAGAAGGTCTTAAACCTTAAAGTTCTAAGTAAAGAGAAACTGCAAAGGCCAGCATATCCCTTTAAATCCTTGATGACTCATCCTTTTCTGACACTATTTGGGTGTGACTTGGGACAGGGCCATCTTCTTAACTGTGCCAACATGACGCCACGATCTGTGACTGATGCCCGACACCTAAGAGAATCCAGTCTTCACCATCACCAGTGACGTCAATTACGATCACACTGTAAATCATCCCATGACATCCCTGTCCATCATGGACACAAAAAGGTCATTCAAATGCATGTACTGTATATACAGACACACCAGGCTTTATCTGTAAAGAAAGGTAAAAGCCTGTGCTTTGCCTACAGAAAACTAAGCACCCTTGAGCAAGGTACTGAATCCCATCGCTGCTGCAGAGCACAGTGTCGAATATAAAAGAAGGTGATGTATTCGACAACATGGGAGTGTGAATGTGTCTGACCCAGCTACTCACACAACAACCCTGGTAGAGTGGAGTCAATAGAAATCTGTTTCTGAGCAACATCTTTTGAAATAAATGTCAAAAACAAAACATAATCAAGGTCAGGAAAGAGTATTTCACTTATTTCTGATTGTCTTCAGCCCCTTGGTCATACGTTTTCCCACTTGAAAGCTAATAAGCACAATGCCCACAGAGCATCCCTTCTTTACAAAATTTCACCCAAACCCTCCTGTATGATTTAGTTTTATAAACAAAGGATCTCTATTGGGTTTTGCTGACAGGTAGTGGGTGTCACACATCGCATGAGCCTCACATCCTCCATGAAAAGAGCTGACACAAGGTTGGCTGAGTAAACCCCGTTAAGAGAGGAAACTCCTGTCTACGTCAATGGTTACTAATGCCACCAGCCTGCAGCCTGAGATCAAGACGGATACACCACAGGACAGATGGCTGCATGATTAACCTTCAATAGCTCAACGGCCCCTGCCGTGTCTTTCACTTTCTATTAGGGTAGCTATTTAAAGTTCACAAAGGACACATTATCATAAAACTAGCCCTGTTCTTGGAAAAAATGAAAGCTATGATGAGACCAAAAATGTAGTTGATACCAACATTCTTATTAGGTCACTGAGGATATATTCTTTCCGGACCTTAGAGACCTTAGAGCATAAAGACAAGGAAACAGTTAGTTAGTAGCTATGTTAAAAGGTAAAAATCTGCCTTCTAGTCCAGGCGCAGGACAATTTTTTGGCCGGGCGCAGCCACTTCCTGGAGTCTTGTCGTAACAATGAAGTTGCTAGGCAACCCGCAAAACGAAATAATCAGAAAGCGGGTTAATACACTCATCGACTTCTACTGCTAGCTAGTTAGGAACTTATGTGCAGAATGTTATGGCTCTGTTCAAAGGTACATAAAGAGTAGTTAATGTGAAGAGTTATCAGGGCCAGCCATATATACTTCAACAAACAAATGTTTGGGTCGCCAAGATTAAGAAGTCTGCAGCCAAAACAATTTTTTGTATCCTTATTAAAGTGTAGACTTCATTCAAAAGTCTGTCAGAGTGTTGTATTAGTGTGAAATAGTTATTGAGCCTGTGAATTCAGAGCTGTTTTCCAACCAACTCTTGATACCCCCTACTCCTCCTCGGGGTCGACCACCTTTAATAAATTCTCAGCCTGTGGGAAACACTGAACGATCCACACTCACTGCCTCCAGGCACATTTTTCTAATATTGGGAATGTAACTGGCATCCAGACTGATTCTTTTTCCAACCACACAGTCCCACCTCTGACTCTGGATCAGATTTAGCCTTTCTACCTGTCTTCCATATTAAAAAGGCAGTCCAGGCAGCTGACACACTGTTTTGCAACTTTTATTTACTCCACAACATCCTGTTAACTAAGAGCATTACATACCACTGAGTTTGTGTTTTCTACAGTATCTTTCCAAATACCTGCCTTCCATCTGGCTCTCTCTGTAGACTATTGAGAAATAATTATTTGTGTTAATTTTAATGTGCAACACCCCATACACACAGACAAACACATTAAAACAATAAAAACATGGACACTGGCAGTCTCTATTGTTAGACTGGGCCACTCTGAAAGTTTTATGGGCTGTGGGCTAATGAGCTATCTTTTCTAACACTTAGAATAGACTCAGTTACTTCTCTGAGGCTGATTTAGTCTGGCACAACAGAGACCGGCAGGATATCCTTAAAAAGCACAAATCTTGTCTATGCTGGGACCCAGGCCAGGCTAAAGCAACTGAGAGGATCTCACCTTTAAATTAGGCTATTTATTTCATTTTACTTAAAAGGAAAAGGGAAAGAAAATGCAAGAACGTAATAGGATGCGACAATAGCCGAACACAATCTTTTATAAGTAAACTAAATGCTGTATATGAACCAGACAAATAAGTCTGAGGATGGAGCACAGACAGGTAAGTAAAAGAAAACTCTGTCTAGGGCAAGTTAAAATATGTAAAAATGTTATGTCACAAACTCCAAAATCCCAAAAACAAATAAACGTAAATGAAATAAAATCTAAGGTCAGCAAGTCAATAACCAGCAAAAACTGTAATGTCACAGTGCAGGCATAAAGTGGCCCCACATTCCAACACTGTTAGCTAAACCAAGGCGGCAAAGGAAGGTCAAACCTGATTCCTAATAAAAGAATGGTAGCCAACTTGTTCAAACCATTTATTATAGACAGGAAAGTTACATTAGCCAAGACCATACTCCATTTACTCTGACAGGAGGCCCACCAAAAATAAGCCTGGCTTCAACTACCTCTGACTTTGCCCTTGACCTCTTCCTGACAGCAAGACTAAAGCTCAATTTATACCAGAAGGGTATAAACTCAATAAAAGACTCTGAATGAAGCACCTGGAGGCCTTACACCACACATGTATATCTGCTCCAGCGTAAAAGACTCTCAAGGCCCATTTCAATATCACATTTGGTAATTATTGAGAGATTTCTCTTATTACAAAATCATAACATATTGACTTTTTATTGGAAATAAAGATGATATTTGGTAAAATACGTCCATTATTATCCATGTCCTGATGTGTAATGTAATCAATGTGTAGGGAAAACACCAATAGGAGAACTAAGGAACTATATTTTTACTGGTGGATGCCTGATTTCTTTGTACACATGAGCAGATGTTGTGATACATCGGTTTTACGCTACTCCATTGATCAACAGTTGGTGGCAGTAACGCACAAAGAAGCATCGCAAGGTGCCAATGAGGGTAAGGAAGAAGACTGAAAAAATAAATTGTTCTATGGGGAAGAAAATATATTTTTGTATTTGTGAAGTTGAAGTACTAATTTGAAACTTTAGTTGTTTACAAAAAAAAAAAAAAAACAGGCCACCAGGCACCTTTAAAGACTGTTTATAGGTGCTCTTTATAACTCAAAGACTTTGAGATACTCTTTCCCTCTGACAAAACCAGAAGAATTCATGTGAATATTTCAGAAGTATGAATGTGGAGGAGGATGAGCATGAAGTTCATGTTTTAAGAATTTATTCAAAAAGATGTAGGGAAACTTGAGAATCCTGTGGAGGGGTAAAGCGATCCTGCTCTTATGTACTTCATTCAAGGACATCATCTTTTCCTTCTCCCTCTCCTTCATCTTTTAAAATATATCTACCTCTAAAAGAATAGAGAAGGGAACCTTTTAGCACTGCACATTCCTTCATCCCACATCACACTGTGGCCATGAAAAGAAAGGTCAGCACTTTTCATAATCCGCCTGGTTGAGTGAAGAGTAGTCAGCATTACCTAATACCGACATGACCTGAAGTGCACAGATAGCAGGAGGTGATAAGGCGACTATTTCCCAAAAGGTGATCGGAAGCATAGCGCCCCTCAGAGGGAGATGCAGGATCAGTTTAATTGGGGAAAAGTTCAGTCTTATCTAATTTATCTGTAAACTGAAGTTGAGTGTGGCGATCTGACAACCTGAGCCTAACAACATTTAATCCACTAACTGAACAATAAACTGAGCTTTCTTGGTGGTTGTGCCGGTTTTGCGCTCAAGAGCCTGTGTTTGAATTATCAGCCTTCTAATCAAATCAAACTCAAGTCATATTGAGCCCATAATAAACACTTCTTTCACCTTTAACTTGCAACATAATCACTTTTAAGTGTTTTCTCCACCTCTGAATGGAAAGACGTTGGGTCCACTTCACAGGATTAGATTAGTATCGATTTCACTGGCGGGTTTACTGTCCCATGCTCTAAATAGTGCTTAAGAAGTATTTCTTTGAGAATCGTTAATGTACACAAATCACAGACAGTTGAAGTGAAGTGTCTCTGACCTGATCTAATCCCACTTCCTGTAGAGTATTACTACAGGGGGTGAACTGTCAGAGAGCAGGATTACACAGCCTTAATCTGGAACAATATATTGGCTTAGCTTTCTCAGACACACTGTGTGTGTGTGTGTGTGTGTTTGTGAGGCTGCATAGATGTAAACGCGTGTGTGTGTGTGTGTGTGTGTGTGTGTGTGTGTGTGTGTGTGTGTGTGTGTGTGTGTGTGTGTGTGTAAGCATATCAATGAGCTGGTAAAGCAGGTTTATCCCCACCGAGTTGCTGATATTGTCCTTCCAGGTAAACGTATAAATATCTGTCACTGTCACACAAAGGAGTAGTAGTAGACAGAGTGAAGTTGTTGTACGATATCCTGAACATTTAATAGATGGTAATAATCCAAGCACTGCCAAACTGTCAAAGGTAGGCTCCATCATCAGTGCAGAGGCAGAATGAGGTTTGTCAGACATAAAGAAGGAACTGAATGTTAGGTTCAGGGGATACTGGAGATAAAATAGTATTACATGTGAAGTGACTTGTGTTAGGGCGTATCCACAATATGCTATTTACTGCTGTGTAACTTGTCTTTATCTCTGTCTCCATCTAGTGGAGAAGGTTGTGAACTGAAACCTGCTCAGAATTAGTATGAGGTATGGATTTGACATATGTCACTTGTCTATCTCTAATTAAGATTTACTATATACTTAGTACATTTTAAAGAACATAGACTTACTATAACATTTAAATGTTATATTGATAAAGCAGCTTTGGAAAAATATTTTAAAAATAAATAAATGAAGACAATGTCAGGCTATGCCATACCTTTGCCAGAGACAACTTCATTCTCAGTCCGCCAACGAAATCCAAACTGTTGGGTACAAATTAAAAAAGATCAAAATAAATCAGCAAAATCTTTTACAATCAAACTGCCAGACACGAAGCATAAATTACAAATTTATCCCTTAAATGAATCTTATAATCGTTACTCAGTGTTTCTTTGAATAGTCATTAGCATTCAATATCATTACTTTCAGTGGAAGATTTCAGTGCGTCAGGGTCTGAATGCTGTTGCCAGTCTAAATTGCAAAAGCAAAAATATAAAAGAGATATCATGAATAAATATTTCATGTCATGTTTTCGTGAAATGCTACTTTGCATACATATTTACTGTAGATATAATTTAGGGTGTATGCATACAGTTTCTCCAGTATTTGCATTAGTATTTGGCCTGTACTTTTACATAGCGCTCATAGCATGCTTTCTGTCTGTGGATTCATCTACATGCTGTCACATTCCATTTACCCAACACTGATCAAAATATGACTGAACTTGGGGGAATGACGCAACTCACCACTGCATTTGCAATCATTAACAAACATGAATAATTTGTTATGAATAAATCTGGATTTATGTAGCAAAGTTAAAGTCAACTGGACTGAGTGTCAGCTATGTTTTAAAATATGAAACTTTTAACTATAGTACCTCTAATAACTATGGGTTAATCGGTGTATACGTATGCCATCTGTCTGAGATCTGTCAACTTCTCATGAGATATCACATGACTTTGAAAGATATTGGCACAGCATACAGCGTAATTACACTGAGCAGTTCAGCTATGGAGCTGTGAGCACACTGCCCTTGGGTTTAACATATTGTCAGTTTTAAAGCCTGGCCTCAAACCAGAATGAGCACAGTGGACACTAGAGACAGAGCACAGTGCCAAAACACATCATGCCCCTAACATTTATCTAAAATGTGCCGGTAGTGGTGGAGATTAGTGTCGGAGTTATGAAATATTAACCTTTACTTGTGGCACCACCACTGGGACATTTAGTGTCATTTTGGAGCACGGTGCAAAAATGGATCATCATGCCAGGTCCTGGCTGAGGGGTCTATACTGCACACACAATGCTCACTGCATTATTTTATTTCTGTACATTCTGTAGGTGTGGTAACTTGTGTTTCACCTTATGAGAACATATGTTTTCACCTCCTAATGCCAGCCTCTTAATTAACAACATATGTGCATAATCGTGTTAGTGTGTCTGAATATTCTGTCGCCACAGAACATAATTTACTTCCTTGTCTGAAACTTATACTCTTATTTCAGTGTTTTACTGCTGTGACAACTTCAAAATGTCGAGCTACTATATTCAAAATATTCACTAATCATCAGGCAACAAGAGCCACCAATTACTGTATGTGCTGTCACATTGTTTGACATTTACTGAACACCTACTGAGGCTGTATTTCTGTTTAAACTGTTTCGTCCATTCAGCCCACCTTGTTTTCCTTGTATCTGCTGAGGTCGGCTATGCAGTACTCCTTAAACAGCTTGTCATAATACTTCTTGGCAAGTTCTTTTTCCCTGGAACAGAATGAGTCCAGAAGTAATGTAGAAGTCAACACAAACTCATCTGAAACAAATTTTTGTCACCAGGCACAAGCTGCTATTTCAGCACAGTTAAAGTTCCTTTATAAGGATTTCAAAAATTTCCAGAATAGAACAGAAAAAAATAGTCAAAAGCATACTGAATATTAAAGCAGCCTGCATGAATAGTTGACTATGGGTGATCACCATGTCATGTCATCCTCATCCTCGTCCCTCCAGAGGAAGCGGTGATTCTCGCGCAGCACATCTAGATCTGTTTTGTCTTTGGTTCTGAGGGAAGGAAAGAAGAAATGATAAGGCTTACAATCACAAACACAGACACGAATAAGGAGAAAATTACCACCGATATAATTTATAATGAAAGGTATTATTGGATGAAAACAATACATAACCAATGATTAACATATTCTCATTAGCTTTAGCCTCGAGTGACAGCAAATGACTGATTGTCAAGCTTGACTATGAGACACAGTACTTACGGAGAGCGTTTGAAGTCGGCCATCTGTCCTCCATAATAAAGTATGTAGTCACCGACAAACTTCTTATGTCGCTCAAACTGGAGACATCTGCTTAAGGTCAGTCTCTCTCTGAATGTTTTGTGAACTGCAAAAACAGCTAACATTTTCCCACATTATGGGATTGTTATATGACATTTTTTGAACACGTATATGTTAAGGCATGATGTATATAGATCTATCAGTGTATATCTGTTTTATGATATCACACTGAAATCGGTGGGAAAAACACTGAGGCAGGTGAATTAAAAAAGGATACAGCATTCATTGATATCAGATGTGCTCTTCTGTTCCTGGCTTCCTCCCTGAAAAAACAGAAAACTGAATGAGAACAGTAGTCTAAGATAAAGTATATAGTGTCACAAAAAAACAATGTGCGACACTGTATACATACATTTATTTTCATTTTCCTTTTGGTGTCAGTAAAGCCCCCCCCGCCCCAATTTTCAGAAAGTGAGAACAAAGGTAAGTGACAGGAAACTATTATAACACAAAGGACTCATTTGGTTTTATTAGAAGCATAAATTAATAAAAACATACATCTTCTCTAGATGGTAATGTAAAGACAATGAAAGAATGAATCTAATGGAAGTAATGATGAGTTTTCAAACATGAAAATTTAAATTGGATTTCTCTAATTTTAATTGCGTCGTACATCATAAGCACAGAAATTGCAAATACAAATTCAGGTTGATTGAATCATTTCATTTTACTACTGGCAATTCATATATATTATCAGAACTGACATTAATTGCAATATGAGCAGGTGAAATGCATTTGACTGAAAAGGAATAACAATTATTCCGAGATGAGCTATTAAAATACGTGACAGGGGTGAGCAGCAAGCTTTGCCAGGATTATAGATGAAACAAAATGTAAAACTAAGTGGCTCATATATTTCACTGCAATTGTACAGTACCTGTCCAGCTCATTAGAGTGTAGACTCCGGTGAGCCACCTGCGAGTGCCGACCTTTCTTGAATGGCTTCTGTAAGATTTCCTCCTCACGTTTCCTGACAAAGTTACAAATAAATACAGAGAGCCTGCGTTAGTGCATGAGGCTGTCTACCGAAACCAGTAAACTGTAAAGTAAAGATGGTTTATTCAGAATGTACAGAATATATTAGCCTTTGTATGACTTTTATGACTTCCTACACATTTTAGCATTTGGTGAGGCACAGATACACGACCACATGAGGTGAGATGAGCAAAATTTGATATAAATTGGTAAATATATTATTGAGCCTATGTAAATCTAGTCTTTACTCTTACCTTTTAAGGCCCCTCTCTGAGGACTCTCCCTCCCCATCATCATCACTGAAGTCGGAGTCATAGCCACCACTTCCGTGCACCTGAGGAAACACACAACCTCATTTGTGTTGGTGGGATCACATCTGATCCCACATGATGCACTGACACACAAACACACCGGCATGCATGCAGAATAAGGCATACTCAAAAAGCTGTGTCCACATAAACAGAGTAACTCAAACACATGTGAAGAAACCTGTGTGTTATACGGGACTGTACAGCAGTTTATTTCTCTACATGCACACATGAACAGGTTATCATTGGCCATACAGTAATATAATCAAAACTGCTACCTTTAATGGCCAAGTATGATTGTATGCAGAGTATGTGTGCTGTATAAGACTACACATACCAATTCTCAGCGTACTTTCACACAGTCCCAAGAACAACACATAGCAATGATACGACATTCATGCACTTCTTTTCGCCTGTAGACAATATCTATGTTCAAGGCAGGTATTTTTGCATTATAAATAAATACTAAATGGATCCACATGAAGTAAATAAGACCCTCTGTATCGATGTCTAATGGAATCGACTCATAATCACTCATTTCCATGCTAATGTTTCATGCTAACTGGCGAACAACAAACACACGAAGCGCTCAATGTTCTTCCAAACCTATCCGCATTAAAGTTCTTCCCAATATGTACCTTCACAAGATTATCCATGGGGGTTTTATTTCCCCCTCGCTTTACTCACTCCCCGACCTACTGCAGGCAAATGTTTACAAAAAGGAAAGGAACGTCGCCGGATGATGACGCAGGAGAGCCAATCGCGGTGTGATGACGTTTGGTCTAGCTTCATTACTGTCTGAGTGACCCCCGCTGAGGGGGGGGGATAGAAATATTAAGGTCACTGTGATTTCAAATGTTGTTTGGATGACACTGAACCTGTGTGCTTTAGCTCTCCACAGGCTGCATTCACTGTGGCACTGTCATTGTTTGGAGCTTCCTTTATGTGTCACGCCTATATATGAATAAAATCCATATTCCCCCATCAACCTTTTTTAATAATATATATATATATTTATTGGAGGACAATCATCACAAACCATGGACCAGTGAGTAATCTACTGGAAGGAAGAGTACACTGACATTGACTTTCATTCTAAACAAATGGCCCCAATTACACTGATTAATTGGCAATTTATATCTCTCCTTTCCTCTGAAGGACAGCGTCGACAGGATGCATGTAGGCGTTTGATCTGTAGATGGAAAATACAGAGGGCATTGTGCTATTTGAATGTTTCTGTATAATATAGGCTACTTCTTGGGCTATTAGGGGTTGGCAGAGGTGAAAGTTCGCCACAGTCCGGGAACAGAAGTCCAGTGTTTTATGACTTTTCCACGACCCACTGAACTCAACAAAGGACTCAGTGTGGGATTGAAGAAAGACAGGAAGGGAGAGACAAATGCTTTAAAGAGTATGAAGGACTCTCATCCGGTTGTTGTCTTAAGAAAAGTAGAAATATTTATGAAATTCAGAGCCGAGTTATCTTATCATGTATATAGGCCTACTATATGGTTTATAGCATACATTTATTATCTGTTAAGACTGTGTTAAGACGTTAAGACTAAGAGGGAGATTTTCTAGGAATAAAATAAACAACATTTTAATTAATGCTATTCATTTTAAGGTTTTTGCGTCATAATCTTCAGTAGGTCATACTTTACCAAGCACGTCTTATGCCACAATATCACCGAATTAACATTACATGTTTATTCTAAAGCATAGGGTTTAAACACATCTCCTTTTCCACGGTTAATGTCATTATTATGCCAACGCAGGGAAGAAAAGCCTCTGAATGAGTGAAGCAGGTGCATTTGCACAGAGCCTCATGAATAGCCGCTTCCCATTAACCATGCGCGGCTCTGAAGCGCGCATAAATAATAGCTGGCAGTGCTGATAAAAAAAGCGCACCTTGGGACCTCTCCCCCCCTCTATCCTCCTCCTCCATCTCTCCCTTTCTTCGCTTCCTCTTGCTCTCTCACGGGAATTTGCGCTTTTATTTTCACCCCTTTTCATGGCTGCAACGTTGAGTATACAGGAACAACTTCTTTGTGAAAACTAATAAGAAATAGAGCAGATTTTGTAGCGGCGGGGTGTTTTATTCGGGGAGGTTTGAAGATAATTCCCTTTTTTCATGACAGAAAACCTGAGAGTGTTCTCTGTGCTCATGTCCTGTCTGTCCCCGCATTTGTAATCCTGTGCCTTGCAGAACGAATCCGCTGGACTGGTGCCTTCCTATTGAGACGCAAGAAGCATAGACTCAAGCCTGCATCAGACCGCACCAACACCAGCTTCTGTCATTAAAACAAACGATCCAGAAAACTATTCATTTAAAAAAAAAAAAATCAGAAACACTTAATATTTCCTGTTTAAATCCGAGCTTGCAAACCGTGGAGGATTTTTGCCGAGAAGTTGCATGTGCAGGAGTGATAGTACTCGACCGGGACAGAAGGAATGGGATACCCGGGCAGAGCAGTGAGAGGATGGAAAGGATGGAAAGGATGGACGCTCCTGGTCTGGGTCGCCGCTGTCAGCTTGGTTTTAGCAGAGGGACGGAGAGTGAGGCAGCCCAGATGCCCCGTTGGATGTACCTGCACCAAAGATAACGCCCTGTGCGAGAATGTCCGATCTGTGCCTCACACTTTCCCATCCGACGTCGTTTCACTGTAAGTGGTCCCGAACAGACTCTGATGTTTACTGTGGCATTTATTGTGGTGAATTGTCAGGAAAAGCTTACGAAAACAATCATTCTCTGCCTTACAGAACACCCAGGTTTCATCTTTATTGTTTATTATGTATTTATTCTAATGCTTTCAACTCAATTCCCCATTAATATGTATCTCTCCATCCATTCAGATCTTTTGTCAAGTCTGGATTTAATGAAATCACAGGAAGAAGCTTTGTTTACACGCCTGCCCTGCAACTGCTGTGAGTATATCTATCTATCTATCTGTCTGTCTGTCTGTCTGTCTGTCTGTCTCTCTGTATGTATGTCTTTCTATCTGTCTGTCTGTGTGTAAATCCAGTATCAGTGTTCAAACAATAAGGCAGGAGCTCCCCAGAGGACTTGTATTGAGGCTGATATGCAGATTTAAAGGGGGATTCTCTGTAATGGTGTCAGGATTATGCAATGGACCACATGGCTACAGCGACTAACAGCAGGGGTTGGGGAGAGAGCCTCTATGTGTGTTTTTCCTGGGAAGATACAGAGAGGCAGAGATAAATAATGAACATGTTCTCTCTTTTTTTTCTCCAAAGATAGCTCTAATAAAAAAAGAGGGTAAAACAGTAAAATAATAGTTGCACACACACAACTATGGGGTTGCTTAATATTCCTTTTATTATATATCTCAGTGGGACTAGAGTGTGTTGAGAAATGTGTTATTGCAAATCAGGCTTAACTGCGCTCTCTAATCACACATAACAGCACACTGTTACCAAGCATCATTTCATCTCAACATTTTTCTTGGCATCAGTTCTTCCATATGAGTCTCAATCAGTCTGGTTGTGTGCATGAAGGCTTGCGACCAGATGGAGGATAAATTTAACTCGGTAAAGTGAAGAGAGTGGCATCGCTCCCCTCTGTCATTATTTACTGCCAAGGTGACCTGAAGTATCTTAACCTCCATTAGAGTGCTACTTAATCAATGGGACTTCTCTATGACCAACGTTGTGGGTGTAAACGGTTGCTGGCTTCCTGAGCGTGCAGTAAGAAATAGACATGAGGAGTTTATATTTAGCATTTTGACATCTTGGTGTCTTGTTTTTAGGGATGTTTCAGGATTGAAAAGTTACATGTTTTGCAGTATTAATGAGACTGAACTTACCACCAACAGTGGTAACTAACACACTAGTAGGAGAAATTACAGTGGCTACAAAACTCGAAAACTACAAAAAAAAAGCAAAAGGCCCTATCTTGGTCTTGTCCATTATAGCATTTTAATAGCCGCCTCCATGGAAGAGGGCCTGTAGCTGGACCTTTAACACATTAAGTTAACACAATTGATTTGAAAAAAAAACTTTATTTATAAACCTAACATTTTTTTATAGTTGGTCCAACAATCTTGTGATAAGATTTACTGAGCAGATGCAGTGAGATACACAATATATTATTGGTGGAAACTATTCTTACATTACTGGTATGAAGGGTGACTCAGGAACGTGGGAGGAGGCATCCATTTCTCTCTTTCATTCATTCCATGAAAACCATGTAGGAGTGATCTGCCATTCCTCTGTTTTATTCATTTAATTCATTCTTTAACCACATACTGTGGGCAGAGATGCTGAATGAGTCTGTTGTCTGTTACAGTAACTCTCACACCCTTTCTTTCACTCTGTGTTGGAGTTACTGATGTTATTTATCCCAGTATGATTAAATGAGTTTAAAGACACACTGACAGGTTTTGTTTTTATCTGTTTACGTTTTATTTTTTAATCTTAACATTTCCTCCCCACTGACTGTTGAAGTTTAACACAGTCCACAGACAACAACAAGGTTTTTGGTTTCCAAACACTGTGGGAACTATAGTACAATCATCAATCAATTATACACAATTTTTACAGTTTTCTTTTTTTTTCTTCACAGATTGTTCACAGCAAATTCATTTGACCTTATTGATGAGGATGCGTTCCAGGGTTTACCACACCTTGAATATCTGTAAGTACTGATCTTTCATTTATAAATAATTGATATATAATACATCTGTGAGGTGAAAGGTCAAACTGTTTTCCAATTGAATGCTGTCTGTAGTGTACTCAGCGATAGGCGCTAATGCAAGGTGTACCCAGCTTTGAAATTGAAATTGTGGTTACCATAGTAACGGGCCAAAAGATTAATTACTTTCTATTTTTGTTTCACCACACAAACAATCAAGCAATACTGGCATGCATGCTGGCATTTTTGAGCCCTACACAGGTGTTTTCACTTATGTTGCCTGACTAGGGGGAGGGCAGCGTTCATCTTCAGGATTCTTATTAGTTCATACATTTTGCTGACATTATTGTAACTCCACCCAACATCAGCCAGAGCACAAGTCTAATTAGCGACAGTAGACTAACTGAAAACACCTGGTTGGTTGTTGCTGGGCCTTTAAAATATAATTCATTTTGACATTTATTCCTGAATAATCTACCAGATACACAACCCACTGTAAGTTCAGCATCTGCATAGAGACAAGATGTTCAGAAAGGATTTCAGTTTTTTAGTGTCACAGTATATTTAATATTTGTGTGGGGATTACTTACATAGAGTTCAACTATCTTAATCTATGAAGATGCTAATAAAATATGTCTCATTCACAGATTTATTGAAAATAACAAAATTGCATCGATTTCCCCATATGCTTTCCGGGGCCTGAAAGCACTGATACATCTGTAAGTATTTTGGTGGCCATGGAAAACATCCTTCCTCCTTTATTCCTGTCCAAGAAAATGTGTCTATCTTTTTCTTTTTTCTTCCTTCCTTTCCAGTTTTTAAAACGTATTCTTTTATCTTTACCCCTAATCATCAACAATCAGCATAGCCACTTTTACATTCTCTGGTTAAGTATTTTCTCTAAGGGAGAGGTAATGTGATATTAGTATTCAAGGTATTCTAACATAAAACTGTGAATCAATTTCCTGTTTTCTCTGCCTGCATCACTTTGTTAGTGCCTGAAATGCAAAGGTAGACAGAAGTGCTGCTGCCAGTGGAGATGTCCAAGGTTACTGGCTGAAGGTGTCAGCTGGATCAGGTTGCTGAAGGGCAGATCTGGATGTTGCATTGCATTTTTGACATACAAATATGAATGGTTTTGTGACTTTAGCTGTCATATAGCTTTATTTTCTTAATATGTAGTTATTGGTATTAATATTGAAAAGTAGATTAATTCTGTGGGGTATATTATGAGTACGGTAAGCAATGCATATATGCATTCTATCTGTGTTCATGGTTTTTAGGAAATATGTCAATAGCATCACTTGTTAACATGAATTATGCTGACAAAGTCTTGATTCGGGAAATAGCCGAACAACAGTTTAAAAACAGTTTTGTAAACACTATTTCACATTCCTGGACTGCAGAGCTTGCCAAAACTAAAAACAGGTGAGAATGTGGGTGACCTGTAGGTCAAGGCTAAATATAACTGTACTGTAACCTTAAACTGAGTGACCTATAATATGTCCCTAAGCCTCTGAGAGGTCGTTCCTAACACATTTTGGGTTTATGCTGCAGCCAAATGGTTCAATACTTGCGTTCCACATCATGCATGACTTGATGTCTGAATGGATGGGTGATTCTTAACTCTCCCCTATCATATCTTCAAATATAGGGCACATTGTTCTTCAGAGGAACAAACTCAAATATGAGAGGTTTAACAGTTTATCAGCATTTATTCATGCATGCTTTCGGTGAGAGAATGTAAAACTCTGATGATAAGACAAAGAAGCATTATTAAAACTGCAAATATTAGTGTTAGATACAGCATTAAGGGATGTGCCCCATCTCTCATGTACAGTATCAGACAGTAGAGGAGATAAATACAATTTGTTACATATGCTGGGATATAGCAAAAATAAAAGGGTTAAACACATCAATATCATAACTTCACACAATGAAATTCAAGCAAATACATCCATAAGATTGTCCTAGGCTTGATAAGTGTCTGCATTAATGTGCGCCTTGAGCACTGATGGATATTATTGACAGTGAGTTGTCTGATAGAAGCTGTCAGACAGCATGTAACGATCCACATCAGAGGGATCGTTGCCTTGATGACTCTTGCAGCAGGCATCACATTAATAAGGGTACAATCAACACTAGGGAAAATGTTATCCAACCAATGCTCTGAGAGAGAAAGCAGTGACTTCATTCAGACCAATATATGCTGCACTATTAAAAACTGACAGTCTGAACTACTTTCTTCTGTAAATCTAGGAACGCTGTTATTAGTGTTTTACACCAAGGCTTGTAATGCCCTAAGTTAAATGCAGTTCTAACGGCAGCTTGACATTTTAGGAAACAGGTTGATTTGTTTTCTTCTTCTAGTTACATGGAAGATTGATACCGCTGTCAGTCTGACGGTTAGCTTAGCTTAGCACCAAGACTGGAAACGGAGGAAACAACTGGGAAAGTTCATTAGTGACTTTCTGGAGGATTGTCTGTGCGGTTGCCAGGGCAACTCATGCAAGTCACTGCCCCAGCCAAGAGATAGTCCGGCCCATGCAAAGTCACAGCGTGTCATTTTCACACTTCGGTTTCTGTACAAATTTAAACAAAAGAGATACAGCATGTTAATTAGGCAGCTTTAGAGGTGGTGGGTTTTTTTTAGACCAAGGCTGGCTAGGTGTTTTCCCATGTTTTCATCCTTTATACTAAGCCAAGCTTAGTTAACTGGCTGCTGGCTCCAGCTTTATGTTGAATGGACATGATCAATCAGCTCATGTAAATCTTGGAAAGGGAATAGATTTATGTTTGTGGGGGGGGGGGTAGCTAACCCTAACCCTAACAGACCAGCCCTTAATGACTGTTGGGACAAGAGTCTTTCATCTAGGATTGAATCAATTTGCATTTAAGCTGCTATTAACCAATAATGTGTGAACAGCTCCAAATGTTAGTTAAAGTTTACTAAAATCTGTTCTAACACGACTCGGAAAGTCATATGGAAGGGTGGGATAAAGTGCACTTTTCTTGTTTCACGAACGCTAGTTTAAGAGTAAATAAACAAACTTTCATTACATAAAAAGATGAATAAATGCATTATTAGGGGGAATTTTAAGTGCATCACATAAAGTAAATATATTATTAAGAGGCACAGGCAGGGTTCCTGCTGGAATCAGGTCCACTCTGCCGCTCTGTTTGGAGAGTGCATTCTTGCACAAACTCAAAGCAAAATGGCCTCTCTCCCTGGAAAACCAACTCTCAGATAAATAATGCAGCCCTCATGAATTACGCTGACATTTCATTTCACTCACATCTCTTTCTGGTTTGAAGTTTAGCCCCTCGCTCCCAAACATGAAATGTCTCTATAGGGCCAGTTTTGGTTGGTTGGTTTTAAATAAAGCAAAGATATCATCCACTTGACAGCCTTGGAGAAGAGTAGAGCACTGTTTAAACTGAAAACATAAAACAACATTACTGCTTTTTCAGTATGACCAATATTAAGGGAATTAAATATCACCATCTGCGTCTCCATGTAATGGATAAGCTTGGTGTATAAAGAACAGCATGTCACCCTTTGCAAAGAAATTATATTCCCTCCCTATCCTCAGTGTAATTGCTCTCCCTTAATTACCGAACCACTAATGATTTAATGCCCTTCCATTTCACCACTTAGCCCTTTGTCCTATAAATATTGTCAGGGCATAGACATTCTGACTTATGCCTCGCTCACATTTGGTTCCTTGTATTTTTTTATTGGTAGGGGAATTTGTTTGTTGTACTCTTACTCAATTGAAGCTGGCTTACAGAGCAAATGAAAAGCCTATAATAGAGTGTAATGACTCAGTGTCTGTTATCTCCAGTTCAATGACTGTGTGTATTCTTTTTTGCTTTTTGTTGATTAGGAGTCTGGCTTACAACAACCTTGAGACACTGCCCAAAGATGTCTTCAAGGGCATGGACGCTTTGACCAAAGTGTGAGTTGAGTCTGTCTCTCACTCAGGGTGCTTTGTTGGGACAGAACATTTAGTAATCAGTTGATTAAATACTTTTTTGATTGATTGATTCTAAAACCGCCATTTCTGTGGATTTATGTGCAACTCTGTTGATTTCAATCAAGCATAGTTTGCTTGATTGGTATTTTTTTCTGAAATAGCCAAGTAGGATAATGGAACAATGGAGCTCAAATGTAATATTTGTTGGTACTCAGAGTGATTCACTGGGGAGGAGTGGGAAGAGATTTATGGCATAATCCTTCTTTGTCTTCTTCCCTCTTTTCTAAAACTGTGGGATTAAGTACAGTAATATTATAAAGTTAGAGTGCTAAAAGGGAAAGCAATTCCAACACAAGACAGAGGATGTAAAGGAAAGAAGCCAGTACAGAAACAGAGAAAAAAAATATAACATTCTAGAGAAATCCATTTCCTGCTGCAGTGGAGAAAAGAAAAACAAGGTAAAGAAGTAAAGGAGAGAAAAGGGAAAGCTTAGGTTGGGATGCCAGAATGTCAGGGTAAAAGGTAAACACAGTTACAGAGAAAAGAATTGAATCCTGGCTGCCACAATCAGCTGGAATAATGCAGGCTACACTTTGTGAGGATTCAGAACACGCATCCAAGGTCAACAGCAATTCAGACTGAGAGTGGGCGACGAGCACAGACTACTCAGGAGATAGGACACTTGTTGTTGTGCCTTCCCTGGCTCGAAGCCAATGTGCAGCCAAGGAGCGGAGAGGCAGACAGGAGAAGAGTGAGCAGTCACTGAGCAGGGACTTGAAATATAGAGCATATGTTTAAAATAAATGTTTTAATAGTAAATATTATGTGTTAACTGTGTCCTGTGTGATTCATAAATGCATGAAGGGATCTACGGGGCAACAACCTGATATGCGACTGCAAGCTCAAGTGGCTGGTGGAGTGGATGCACAACACTAATGCCACCCTGGACCAGATCTACTGCAGCGGCCCGCCAATTAACCAGGGGAAGAAGCTCAATGATCTGCTGCCACAATCTTTTGACTGCATCACAGCAGGTATCATCTTCCCGTGTCTGGCCCCCTGCTATAGAGGCATTATACTAACAATGGCTCTCTGTAAGCAGTTAACCGCCTCACCATTTTTACTCTCGTTTCCTTCCTGCTCTTATTGTGACTATTGTTGTGACTGATCTCTTATGTCTTATTCACTGCCATGTCACGCTTTTCAGAGTTTGCTTCCTATCAGTCGCTGAAGTTTGAGTCAATTTCGGTGGAGGCCTTCACCTTTGGTACAGATCAGTATGTTGTGTTTGCCCAACCCTTTGCTGGGACATGCAGCTTCCTGGAATGGGATCATGTCGAGATGACCTTCAGAACCTACGACACCATTGAAAGTGAGCTAATAAACAAGTAAACCTCAAATGGTAATGTTAAAAGGAATTTGTTAAAGGGGGCATAAATAAGATGTAGAGAAATTGTATATTGATTGCAGTGTCAGTGTGGTTAGGTTCTCTTTAGGAGGATGCAAAACAAATTAGAGTGAGAGAGTAAACAATTACTCTATAATGTTTTTATGTGCATTGCCTTCTCTTTTCTTGCTCAGGCACTTCCACTGTGGTCTGCAAGCCCATGGTGATCGACAACCACCTCTTTGTCATCGTGGCCCAGTTGTTTGGGGGTTCGCATATTTACAAACGTGACACCTCGGCCAACAAGTTCATCAAGATCCAGGACATTGACATCCTGAAGATTCGTAAACCTAACGACATAGAGACATTCATGATCGACGGAGAGTCTTTCTTTGTCATCGCTGACAGCTCTAAGGTTGGCTACTTTTGCTTGTCCAATACTCAGAAGTACTTAAATTGATCAGGGCTTTAAGAATCATTTCATGGTATCTGATTACATTATAGTGTACAGGTGTTCCTGTTATTCTGTTCAGTCCATGCATGTATACCGCTCCTCTAAATTACTCTTCTCACCATGTCAGCCAGTCTGTCCCCCTGGTGTCCTTTCTCTCCAGCAGTCTGTTTGCGTCTGCTTCTGCTGATTACCCTGGCGTTGGCAATGTTCGCATATGCTCTCGCATATGTTTGGGGACACTCATGCATGCGCGCACACACACACACACACACACACACACACACACACACACACACACACACACACACACACACACACACACACTCATGTTTGGCCACATACACTGTTTTTTTAGATTGTATTAATCACTTAGTTCCGAATGTATGTGTCACAGTGAGTTCTGTTTTAAATAAAGTTGACTTGAGTTAACATTTTCTACATGTTACTCTCATAGGCCGGCTCCACAACAGTCTACAAATGGAACGGCAACGGCTTCTACTCCCACCAGTCACTCCACCGGTGGTTCCGTGACACAGATGTAGAGTATTTGGAGATCTCAAACAAACCCCACCTGATCTTATCCAGCAGCTCCCAGAGGCCTGTTGTCTACCAGTGGAACAGGGGCCAGAAAGAGTTTGACCGCAGGACTGACATACCAGACATGGAGGACGTGTTCTCTGTCAAACACTTTTGGGTCAAAGGTACACACGCAGGGTTTATTTTGCACTAACTAAAAAGACATGTGCACACTGTTGTATCACATTATCAGTTGATGTGAGTTAGTTTGTCCTTGGAGCAGCACTGCATATACAATACTGCACAATGTACTGTAGATACCATTTTCATTTTTCTGGGGTGTGTCCAGTGGTGGAATGTAACTGAATACATACTTAAGTACTGTATACAAATTCAAGTTACTTGCCCTTTACTTGAGTATTTCTTTTTCAGGCTACTTTAGGCTTGTACTCAACTACATCTCAGAGACAAATATTGTACTTTTTACTTCACTACATTTGTCTGACAGTTTTTCATACCTCTTCTGTCCAGGGGAAACCATGTAACTCCACATTTGTCTGATTGACATCAGTTTTATGGATTTAGAAAATGTTCTTCTTAAGATAAATAAACCATTTAAAATTAGCTCAACCTTAAACAGCTACAGCAGTAAAAGACAACAAACACATTACTGCAGCAGTAATATTAATTCAAAAACATTGTATATAATAGTAAAACACTGACAGGGACCTTTTAGTCCCCTGTAGGCTATGATTAGCAGGGGACTTTGATCCAGGGTCAACATTTCCTTTAGCATTGTTCATTTAATTGAAAAAAACACTGCCAGGGAACAATGACTCACACTTTAAGCTGTAATTTATTACTCTATAGTTCCTCATTCCTTGGCACATCATAGGCATTTGCTTTGAAGGGGGTAAGAGGAAATATCACTGTCAACTGCTATAAAAACCTGTATAATATTGTCTGTATTTCTTCTTTCTAAAGGGACATGTTATCTATTAGTGACTTATGCCTTAGTTTCATAACAAGCTATGAATTATTTTAGAATTACATAAACTGTTTCTGTGAGCTTTTCTATGTCAGATCCAGATTTAGAAGCTGAATGTATTAACTAAACAGTCCCTTGAATACTTGTCCTTTTCAAAGGTGAGCTGTTTATATGCTTGACAAGATTCATCGGGGACTCCAAGGTGATGCGCTGGGACGGAGCCATGTTCAAAGAGGTCCAGACATTTCCTTCCCGTGGCTCTATGGTGTTCCAGCCTGTCTCCATCGGCAACTGGCAGTATGCCATCTTGGGCAGCGATTATTCACTGACGCGGGTCTACCAATGGGACACCAAGAGGGGCCAGTTTGTCCCATCTCAGGAGCTGAACATCCAGGCGCCTCGTGCATTTTCTATGGTTTCCATTGACGACCGGGTGTTCTTGCTCGCATCCAGCTTCAAGGGAAAAACTCAGATATATGAGCACCTCATGATCGATTTGAGTAATTAAACCCATCATCCGTTTGGGACACATTATGTACACTACCATTCAAATGCTTTCTTCTGTGGTTTTGTTGAACTTGGCAGTCTCATTAGAATCCACCAGCAATTCCCACCCGAGTTTAAACAAAAGGAAGTTTCAAGCCAGAGCTCCAGCTATGTAAAGAGATATTTCAAATACAATTCAGGGCCTTTCTGTTCTGTTTAGACTAAGTGGTCTGACACCATTTCCATGACACAGAAAATATATTCTACACAGTCCCTGATGCCTATGTTCAGCAACTACTTATGTATTTTCACTTAAATCCTTACCATTTGGGAATGCTTTATTCTCCATTTCAAAAACATAATTCCACTCAAAGTGTGAACTTACTATCTTTCAGGAAAAACAAGCAATGAAGTCACAAGTTTTTGTCTGTTATTCAACTCTGCAGGTGTACTTGCAGTTACTACACAGCAAATGTCTCTGCAATTTAACTCCATACATTTTTTTTTTTTGTTTCTATTGTAGGAGTTTGATAGGAAAGACTTAGGAGTTTAGGAGTGCTAATGACCATTCAATAGTAGGTACATATTCTTGAGAGAAAGGGGCAAAACTACAGACACGAGTCAAATTTTCTTTAAGTCGTCTTTAATTTAACAAAGCCCTTCAGGAAAATCGACTTCAGAGTAAAATGGCATTACACAAGATCATTCAACATGGAATGCAATATATGGATATTGGACAGAAGCAGTGGGGTTGTTTATGTAGGTTCATCTCATCTTCTATTTACAAGACTAAAGTTAAAAACATTTCACCATTCATGCAAAAGGCTCCTTCAATTTGGCTGACTGGTAGGAAGTCCTACGCAAGGTTATGTCCATTCTTATTGTGCAATTTGGCAGCTAGACGTGTTCCATCAGTCTTTTGTAATTACTTTACACTTAAAGAAGTGACCCTAATATATGAAATACAGAATCCACTAAACACTGTGAGAAACTGAGAAAATAAAAAAAACTTCTCTGTCACATCTACTCTGACCATCAGTTAAGCAAGACTGTATGCATGATACGGACACTCACAGTGTTGATTCCTGATGAATGACTTGCTAGAAACGTCCCACTGTGTCCCCTAGCCCTCCCTTTTTTCACTGCACTCTTGCCCCTTTTCTCCCTCATTGACAAAAACCATTGTTGTCTTTACTCCGCACACTAAAAAAAAACCTACCACTGTGCAGCACCTCGTACCTGTGCTTTCACACGGTCCTCTTATTCTGACACAAAGGAAACAGAGTTCTGATAACAACTAACAACTTCACTGACAACAATTTGCCAAATATAATGTTTACGTTTTTATAATACTGTGTAAAGTAATTTATATGATATTGCTTTTTGTAAGTAGAGGGGACCACACTCAGTGTTTTATTTTTCATAGATCTAGAATTTAGTGAAGATATAAGAAAAAACAAAACAAGAATCACCTCCTTACAGGCTGTGTAACGTTACTTCTGCAAAACAGTATAGGCTTAATTGTGTCAGTCTCATCTAGTTAGGTAAGGATGGAGGTTATTAGCTACTCCTTTGTCATGTTGCTCATTGTATTTTATGTACAGTAGTAATAAAACACTAAAACGCTAAAACAGCGATTTAGTTCTTTTATTGTTGCTCTTGCTCTTTTATTTGCCAGTAAAATTAATTTTATTTCTCACACAGTAAATCTAGACTGGCATTCATTCACTCATGTTAGATATAGTCTTATATTTTCCTGATGGGTTTGCTTGGCCTTATAAACTTCTTCTTGAGCTGATATTAAGAGTAGTTCATATGTTTCAGTGCACTGAGTGGGTGAGTGTGTTGTGGGCACCCCACTGTGGTGGTAAACAGAAAGGGTTTAACGATGAATTTGTGTATTATGGGCAAAGAGATCCAGCTGTATGAACAAAAACACCAATTTCTTCCAGCATATACCTCATCAGTCATGTTTCTGTTTGTCAAATATCCTAAAATCTCATTATTATGAGTTAAAAGTTCATAATAATGCAACACTACGTCGTGTACGTCATGGTTATATTAAGTGAAACCATGAGGAGTTTCAATGCTTCTTACAATCATTAATGTATTCCATACAGCTCAAATGTGTGTAAGCTGAGTTTTGGTTGGTTCAAATTCCCACTGCCTCCCTCTCTATGGGCGTAAACGTTGGGTAATGTTGTCCAACAGAGTTGCTTTGGGTTCAGTTCTGCCCCCCTGTGGGAAAAGTAACCACCGCATGGGAGTTTGTATCCTGCCACCAAGGTTAGTCATTAACCTTGTCTTCTCAGTCACTCAGGGCACCAAAGAAGTCGGACAGCACTCTGTCCGAGGCATGCTGTCGCTCAGCCGTCTCATCTTAACATGGGCGACTGTAACCACTGCACACACGAGCGGGCTTTATCCGTAGAGGACGACGTTACCGTAGTGTTTCACAAAGTTGACAGCCATGGCTCAAACGGCGGCGGCGACGACCACGACGAGTGCGGCGATGATGAACGGACGGCGGAGAGGATTCACTTGCAGAGCAACTGTCGTGTGTCGTGTGACTACGATGGTGATGCTGAGGAGACGGAGGAAGCGAGAGGAAGCGTACATTCACCGGAAGGCAGCGAGAAGAACGCGCTGTGCCCGCCGGCGTTTTGCGTCAGAAGCGAGCCCGCATCCCGAGAAGAAAGCGCTCGTGAAGGTAGAAGAGCCGCACGCACTTAGTTAATACAGCGGCATTTAAACTGAAGTGATACATGTCCCCCGTCCTGGCATCAGTTGTTAGTGAACTTTGTGATGGATTTTTCTTTTTTTGGGGGGGGACAAAGATGCAGGAATAACGTGATAAGCAGCCACTTCCTACGTAGTCTCACGTTATACAACTGTGTAACGTCACGTATCAGTAATAACGTGGCCGATATCACGTGAAGGCTATTAGCCTATAAGCAGGGATACGGTCGAAGGAACGCACAGTTAAAGTCACTGTACACATCTTTGTAAAGTTAAGGCGCCTTTCTTTGTGTTTAAGTCTGGCGCAAGTGTAACGTAATTTAAACGTCATCTCATGATATGATTGACGTCACAGTAAAAGCTGTGGCCTATGATTACGTTTTAATGGAGAATATTTGTTATGGTTATTTATTACCGGTTATAGGCCTAGTAGAGTTGCCTTACCAAGAGTCAGTATCTCTTAATTTAGGGCTCATGCTTAATAATAAATACACAATAATGCACATTTCCCATTTTCGACGTTTGTGCCTAAGATAGCAGAAAATCAGTTGCTAAGTGTGTAGCCGGTAAACTGCTGTAAAGCAGCTCAACATTTGCATCATCCTTAAAGAGGATGGATGACTGTGCACTTTCACAGCACTAGGGCCACCATGCATGTAGTCCTTTAAGCACATTACGCTTATAAGTAAGACCTGGTTTGAAAGTTTTAAAACATTTCCATTCATATGGGTTCACTGTTGATGTGGATATATTTTGCTTGATACTTTTCATTAAATAAGTGCCCATTCACAGAAGAGGTGTGAAACTATTTGGGGTTCTCCCATTGCAGCTCTAGATGAGGAAGAAAGGTGATTTGGCTTTATTTAGTACATTTACAAGGAAGTGGGAAATGCACTCATATTTCTGGACAACAGTGTGCCTTTTGTACCTGGTGAAACATGACACTAGTACTAGAGTATAAACGCAGTAATGTAACACTGTAATAATCATCCTGCCTGTGTCCACAAGGCATTATACTGGAACTAAGATTATAAAAACCCTCTATACAGAAACAAATGTGCAGGCACTATTACAATATGACATCTTAAAGGTTAGGGAGAATGGATGTCCATGTGTTGGCTGGGTGCTAGGCTAAGAAAACAAATACCGCATGTGATACATAAATTGGTAAGTAGACTGCACATTGTGAACCAATACAAAGAAAGATACCCAGGTGACCTCAGGCTGAAATTTAATCTCCACAAGCATATCAGTTTATTGCTCCACAGGCAGGGTTTGCAAACACTACACCACCTTTAAATCTTTTGTTTGTGGTTTTATCCAATTTTGTTTTTACCCAGGCCACATGGAGTTCAATAACACTGCCCCATCCTGCAGTTACTGTATCAACATTAGCACAACAAAATAACCAATGTGGAACAGTAACCCCCACGTAAAGGGGCCCTTCTCTCTCCCCATCTGTTCCCCCACACTCACTCTCCTCCTTTTCTCTCTCTTTCACAGGCCCGGAGAAACCAAAGAGATGTCCAGGTATTGGTTTGTTCTATGCTTTCCTGTCCACAGTTTTCTTCTCCATCATTGCCCTCTTGGTGAAATCCATCCAGGGAGTCCACGCCATAGAGATCAGCGCCATACGCTGCTTCTTCCAGATGCTCTTTGTTATGCCGTTGCTCATCTACCACAAGTAAGCCAGATGGAAAAACTCAAACATTCTGATTTCTACACTTAAACAATTCAATTTAAATCCCAGATTTAAGATTTACACATACTTCACATGTATAATTAGTGCTATAATAAGACTCCAAAAACAGTCTTTAATTCAAACCAACAATTTGTATGTTGTGATTAGATTAGAGCTAGTGCATATCCCTGCCAGCTATTTATTTCTTGGGATTCCTGCACTTGTTTTAATGCATTGCCATCCACTTCATAGGCAAGTATCCTGACTCAACACACAATCACTGCTCAAACAAGTTTAAGTTGTCAAAATACTGTGAGAGACATGTATTATTCCTCTCGGCCCTGTTGATGGAAAATACACTATGTATATCCAGTGCTGGGAATGTTTTAAATATAGCATTCCCACATAAAGTTATATGTTTTTATTGCAGTCACAAATGCTATTATGAAGTACTGTTATGTTAAAACGTTATATTTTTAAGTGCATTGATCAGTGATTTCATTTTGCATTATTTTCACCTAACAACACTATTGAACTGTACAATAAACTTCACATCTGATTATCAGTTCTGAAGTGCAACAAAAAAACATTAAATAAACAACTTTGGCAATGAAATACTGTTAAAAGTATCATTTTAAATTGTTATAGAGACATATGTGTGTTTTATAGATGATGTCCACTATTTTCTCTTAGTAGATTAAATATAGTTATATAAACATCATGTTTAAAACAAGCCATGCAAAAGAACTATTATGTCACAATGTATACAATAACATGCCCTCCACCAGACACAGTAAAAAAACACAAATTATCCAAAAAACAAGTTCTAAGACAAAGTATATGAAGAGAAATACAATATGGCTTCTAACAATCATTAAGTTTACTCTCTGTCCATTTATGATTAAAGTGGCATTGTTAAATAAAACTTATTATATAAGAATCACATTGTGATCCCAAGAATCAAAATTAAATTTAATTCCCAAAGACTAGCACCAGTGTTGCTACTCATTCATTTACCTATTCATCCATCCATCCATCCATCCATCCTCTACATTCCTCTTTATTTTTACATTCATTCATAACCACCTCTCTTTTCAGCCCCACCCATTCCTCTGTCCATCCACGTCATCTCCACATTGCCTAAATCTACCCGTCTGTCATCTCTCAGCTCACTTTGCTGCTCAATTCCTCTCGATCCGTCTCTTTCTAAAATATGGTCTTTCTATCTAATCATCCATCCATCTAGTCATTCATTCATCCATCATCCTCATATCTCTGCTCCTCCAGGACAGGTTTCCTTGGTCCCAGAGATAAACGTATATATCTGGTGCTTCGGGGTTTCATTGGTTCCAATGCCATGATCCTGCTCTTCTATGCTGTTCAGCAGATGCCGTTAGCGGATGCCACCGTCATCATGTTCAGGTGAGAGTAGGTAGGATCCTAATTGATTATGGTTGATTCTTCTCCCTCATTTATATATATTTTCAATATTCTGTCAGTTACTTATTAAAGATCTGGGGAAGTGGATTCAAATAGAGCTGTTTACCTCATATGAGACAAATCTGCTGAGACATTAATTGACATTTCTCGCCACTTTTCTCTTAACTTGAACTTATTCAACTGTACCGATACATGTATTACTCTTATTATGTATTATTTACTGTTATTCTTCCATTGTCCAATTCCTTAGTAATCCAGTCTTAACTTCCCTCCTGGCTTGGGTCTTCCTGAAGGAGAGATGTACAATCTGGGACTGTGTGTTCACCGTTTTTACCCTCACTGGAGTCATCCTTATCGCCCGACCACCATTCATCTTTGGCGAGGATGTACGTGGCATTGAGGGCAACTACGCTAACCACATCAAGGGGACTATTGCTGCCTTTGCAGGTGATACGATTACAAAAACTCTGTTTCATACTGCGTGTGTATAACGCTAAAGTTTGTTTGACCATAATAAGTAGATCAAATCATACAGGAGGAAGTATGATGTTGAGAGTTTTCTTCAGACTCCATTTATTTTAATCACTTAACCAAGTCAGGATTACCATGGCAACCAGGGGATTTTAGGGCAGTGCAGCAAAGTCCCCTGGCACATCTGGGTCCACTGGGAGATTCAGTCTTACCAGTTAGTTCTACTCTGAGGTTCTCCGTCCAGTTGTGGTGGTCGAATAGCTCCTCTCCGTGTGAGAAAGTGTTGGTTTGAGGTCCTTTCAGTGTTATAAGCACCCTACACAGTCTCACACAGTGACATTATCCACTATGCCAAAATCCTAGTTTTAGCTGCTTGACATGATATCTAATGCATATCTGTCCATCCTGTGGGTGGGATTCCTCCTCTGTTGCTCTTCCCGATGTTTCCTCCATTTTTTCCCTGTTAAATGTTTTTTGGTGGGAGTTTTTCTTTATTGAGGGTCTAAGAATGGAGGCTGTTGTATACTGTACAGTGAGGCCCCCTGAGGCAAGTTTGTGATTATGATATTAGGCTATATAAGTAAAATTGACTTGACATGGACTGACCTGAATTTTCCAACCAGCAAGAATTGCCTGTTGAGCGACAAAGTTGTGATCTCTCACTGGCTTCCCACCTGCAAACAATTTGCCAATAATTTTTGTTGAACCATTCAGCTGGATAGTGTCTCACAGTGTGCCCCAGTTTTCAGATTTAAGTGTCATATGTTTGTCTTTAATTGTCATTATTCTTCTGATTGCTGTATTCATTGAGTCTCTTAATTTTTTATTCATTCACAGGCGCTCTTGGGGCTGCTTTTACATTTGTTGTTCTTCGCAAGATTGGAAAGAGTGTCCATTACTACCTCTCTGTCTGGTACTACGCTGTCATCGGTTTCATCGAGTGCATCATCACCGTATCCGTCCTGGGTGAATGGAAAATCCCATTCTGTGGCCGCGATCGCTGGATGCTGATGTTGATTGCTGTCCTGGGCATTGCAGGCCAGACCTTCCTTACAAAGGCACTACAGATCGAGAAGGCTGGACCGGTGGCCCTGATGAGGACTGTCGATGTGGTGCTGGCGTTCATCTTCCAGTTCATTTTCTTTAACCGTGCACCGACCTTGTGGAGCCTCGGAGGGGCGCTGTGCGTAGTGGCAAGCACAAGTGGAGTAGCACTTAGGAAGTTGTACACCAACTCTCGCAAGAGATGACGGACAAGCAACATAGAATACTTTGGTATTACTATTTATTCTTTTTTCACTATCATATGTTTTAGATTTATTCTGTATTTTACTTGTTATTTACATGCAAACCTGTGAGCAGGTTTGAGCTTGTTGCAGAGTTAAAGGCAGTAATATAGAATGATAATCTAGTAGGGGTCAGTTAGGAGCTTATGGTAGTTTTAAAATCAAAATTTAATTCTGTACATCTGTACATGTTGATTCCTGAGAGTCAACCTGTAATTTATTGTCATGCATTTATTTTTTTGTCAATTAACACATACATAAGATGCAGGAAAAACTGTTTCTGGCCCCAAACCATATTCTGCTCTATGGAGCTTGTGTAGCTAACTACCTACTCAACAGAGATTTCTTATTTTCTCCTGATTAAAAATATGAACAGCATAAATGGGACTAAAAGTTTGCATTTCACCATAACGAAGCAGTTTGATGAGATACCCTCAGTCCCTTTAAACTGAATGAAATAGCCAAAGAGGTTTACTGCATTGGGACCATATAGGGTCATACTGTGTCACACAACATGGCAATCATGAAAAAAAAACACTACATATTTCATTTTATTGTGGTATGTACTAGGTGTTATCAAATGAGTATCTGCAAAAAAAGACTTGCTGTATTTGTGGTGCTGACAATACAACTATCACTCCGGTTTTTTTTTTAGCAAATGAAATGTTTATTACAAAGATGCTGAAAATATTTAAGTCAACAAAAAAAAGAAATATAAAAGCTGAAAATGAAATCCTAAAATATTTCCTTAAATACAAGGTCATGCTGTAGAATTATCTCAGGGATCCCTTGCCTAACCGCTTGTAATGCCCATTCGAATTACCCCTAAATCCAACCCAGTGTTCTTATACGTTTATTCATTTGTGATATATTTCTTATTATGATATTATATTATAAAATACAATAGGCTTACCGTAATATCTATTATTTTCCAATCCATTGCTAATCATTTCTTAATAATATCTTTGAAGTGCCTTAAGTAGGGAACTTTAACCTCCAGATTCACATAGTGGAGCTGCTCAGTAGCCAGCAACTCGTACTGTGCAGCTCTCAGGTGTGATTGTGCATATTAATATGTATATGAAGTAAGGTGCTTCTGAAAAAACAGATCAGATAAACTGATTTTTAAAATGCCTGTATGAAGAAATCAAAGATTAACAGCATTTTTAATGAGGCACCTAAGACATGACCCACAAAGGCCACACAGATTTCTTCATAATCTCAGGAGGAGTCAACTGTCTCATGCTGGCTAGCACTTAATGTCATCTTAGAACTGAAGCATCAAATTTGTGTTCTCAGCAGTCTAAAAATATATTTTCTATGATGCTCAAAGGGGGGGGTGTTGTTTGCACTTTGTCTTTGCCAGAGGGTAGAAAAAGTGTCAGTGACCTGTCAGTATAATTCAACAAATGATGATCCTCCTAACAGCTGCACACAAGGATTGCTAGATGATAACAACCTCAATTAATTCAAGGACCTAAGAGAGATGAAAGATGATGTTGAGGTTTTACACTTGAATATCATTGTTTTTGTGTCATCCTCTGTGACCTAAAACAGCCACCTGTGGTTCTTGTGCCAAGTTGAGGTCCAGGTTTGTCCAAGTGGTGAATCAAGAGTTTTGGGCAATGCAGATAAGTTAAACTTCCAGAAGAAGAAAACAAAGTCTTAAAAATAATCTTAAAGGTCCAGTGTGTAATATTTAGGAGGATTTACTGGCAGAAATGGGATATAATACTCATAGGTATGTTTTCATTTGTGTATAGTCACTTGAAAATAAGAATCATTATGTTCTTGTTACCTCAGAATGAGCTTTTTTTTATCTACAGAGGCCTGTTTTCACCTGTTTCGTGTCCGCTGTAGTTTCTTCTTTGCACTAGGAGCAAAGGGAGAGTAAAGCAAGGGAGCTAGATGCCACTAAATCCTACGCACTGGTCCTTTAAAATATATCGTATTAATTTCCATTATTATTGCAATTATTGCTAAAAGCATATTGCTTTATATATAGTTATATATACATTATTATATGATAAAGTATATATATATATACGTGCTTTATTATGTAATAATGATATAATAATGATGCAATATAGTGTTTTGTCCTTTCACACTAAAAGGTTGCCTTGGGCGCCGCTCTCCTCAACCGCACTGTGAATCAAAGGTGTTCTTTATGTGTTACTGTTTGTAGAAACTTATTTCAAGGGGTGTGGGTCTCTAGCACAGCCCCTTGCGTGTTCTGTGTTTATGTGTGGTATAAATCATCCTGTATTTTTAGCATTTAGCAAGGAGCTCCCCACTATCATGATGTGTGAGTGCAACTGCAGTCCTCTGTTGCAGAAATGCTAGAAAAGGAAGGCAATTAGTGTTGATAGACTGCTATTAAAGATTTTCTTCCGTGCTGTTTTTCCACACACTGTTTCTGTTCTCGTTCAACCTGTTGAGAACTCTGTCAGCACCGCTGCATCATCTGACTTGCCTCCACTTATAGTTATTACTTTTATGAAGTAAACTGTGTATCACTATTAAGTTTGCACATTTTTGTTTTGTTTAATCAGATGGTGACGGTGATGTGTGCGTTTTTTCCTTAATCCTCTTCTTTACGAAGGTAAACGGATTCCAAAGACAATATTTAGATTTACTATTGTCCTATAGGGCACGGCACAGTGTGTTAAGCTTAAATAAAGCAATGCTCCTTTTTCTATGCAGGACAAAACACTGTCCTGTGAGAGTAGAGTATTTGATTTTTATGTGCACAAACATTATGCAAGAAGAGGTTAGGCTATTCTGATTAGGATTGCACTGATATGATATTTATGCTATACCAATTAATAAATTAATAATAAAAATATAATTGTGATCCTGCCCACTGGCTTTAAAGAGCAGAATATAGTTAAATGAGTAATTTCGGTTCATTGTACGACAAGCCCTGGGATATAATTAATAGGATCATCATATCAAAGTGTGAAAACTAATAAAAAAAATTGGTCCATCACGTGTGATCCCAGTATTGTACTTTAGTGTCGGGGAAAGGCACTGTGACATTTTTTGAATCATTGTTCGTAGTACAGTAGGATGTCATTGTCTCTTCAGATGTTCCAAGGCTACAGTAATTTTATGTTCTTGTTTGAGTTGCTTTGACACTGATTTTTACTTCTCATAATATTAGTTTAGTTGAGTTGAATGCTGGTAGTGTAAGCACAATGTGTTATTTCCATCATGGTTTATTTAAACACTTGTTTCAGGACCTATAAGCCTTACAAACTTACTAAAACTGTTTTTAGGGTTTTTAAACTATGCTTTAATAGTATTTATTTTACTATTTCTGTAATGTATTACATCAACATATTCTATAAGATGTTTATATTTCTGCATAGTGATTGATTATATTTAGTATATCATGATTTAATAATAAATTCTATATGAATTTGTAACTCTTATTGTCTGTGGTCTTGATTTACATAAATCACTTCTATATTTTCTTATATCTTTCCAACATGACTTTTCTAACATGACTGAAACTTGTGAAACAGAACAGACCCAAGCTGTGTAGAGGCATTGTCTGGACTAATATCATTGTCCCAAAGCCCATGGTGTTACCCCAGCTCTACTCATGACTCAATAGGTGACAATTGTACAAACTAGGCTACAACCATGGAACCTTTTTTTTTTTTTAACAAACCACTGAGTCAGGTAGCCGTTGCTCAGAATAGTACCTGGCTGAGTGGATTGTAATCATTGTGTGTGCGTGCAGGCTATTTGTCTCTGTGAGCATTACACCTTTGTTTATTACCCCTTTGTTTGTAAACAACACACAGTTGTGAGGCATTGTGTAGTCATGCAGAATGAGTGTGTTTCATTGTGTTGCGATATAACCCACTTCTTGTAAAACAAAGCCTTCCATAGAGGGGTAACTGCATGCAGATGGCGGTATAACCCTTACTCTGGATCTGGGCTACGGTTGCAGGGTGATTCTTCAGTGGAGCGCTGAGCGAAGTGTGAAAAGGCTGAACTACAGTAGAACAGGGTAGAATTAGGACTAACTTGTATAAAATGGATGTTTTCTTATGTTATCTTCCACCTACAGTTTTAGTGCTACTAAAATATTAATATTTTTTTTCTCCATATTGATAAGGTTAATAACATAGTAACATCATAAGATAATTCTATGTATTACAGGTAGTCACAGTAGAAATGGTGCATCGATTGTATTATCAGTATTATTACTGCATCAAAGTTAACAGTACAGTAGTTCAATACTGGCTTCCTGCACATGTAATGAACGTTTACTGACAGCAGAGGGCAGGAGCGACAAAATTAAGGACTTTTTCTTGACTGGAACTTCAAATAAAACTTTACATTAACACTGCAGGTGGCTCAAATCAGATATTCTTGTTCATATGTGACTCAGATCTGTTCTTTTGTTGTTGTTTTTTCATGACAGAGAACAGCAAAAATCCCATGGAATCTGATCAGTTTCATTTCTGATTTGGGCCACTTTCATATGTGGTCTAAATCAGATACATGTGTGATTTTTTTTTTTGCAAAAAAAAAAAAACACCTTTGAACGGTCATATCAGAATTTATGTGACTTGTATGCCACTTTAGATCTACGTTCCTCATGCGGGTCACTTCAGGACTGTGACCTGTTCACACTAGAATCTGACTCTGGCCACATTTAACAAATTATGTGAACAGCAACAACAGTTTTAAAGATGGCGGTGTATGATATAAGGCGAAAAAACTGCTGAAAATGCTGCTTCATGGTCTCTGTTGGGTCACAGTTCAAACAGTGATGTCCCAGAAGTAATTGTTCCTTCATGGCAGTAAAAACACCTGGTTTGTCAATGAGGTGTGGCAGGCCGTGGGGAGGAATGCAGCAGATGTGTGCTGCTGGCATCTAAACAAAAGCCTTCTATTACTTGGTGTTTTATCAATGTCCTCTTAAACGCAAAGCAAACATTAAAGCATATAAGGCTAAAAACAATACAGTAGTAGTAGTAGAGTACATTAGTGTTAATAGAGCCAGTAGTTAGTGGTTCATTTAGCAGGTTGCTGTTAAGAGGTTTGCTTTGGAAGAGGAAATACACATTTGTACTTATCAAATAAGGTCAGAGGCGTGTGTACAAGATAGTCTAACAAGATTCTATATTATCATTATATCTACAGCACCTTATTTACATTGCTTGTCAATACTCTCACGCACACATGAAATCTGTATTATACAGCTAGGTCTGCATCTCTCAGTGTGTGTACATGCTGATTACAGAAGATATGTAATGTTTAGAAGGATCTATTGGCAGAAATGGAATATAATATTAGTAGGTATGTTTACATTAGTGTATAATCTCTTGAATATAGGAATTGTTTGTTTCGTTACATTAGAATGAGACGTTTTTATCCACAGACGTCACGGGTTGCCTTCCATGGAGTCGTTTCTACAGTAGCACAGAAAGGGAAAAAACAAGCACCGGCTCTAGATACTGTAGGTGACCACTGTAGCTAGACGCCACTAAATCCTACACACTGGACCTTTAAGATTTAGAAGAATTACCTCAACCAACAAAACACTTAAGCCTTCAGTTCATCAGAAAAACTCTAAATCACCAGATTTGGAGATTTGTAGTTTTCACAGATGCAAAATTGTAATCTGAAAATGAACTAGTAACTAAAGCTGTGAGATAAATGTAGTGGAGTACAATATTAGCCTCTGAGTAGTACTCATTTTCTGCCTTAAGTTGCAGAAAATGAATCTCATTTACCTCAAATTTGAAGTTAAATGCAGTACTTGAGTACATGTAGGCGTACTTACATTCCACCACTGCCTACACACTATTTTAATGGAGCTCCCTTATCAGCTGCACTCTACAATTCTGGTCCATCTTTGAATGTAATTTTTAAATGTATAAAGTTACAGATTGGTCGAAATAAAGATATGCAGGGACATTGTCAATAGCCCTCATGTTTTTTTTTGCAACACTGCAATGATGTAATTGCCAGTAGTGTTAAAGGTAACATTTTAGTAACAATAGACAACTGTCTTATAAATGATGTCATTCATGGAGGTGCAGTAGGAGGAGATGTGACAATGCTCTAGGTCATATTTAAGTATGTCACTGAGAGCAAATGCTGGTATGTAAAAATGCTAGATAATGCTGGAAAAGCCACACGCCCTCCTTTTTTTTTTTTTTTTTTTTTTTTATCAGCGAGCTGGGGATTCCCAAAGGTTTGCACGCTCCTGGGTGGAGGAGAGTTGAGGGGAATGGAAGGGTTGCACATTCCTGTCGGATGGCATAAGACTTCCCATCAGCAGAGCGGGAGGGAATTGGAAAATAATCCCTCATTTTCCAAGTTGAAATAAATGAAGTTATAGGCTGTGAAGTGGAAAAGGGCATCTCTCTCTTTCTCTCTCAAGCACGTGCTTTCGGTGTCTCAGGGGGCGGGGTCGGCGGGGCGTTCACAGGCAGATCGAACGAGCAACCTACTTTCTATTTTACTAATATCACAAGCAATTGTGCAACCAGGAAGCCAATGAAATGACATGATTTGTATTTGCTGAGCGCTAAACTTAATTTGGTTGGTCTTTGCCAACAAATTACAATAAGAGTTATACCAAAAAATATTATCCACTGGGGATTGAACTTGTCCCAGAGGTGAGGCACATCTGGTGGCAGATTATGGACCAGGGCCAGGCCAAGCATAGCAACTGATTGTGGATGACATAAGGTGTCTCTAATGGGGGAGGCCATCCTGCACTGGAAGCAGTTAATTTTAAGTTAAACTAAATAGGCATAACAAGCCTATATAACACCCGACTCTGTTCACAAGTCTGTAGTGAATTGCTGTAAAAAATAATTTGGGGCTAGAGGAAACAATGTATATGACACACTACGTGAAGCGGAGGACTGGCTATGGTGTGAAAATGTAGCCAGACATTCCAATGTGGTGACACACACACACACACACACACACACACACCCCACAGAACCACAAAGTAACCCAGAGCCGTGGTTATTGTCCTTCTGTCCACAGCTCAGTTCAGCTCAGTTGGCCACTGTGAGAGAATGAGATGCTGCATTTGTGTGCTGTTGGATGTATTGCAATTTGGCTCAACAGGTTACAAAAAGCTCTGTTAAATACTTATATTTTGCATTTACCACATTAAAAAAAGTCACTGTGACTTCCAGTGCAGCTCCAAACAATGTTATGCCTATAAGTGACATGAGTGACATACCCTTTGTGCATTGCATATCTATCACCTTTCAAATTTCCATCCACTGCTGCACTATATGACCAGTTATCCTATACTGGAATAATACTATCTGTTCAAGATTTTTTCTGAGTGTCAGTTAATTTGTGGTAGTTTAATTCAACAACTTAATTTAAGAATAATGACTATGTGACCACAATATAAATTAAAATAACCAAGTACAGAAGCACAAGATAAGGTAATAATGCACCACCCACCTTAGTAGATATTATATTTTCATGATGCAAATTCCTGAACATATTTACATTTGGTCAAATTACAAAAAAATGATGGAGATGCGGTGAACCTGAGGCTTTAGGGGCCCTGGGGCAGTTGCTGATTTTGGTTGGGAACCTACCTAACATTACACTGCCCTCTCATGGTATCTGATGCATTCATTTTTTAAATATTTTATAACAGCACATACTAACTACTGTACGTTTCCAGATTGGTTTTGATGTACAGTGTTCTAAATGCTACGCCCCAGTTTTCCAATTTCCAATGTATAACCAAACACGTTTAGCTATAGGCCTAACTGGGACTATTCCATATTGAGTATTGAGTTTGCGTACAGTTTTCCGAGGAGCACCTGAACGCATCACAAGAAAAGAGAGCGGTTTCACACCGGAGCACGAGCGGCTGCCTCAACTGTCTCTGAGCGAGTCAGTCAACGAAAACTCAGCAGAACATGTGTTGAACTACACGGTGTGCGGCGTTTCGGTGGATGCTGACTGGATAACTCTTCAGGGGTAAGTTTGTGGCCAACGTATCTCACGTCAATACACGTCTGACACCATTTATTTTTTTCATTTTGTTGCACTGCACGAGTGTTTTGGGTCGGGAGTGCGGTTTGTTTGTGAAGTAGTTGCTCGCAGTGCCAGTGGTTTCCCAAACTGGTGTCCGTGAACCCTAAAGTCACCCACAGTGAGTTTAATAGTAGTGTTTCTCCATTCACGTGGGTTTGTCCGGTACTAGAAATGAATGCAGGTGAAATGTGGGTCTGTTTTCAGTCGAGACACTGAACTGAAACTCCTAGCAGAAACACTTTTAAAATGGGGTTACGGTTTTTTTTTGGGGGGTCACTTGGTGAAAAAGCTATTATCTGCCATTTTTTTCTGCGCTTGCTTCGAGGTGCATTACTGTGTGTAAAGGCTATAGCAGTGTCAAAGTTGTTTGCGTTTATTGACATCAAACATTAACCAAAACATGAGCTTGAATGGGATTAGTTTTTTTTTTATTCTTTGCCTAAGCTGCTAACACTTTCATTCAAAGTGTGCAGGCGTGCATATTATTATTATTTTCTTTTAGTTTGACAGGTCAGGTCAGGTCATTGTTTACATAGGCACATTACTGTGGCTTGTCACTCTTTTGTATGTGATGATGCAGTGAAGGTTGAAGGAAATGAAAGGGAAATGCAGCTCAGATTAATCAGATCCAGATCGGATCCAAAACACTAACAGAAGGTTCAGGAAAAGACACATGGGCAATTTAGGGGATAAAATGCAGTCCATATGACAGTCTGTAACACTAATGGGGTAACCGGGTCATATTTACAGTGCGAAGTAGAGGCCACAAGGAGAGAGAGGACACTTGAGAATAATAATAATACTGTGGTTGACAAAATTACAGTATTTTTACAGACTGTGACATTTCAAAAGTCGCCTTTCTACCCAAAATGATAATGTTAGTCAATATCAATGATCCAGCATTATGGCATACTGTGTGGCAGCAGCTGGAAGGGAAGGTGTGGTGATAGAAATGTGCAGCCGACAGGGATGGGAGACTGGTTGGACTTGTTGTTTTCGAACGTGCCGTTCTCCTTCGCCTCCAGAGAAAACTCTTAGGTGTCTCCCATTTGTTCAGCTGTGAACCGGCTCCAGACGTTGTCACAATGACATTACAGTTGGAGGAGTGTTAATTGTGCCTATAATTGACCTTTGGCCGTTAATCTAAACATACTACAGTTGTTTTGTGACTTATGTTTTTTCTCACATCAAGCTAAAGCTGCACTTTGATGAGCTTTACTTAGAAATTAAAGGTGCCCTATAGAGCTTTTTTGGTCGTCTCTAACCAAAGTGAATTGCACAACTCCTCGAGGTCCAACATTATTTTTGAATGCATTTCAATATTTTGTAATCCTGTCCCCCTTAGCTACTCACAGTAACATATCCTTATTCACTTCATGCTGTCTTGCATACAGTTATTCAGACAACATGCATGAGCATGAAGGCTAAGGGAAAAATACTCTACAAAGCAATTAGTTTAAGCAATATCCAGATATATAGCCAGATCCACGCAACAGAGTTGTCAGCACTGAAACCAGATTTCCCTTAGCATGAACTCTCTGATATGGACTTATTTTGCCTTTGCTGGGCAGCAACTGGGAATTGATTAAGTGGCTGAACAGAGTGAATACTTAAATAAAATTCTGATTGTAGTTGGGCTAAAGCATATGTTCTGTGGTTGCCATATCCTTACATTGTGTTTAGTTTATCCCCAGAAATTAAATGTGTTCTCGAAACAAAAAAAAATTGCTGATTGCACGGAGCAGACACAAACCAGTTGATTTGGCTTCAATCAGCCACAACAAGCGTGTTGTTAGTGTAGGTTTGTGTGATATGGACGTGGTTCACTATCATCTCCAGTGGTGGGGTTTACCTTTGTTGTGCCATAACACACTTTCTGTTGTTATAGACATACGCAGTCACAACTACTGGCACTCATTGCATTCAGTTTTTCAAGTCAACAGCCTCCCCCCTTTTTGAGTCATCTTTTTTTTAACGAGCGCTTAGACACATACACACACACACACAGACACACACACACACACACACACACACACACACACAAAATGCATGCTAGCATTCACACACTATCCACTGTGAAAATACAGTCACCCTTTCTTGAGTCAGCCCTCTCCCTCTGTTGTTACACAAATTCACACACAAACAGATACACACACACACACACTCACACACTCACACACAGAGAGCCTCTCTCTCTCTTTCTGTGCAGTTTCCACTGGAGTCTCTGTCTGCCCTGCCCTCTAATCAAAGCCATATGTTCTCCAGGTCCCTCGCATGAAAAGTCTGTTCTGTTTGCAGCTCTGTTCCCAGTGTAACCAGCCTCTCGCTTTATTACCGGCAGAGGAGGGAAGCGGTGTGGACAATGAGAGGTAACCTGTGAAGGATTGCAGGTTAATGTGTCATCCTTTTATCTTTCTTTTCTGTTTGTCTGGTTTTTTTTGTGCTATCAGCATCATCTCCATGGTGATAAAATTTGGTAATGGATGGTTTTCTCTCACTTAAATCCTTCATAATTCCCCTTTATGTAAAAGCTCTCCTGGTCAATGAATTGAAATATGAATTGTTCATGAATTAAATATATTTCTGTAGCCGTAGCCTTGAGCATTCCTGACAGATCAGAGTGATAAAGCTTTTCGGGGTGTGTAGGCTCACTTTGCCTCCCCAGATGAATCAACTGTCGGTCTTCATTATTAAAAAACATGCGGTCCAGGAGGCCAAAATGGGGCTGCTCAAACTTATTATGGGACCATGGCTAATATAAACATAAACCAGCGCTCTTGTTATGTGGGGACCCACCAGAAACTGGCATGTGACTCATTTTGGATCCCAACCCAAAAGTGTAATAATACTCCCTTCAAGTGAAGGATTATACATGCTTTAAATTCTCCTAATTACTGGGGTGCCATCTTGTTTATCTGGTTATGGATAAAGTAAAGATTCCGTTCAGCTCAAGTTTTCTTCAACTGAAATTTACAGGCCAGCAGATGGAAAGCAGTTTTCCATCAGTTCTTAACCACTCGAGCTGTGATTCTCTGCCCAAAGCTGGCTGGGTTTTGACCTACTGGGTTTGGGCCAATTCTAGCTCTTTTGAATTTGCTCAAACTTGAATTGGGTTGGTATTCAGGGCACTGCATGGATATTCCTATTGTGAAAATTCCAAGTTTTACTTGATCTTCTGGTATTTGAGGTTTGTTGTCGATGGCTGGCTCTCATGTGCAAAGAAATCTACAGTTTACAGTTCATGTATGGTGGGTTGAAGTTAAGTCCTTTGAAAAATCAGGGGTTGATTTAGATCATTTTGAGTAAAAATCAGGCGTTAGCAAGGTTGTGACTCAGCTGCAGTTATTTGGGTCGGGTTGAAACAGAAAACCACGTCGGTTTTCTTTCATCAGGGCCTGATCAAAACTCAAATGTTGTAATTAGAAACATTAACGTGGCTTTTTACTGGATTTCTTCTTATATTCTAAAGCACATAATGCTTTTTTTTTAACTTCCCAGCTGCACTGTGGTCTCTCCCTTTATCTAGGTGCATTGTAACATTTGTCAGTTTCTTTTTAACTGCGACCAGTTTAAGGAATGTGATTCTATTGTAGTCATATGATGTGTCTTTTCTTCTCTGACCTGCTGCGTTAAAGAGAGGGGGTTCCTTTGCATAAAGAGTGCGTTAGTATACTGAAGTTTTAAAGGGGAACTGTGCAGGACTTTCTGGTACTGGATCATAGAGATGGCTCTGCACCACGTTGGATTTCCAATACAGTTCCACAACACTGAATTTGTACAACCTGATTTACATTCTTCTTTAGTATGTACAAAGCTCTTCAATGTGCACTGTGGTTTGGAGACCTATAAAAGAACACGATGCATAAATTGTCAGAAATTCCGCTTTACTGTTTATAGTTCTCTCCGTCTCTTTATGCCAGCTCATATATTCTATAGTTTTGTATAGTATTTTCATAATGTTCCAGGGGAATACGTAATATTTACGTGTAAATGTATTTTTTTTTTTTTTGACCATGGAATGTTTTTTTTTTTTTTTTTTTACTGTACTTATAGTCACCTTCGTGGCATCATCACCAAAGTATTTTTGACTAAGGATAATCGAATGGAAATCTGTTTTCACTGCGTGACTGTCTCTTTGCATTTGGGTGACATCAGTTGGAGCGTCACTCTATTGTACTCACATGGCTTGGCTTTTTTTCTCTCAGCACAACAGAAAAGGGGATTCCTTCGGCCCCCTGCTTATTATGCTGCTGGAATGCTAAAGATCCAATGCTGAATCTTAGTGTGAAGTATTTAGTGGAGTACTTTGGAGGCTCGGGAGGATAAGTGGCATTTCAGCTCAGTTTGAATCCAGGTCTCATTTTACACTTTTACAGTTTTCACACTTATTTAATCTCTCCTACGTTCCTCATCCACTGACCGTGTACTGTCAAAGCGAGCTTAAAATCGTAAATATGAAGCGTAAAGGTTATTACCAGTAAATCATGGTGCTGCTTCTACCTCACTGACCAGGCTTTACTCTGTTGCGCTCCATGTGAAGTTGGACCTAATCACATACCAGGCCATGAGTCATCCTTTGGATGAGTTGTGAAATAATCCCTCATGAATGAACATTAGAAAAAAGGCTTTTATGTGAGAGCGAAGGGCCCCCGTAGAGGGGATAAACAATGATTTAGGAAAGGGGTTCACAAACCGTTACAGTCCTGAGACAAAATATCATTAAAACAAATTGTTACTCATTTTTATTGACTACCCATGAGACAAAAAGGTATTACAGACATGGGGAATTAGTGTTTAAACACATAATTTCAACAACTGATTGAATATCTCAATTTATAAGAAAATACCATGTCTCCCTTTGGAGCCCCGGCAGATGTAAATTCAAATCGAACAATCAGTTACGATCACCTTGAGCCTTGATCTACCATTTGCTCATCACATGCTTATAGCAAACATATAACTTATATCATTCATCAAAATTAAGTAACTATGGTTATAAAACACACTTTGCTTCACAACAAATTCTACTGAACATCATTTTCTGATTTGATATATTGCAGTTTGGAAATAACCTTTTGAGATGAATGAGGGAACAACTGACACTCTAAAATACAAAAAAATATACACAGTTCTGTTGTTAACCATCTGATTCTGATTATATCCAATTTCTTCAGGACTGTCAGAAGTGCTGAGATCATCCCTTTTTCTTTCATCAACATGTGTTACACTTTATTGTAGCACGGGTAATGCTGGATCTTATTGGACAGAGTACCCAACAGTTCTCTTTTAAAGCAAGATGGGCAGACAACTGTCTGTCCTTATTTCATCAGCTTTTTCAGTGCTGCAGTTGAGATCAGTTTTCCTTGGCTTCTTTTTAAGTAAACAAGTTTTGTAAAGCAGTATACAAGCCCAAATGTGGGCATTTGTTCAAACTTTTGCAATTTAAAAAAATGATATAACTATACCTATAACTATAACTAATAATAACTATAATTTTTTATAAATTACACAAACAGTGTGTGAATTGGTGAGTTTTAAAGGTGCTAGTAGGGGGATTAGCTTTGGACCGAAAAGGGTTAGCTGATTCCACTTACTTCCAGTCTTGATGCTAAGCTAACCTGCTGCTAAATAAAAGCTAAAAATAAAATCTCCGATTTTTTTCACACCAAACCCAATTTACGATTTTAATCGATTTTTTTTCCTTCTTAAAAACACACTACAAATGACAAAAAATTATTCAAAACAAGTTTTGCTTTTATTTTGTTTTGATTTTTCCTTCTGGGATTTGAAAAAAATTTCCCCTTAGGGCTAAAATGCAAAAGTGCTAAAGTTAGTGGGTGTTTGTGGGCTACAGTCCTGTATATCTCGCAGAGAGCAACATTTCTCCCACTCGGCTGCGTGCCTCTGCTTGAGGTCCTGGAATAAATTGGTCGTACTGCTACCTTTGGTTGTAACAGCTTTCAAACAAACTTTGCAGTGGGTCGTGGTTTGTTCGCTGTCGGACGCCACAAAACCAAACCAGTATCAAACAACTGACGACACTGTGCCTTTTTTGGGGACGAGCTCATCCTGGCTTGCTGCCATGTTGTGTGTATCTGTGGAGAGGCGGGGGGGGCAGCGCACTCTGACCTACGGCGGGACAAGTGGAGCGCCGGTGTTGTGGAAGTTCAAGAGAAAACCGATTTTAACTAAAAATAAATCGTAAACTACAAATTCAAATTAATCGATAAAATTGATTTATCGCCCAGCCCTACTACTCCCTAATACCATTTCCCATACGATAGTAATTTTTCCAAACCGCTATACCGGTGCAACTGCTGTAACTATTAAAGTCCTCTATAACGTTTTCCAACCGGGCACCGTCAGTCCAACAAGTGCCGAATGCCGATATATATTTGCACATGCATGTATGCTTTCTAACTGTCAGAGTAGATGTGAATCTCTATTTGCTGTCACTTCCTCTCTGATGCCCGACCTGCCTGTTGCTCCTCTACCGCTCCATGCTTCTCCTCTTTCGACCTGTCGTAACAGTCCTGATCCTCTGTGAATCACCTTGATATTGTATTCCCTGTTGTCAAACTAGTTGAAATAAACCTTTAATTCACTGCAGTTAGAGAGAAGTATAGAGAGAAGTTTTCCTTGTTCTTCTGCTCAGTGTGTGTGCTGCAGAGCGGCTGTTATTCTTCTACATTAAATTAGCTAAATAAATTCACAGAAATCGGCCCCAAAAAATGGCCCAAAAATGTGGGATCGGGTATCAGCGAGTATGCATGTCTGTGCACTGATTTTATATACGGTGTACTCCTGACAGTAAAGAAAGCCAATAAGCAATGCACTGCTGTGGCAAAGACAACTGATCACTTTCCATTTTCCAACTAGAAATAATTATGATGAATGAGCATGTTCACTAAAGAGGTAAATTGAGCTTGTCATAATTTCATATTGAATTTTGGAACGGGTAAAAGATATTGTAAGGATGTGCGCTGCATTGTAGTAATATAATTTAAGTAACATTATTGCTTCGCACAATCGTGTAACTAGCATGAGTTTGTGCATTCATTTAGTCTATATATAAATCTCGTAAATCAAGCCTTCATTTTCCCAGGGAATATCGTGCCCTGTGGCAGAGCATTGTGAAAACGAGGCTCAAAATGTGGATGTTGTCATTATTCCATAGCCATTACACCATTGTTGTGCAATCAACATTTACTTTATAATGACTAATAATCATGACTTTGTTTATTTGTACCAACATATCAACTTCATTATTTCATGAAGGGAAATAGTCACTAAGTCCTTTGGTTTGTGCTGTAACTGTAAGATGACTGTCAAGGTCAAATACTTGTGTCAATACATTATGCAAACACTCTGATTGGCTGCCGAACTTGCAGACTGACTGTGGCAGGCCCATCCCTCATGTCAGTCTTTGTCTCTCTAGCTCTGTCTCTCTCTCTCACACACGTACACACACACACTGTGTCTCACTCTGTTGACAACAAGATAGTGGGCGGGAATCCTGAATCACCTGGAAAACTTTAGATTTACAAAGTTTTCTAGGCTTGTTGCTTACATTAATGTAAGTATTATCATCATATTGTACCTGATTTATACCATTTGAGACATTTTCTAGGAAAAGAAGCCTGGTGTATTGAGTGCTAGACAATATTGTTCGTACATAATACAACAAGTGAAGTAGAAGTGATTGAGGGTTTTCTTGGTCAGTGCACTTCTCACTCTGTGTGACCTGGTTTCCCGTGTGTGGGTGTGGGTGTGTGTATGTGTGTGTGTGTCTGTGTTTTTTGCCTGAGGCTGAGATTTAGCCTGGAAGAGCCATTTGATTTCCCGGCCAGGGCCACAGTTCAGCTGATAACAAGAGCTACTTTGAACAGTGTTATGTCTGTGTGTGCATAGTTGTTTTTTAAGCTTTACTCACTGCAGAGACTGAATCATTCTTTTTGATCACGAGCCAGTGTGTATTTGTTAATTTTGAGATAATCCCAAAGAGCAGGTCTGCTATGTGGTTTTGGTGTTAAGAAGTCTGCCACTGCATTTGACATTTCTGTAAATTATAAGAATTAAATGCAGTCATGACAATAAACACTAAATGAACAGCTGTAGCACATCTATTTCAAACCTTACTTAAAGTCCTCATGCTTCCATTTTAAGTAAGCACAGTGTGGACATGCTATCCTGTTGCTAATTTCAGAGTGTTTTTAAATTAGCCTGATTGCAAGCACAGCTGTCTGTCATGTCCCCAGGCACATGGCTTCAGGATTTAAAGCTACACTGTGCAACTTCTTGCCTCGAGTAACCAAAGTGTTATGTTACTACTGCCCCCCTGACCCATAATTAGACAGGTTCATTCCCTAACATATGTCATATGTCAGTTTGTATCCTCAGATGACATCAGCCTTAATGCGACAGCTTACATCTGTACTGCCACAACATTACCTAAAGCAGCAGATAAAGAACACAGATGGTTTCCAAATAGAAAATTGATGTTTTTCTGTGTTTTTTTAATTGCGTTTTGTCAGCTGCACATCTAGTTTTACTACTCTCTAGTTTCTCATCACTCCCCTCAACTGTAGTAGTTGCCACGACTTGCCTATGGTACGTTTGCTAATCTCTCCTTTATAATTACGCCCAAACTCAGTGACAGGTTGGTGCCCTCAACAAATTATACATACCAAACTTGATTTGTGATTTCAGGCAATTAGGAATATAGGCATGTATATACAGGTTGACAGAAAAGGTGGCGTATTATTATGCTGTGGTATTTAATTATTCTTACCTTGAAATATAAAAGAAAGATAAAAAAGTGCCCATTTATGATTTGATTATGATTATGATTTGATTCCAAAAGGTTAGGGTTTCATTTCCATTTCAATTACAACACACAAGTTCACAAGACAGGGATGTTGCACATTGTCACATGTAGTGGCTAAAAGTTTTTGTTGTTTTGATATATCTGGTTGGACCTGTTAGTTAACTGTGACACACGCAGATAGTACAACAGAGCAATCAGAAACTGTAATCTGACACAATTGCTGATAGCATGCTGATAAAAACGCAAGCTTCTCCATTTTGCTTAGCTCAACTGCCGCAGAGTTTTCATACAAACATTCAAAAACGGAGGTGAAAAGGTTCCGCGTCGTATTTTGTCTAAGGTGTTGTGAGAAAACTTGTTCAGCATGTCAGTAGGTCAGCAATCGTCAGGTGTCTGCTCGTAATCAGCAGCATAGCTCCGGGCAAGCTGCTCCCATGTGTTACAGTTTCGGTCAGAGGTATACTGCGCAACTGACTGAAAGCTGAAATCCATTATTCACCTTTGAACTTGTAGTTAGTTTCGTAACTGCATGTCTGTGTCTTGTCTAGTGTTTTGGTTTTGTTTTGGTATTCATTGTATTTTGATAAGATAAGATAAATATTTTTTATATGCAAAACATCTGTTTTATGAATGACTCCACATCTTGTTTCCACAGTTTCCACCAGCCTTATTTTGCAGTGTCGATGTGCTACAAAAATGTGGTAGAACTGGTTTTCATCAAGTACTTTTCCACATTTTTCATGCAAAATTAAGTTTTTTATTAGCTGCATTATATTGTATATTAAATATTAAAGCCCATTTTGAATACAAAATTCTTCATGTAACCACCTTCACTGGCCTACTCCAATACTTCATTTTTACTAGACGTTTATTTGTTTCTGGGAAATTCTGATTCTTGGCATGCCTCCTATTTATTACTACAGGAGTGGCTCATTCTTTTCAAACTGTCTCAGCAACTCCAGTACAACATTACCCGTGGTTAATGCTGATTCAAAGTTCCATTGTAGTTGTGTGGAAGGATGAAAATTTCCTCATAGGTTATCGTTTTTGAGCTCTCAAATCAGTGTCCTTAAAGGCAACATCTGAGCTGCTTCTCATGAATGGAGCACTTGTCTGTTTCTGTCTGCGTGAATGTAGCACAGAGCCTTGAAAAGAGGCTGCAGACATCCAACACAGACACCTTGATATATATTTGTGTGTGTGTGTGTCCTCCCTATTTGTATTTCACGCCCTTTCACACGCACACACACACACAAAAACCCACACTAAATGTGTAGCCGATCCTCCCCCTGTGGGTCAGTCCCACATTCCAACTGTGGCCCACGCATTTTGGCAGGGAATTAAAGGCTCTAATTATGAGGTTTCAGGCACAAGTTTTGGGGATTTATTCATCGCTGGCCACCGTGACGACACCAGAACCACACAATTAGTATGCGTGCATGTTGTGGGTGAGTGTGTCTGTTATGGATGTGTTTCATGCGGGCGGGTTGCACAACTAGTCTCTGCCCAGCTCTGATTTCTACCATTGTTCTAGATTGGTAAGTGAAATTAAAGGTCCAGTGTGTAACATTTAGGAGGATCTATTGGCAGAAATGAACTATAATGGTCATAGGTATGTTTTTGTATAATTACCTGGGAATAAGAATGGTGTTTTTGTTCCAAGGCTGCCATGTTGAACCACCATAGACAGAGCGTTTTTTATAGCGAGTTACGCAGCCACCGTTGTTTCTCCTGCATGCTTGGAAGGAGAGAGTGAAGCCAGTTGGTAAGTTGGTTTGCAACTGCACCGCTAGATGCCACTACATCCAACACACTGGTCCTTTAAATCAGTCTTTTTCTGAGGTGTTGAAAAAGACACAACATTTCCTATTTCTTGTCGAGCTGTTTCATAGGCACCGTTCCCTTTTTCATGGCATTCTTCTGAGATTGCATATTTGGCTACTTTTATTTCAGTATGTGCTTTCTTTAAAGATGCGTATCTTGTATTTCCAGTACCATAAACGTCCCCAACACAGTCATCCCCCTCTTCTTCTTCTTTGGGTTAGACTAGACATATTGCTGCCATACTGGTTGTTATTAATGTTGCTTTGATAGTTATTTATAGTTTTTCTGTAGTCCAATACTTTACAGATATTCAGTTTTACTTAATCATTTTAGTCCAGTTATCCAGGTTGAGTGAAGTGCCTAGAGTAAGAACAGCCAGCTGCTCCAGCTGTCTTTGAACCACTTGTATAGCATTGCAACATCAAAGCATGTTGTTACATTTACCACTAATAACAGTTCAAATACGTGACAATTGCACACACTTCCTAAAATCCAAAAATACTTTGTCTCACCGGTCTCATTATTATTATTATTATTATTATTATTATTATTATTATTAAGTATTTTTTTGATTCCTTTATTAATAGTAGATGGTAAAGTGATGACAGGAGAGAGAAATGGAGAGAGATAGAGGAGGATTTCAAGGCAGCAAAAGATCCTAGTCAGATGTAAATGGAGGGCTTCTTTAAATTCATGGTTGTCGCCTTAATCCCTAAACCACCATGTGCCCCTGTTCGGAAGTTTGACATCACATCATAGAGAGCTGGCACTGAAACCATTTCATGATACCAGTTACGTTGCACCAATCCAACAGTTGTTCTTGTTCACCAGAAACTGTGTGTTTATGATGATTGATGATAAATGTGTGAGTATCTAGATACAGGATCTATTTTTTAGACCTCATGGCAGGCTGTTAATTATTGGTTCTTTGGTAGTGTGATGATAATATGACTTGAGGTTTTCTCATGGAGTTAATCCAAGACACAGCATTGCTGAAGAACTCACTTCAACCTCTGAGAGGTCCAAACACACACATTTATTAAAATATACCAATCACATAACATGTCCTATACTTCATACATCATCTTAGGAAACGGGGATAAACGTACTGTTTATAGTATTTTATTCTTATTGCCCCAGAAAGTTAGTCGTTTTGAAGTGTTTTTCCTTCCCCCTTAAATTTTGTATTTGTTGTTTCAGTTGTTTCAGTCACAATGGCTCAATCTCTGTGCAGTGATTTTAGTTGAATAGTTATAGATAAGAAAGCTGATGTGATGAAAGATGATAGTGCGGAAGGAACTGAGAGAAAATTGGAATTTTTTAAAAGTTAGTCAAATGTATTTCTCATGTGTCTTTGAGTTTGTTTTTGTATTTATAGTATAGTCTTGAACATTTAAGCTTTCTCACCCTATCCTCTTCGAATAGGCTTTAATGGCACGAGAGTTGAACATTTATTTTATTGTGAACGAGCTTAAAAATGACTTGTAAAAACCAGGTAAATAATTATGGGTCTGTTTTCTCTCTCTTTGTGTCTCTCAGGACCTGCAAGTGGATAACTATGCTACAGATACATGTCAGGACCAATCAGAACAAGCGCCCACAGGCACACACATGGCCTTGTAAGCTGTGACTGTGAACCTTACTATCAAGGAAATTCCCCAGTCCTCCAGGGTCACCGTGGGTTTTCTATCTGCTGGTTTGTACAGCTGCACAAGCTTCTGTTTCCACAACACGCATACAAAACACACACAGAGTACACTCTGTATGGACGTGCTGTCTTAGTTACTCGAGAGGTCACTGGAAGCTGGAAGTTATTATTTACCCCAGCACATACCTATGACCATGATGGCACGCTTAAATTAAAAACGTTTGGGTCTGTTGTGTAGCATGACCTGAAGTGGATCTCTCTCATCATCATCATAGTAAGTATTTTGAGCTGCACTAAGATAAAGAAGGTTGATATTGATGTTAGTGATAATTGTATTATGTAAGTCAATCATCATTCAATCGATCAATCTAACTTAAACAGAGTAGATGTTTTTGAATACCTGGGAGAGAAGGGCGCAAATGCTCCATTCAGGGAGAACTACACTCACTATCATTAGTCATCTAGACCAGTTGAGTTATAAACATGAGAATGCTGTCACCTTACATAATATATAGGTTTTGAAGTCTGCAAATTTCATTTCCTCAGCAAATTTCATTTCCTCTCGCTGCCCTGTGGAGCCACTAATTGAGATGGAAGATGTCGCTTCTCAAACGTTACGAAGTCTTAGAGAAATGTATTTGGCTGATGCTTGCATCACAGATTACTTTAAATGCAATATATTTTAGATAAATAAATAAATAACAAACACAAGGCAAATTCTGAAGTTCTTCTAAATGCTGTTAGGTTAGATATCTCCTGCTTAACTGTCATCAATTGTTTTCAAAGCTGCAGCAAAACAAAGGATAAAGCGGGAAGCTCCAGGGATGGCTACTGAAGAAAATCAGACACAGGTCGGGGCTGCAGTTCTGGCTCAGCGTGCTTCACCACCGTCTGCTGGGAGCCGACCCAGCAGGGAATCCAGACATGCAAGTAACAGCCAGGAAGTACAGCGACACTCTGACCAATTGTGGCAGTCAAAACAGCGGAGCAGCCCTTCCCTCCTCTTATATAGGAAGTTGTCATGTGACAGTGGGAAAGGGACAATTTTGGACGAGGAATCTGAGTGTTTGGATTACAGCTCAGAAGTTTTGAGGACTGAAGAGAAACTCTATCCAGAGCCTCCGGCTGGCAAAAGAATTGAAGGACTAACTAACACGGTTACTCCAATACCTGGGAAAAGTTCAGAGGCATCTCCATGCCAGCTGGACACCTCAGGAGAGGGTGTGGATGCAGGCAGAAACAGAACTGGCAGCACCCACTGCTCCTGCACCATGTCTAGCCTTTACATGAGTCCAAACATCTACTGTTGCCACAGCCCCAGATCCAGTCCAAGCCCCAGCTCCAGCCCTGTTCATAGCCCTCTCATCAGCTCCAGACCCTCTCGGCCCAAACAGCGACACATCCGCCGCAGCAGCCTGCCTGTGTCTATGCTGGCTTTCCACAAGGTAATAAAGGAGGTTGCTAGCAAATTGTGTACATTTGGCTGCAGCACCAAGGCTGAGTTATGTGCTCTAAAATGCTTGTTTTTTTGTTCAAGATGAGAAAACATCACAGTGTTTACATTGTGTTTACATACAATGGTTTGCCCATTCAAAGCACTTCTAATTCAGCTCTACTGAAACATAATTAAGACTGTTTTAATTTGCTATGTTTTCTGTTTCTAGACATCCCCCTACCTCTCACCTTGGTGCAGTCCAGCCAGTGAACCAAACTCTTTGGTGTCCTCTCCCTGTAGTTCCCCCTCTGCCAACCACCGCCAGCATCACCAAAATGGACACATCCACCGGCACCACCTGAAAGATGGCTACTCAAGTTTAGAAAGGCTCAATCGAAGGCCCAGGGTTAACAAATGCTCCCTGGAGAAACTATTCCTACGACGGGCATCTCTAGAAACCATGACAACAACCCTGAGGAACAAGGAGAGGTCATCCTCTCGAGTGGCCAGGAACTATAATGGGGGCAGCAGCAGTGATGAGGGCGATGGAGAAGGTCTCTTGGATAGCACAGAGTTTATTAGGAACCGTAAAGCGCGATCCACTGTCCTGGTGAGGCGTTTCTTCAAGAATAATCAAAAGGTATTTATATGCAAGATGCCTTTTCCCTTTGTATCTTGAACAGTTGTGTGTATTTTGAGCTGTTTTTTTGTTTTTTTATCACTCTTGACAGTATTAATTTATAGTATGCTTCTAAACAATGAGACCTGCTGATATACTTTCCCTCTCTCCAAAAGGTGACCAAGTCAGTGTGTACTGGAACCAGAGCAATTGTCAAGACACTGCCGTCTGGACGCATCTCAGAGGCGGTCTGGGAGGTGGTTGTTTATCGCAGGACACGTCGACCCAGCAAGAAGGATGTATGGCCAATCTTAATGCGCAATGGGGGAAAAGAATTAAGAGTCTACAGGGAGATACTACGTCTTGTTGGAGTTAAGCTACAGCAGGTAAGATAATGAATACACAGACTCTATGTATGAATTTCATAAAACTGCCTTTTAATTGCAGCACTCACATGTGCTGTACAAGTTGATGAAAACATAGAATCAGGCCAGCAATGCAGTGAACTTGTCAGGTCTTGGATAGTTCTTTCACACCCAGGCTACTGTTAACACTCTCCTGTTAAGGGAGAACTTTACCAGTGCATCTCAGAAGGATTTCGAATAAGTCTGCAGTGTTAATCAGTGCAATTATACATGTTTTCCATAATCATCCTAAGCCAAGGGTTATTAGAGTTGCCTTTTTACAAGTTTAGGAAATATGTTGCAGTGGGAACTATTCAATCTTTATTGTGTTCATGGCCTTACATCACTGGCGTTTTGCTTTATAATGACATGGAATTTCCACAGATGATAAGGCATTGGGTTTGTATGTGGTTTGGCTTTTGAAGCAATCGTTTCTCTCCCACAAGAAAAAGTGTGATACTCAAAAGCTGCAGTTGTATAAGTTTTTATCACTTGATTGATTTTTGGTTCAACGGAGAAGAATTGTTCTTGGCTTTTGCTTTCCTGTATTTGGGTTGAAATGTTATGCCTGTTATGCTTGAAAGATGAATAATTTGTTGAAGGAATATGTTAATAGACCAACACACACATCCTAAGAAATACATACACACAGGCTCTTTGTTCAGGGTAGGCCCTGCTGCGGAAAAATGATTTATTCTCTGTTAGTTCTGCTCCCCATTTTACTGACAGACTGACTGAATGACTGAGCCTTCTGTGTGTGTGTGTGTGTGTGTGTGTGTGTGTGTGTGTGTGTGTGTGTGTGTGTGTGTGTGTGTGTGTGTGTGTGTGTGTGTGTGTGTGTGTGTGTGTGTGTGTGTGTGTGTGTGTGTGTGTGTGTGTGTGTGTGTGTGTGTGTGTGTGTGTGTAAATGGACTGAGCAGAGTTGGCATCTTAAAGTTACAGCCATGGAAATTGGAGAGAGGGTAAATGAGCAAGACAGAGTGAGAAAGAGAGATGGAGGACGGAGGAAAAGAGAATGAGAGAGAGAGAGAGAGAGAGAGAGAGACGGACCCGGGACATTGCTGTGTTATTATCTAGTTTCCAAGCAAGAGAAGGTTTTTTTTTTTTAAACATGAAAACCTCTCGCAGGAGCTGTTTAACTTAAGCAACCTTGGCAGCCACAACTAAACCTTTCAATAGAAGGCATTTTGTCTGTCATAAGTCATGCTTTTCAGTGTGGGGTGAGCAAACATTACGAGAGCCTGTGAAGACGAGGAATCAGCTGCATCACACAGGATGCTCTCCTGTTTGGTTTTGTTATCGCATCCCACCTCTTCCTGTAAAAACTCAAAACACATGGAGACCAAAACGTAGTTCCTTGAAGACACATACGACCAAGTTTATTATATATTTTTTCTGCTATGTGTAGCTGTTGCTGTATGGCAGTAGTACCAATACGTACTGTATATTTGTAAGCTAATTATTGGATAGATATAAGATATCGGTTTCTTTGCAGGTCAACACCGCATCATATTCTATTCACCATGTTTACTGCAACCTACTGTCATTTCCAGTCTGTCAGCCACCTGCTGGCTTTTGTAGAAATTGTGTGTAATAATAGTTTCCACAGGATTGTATTGTAATAGACAAAAGGAGAAAAAGTGAGTGCTTGGACTTTAATAATACCTAATTTCTCCAAATCACTTTTCCAAACTACTATTAATTCAATCCCTGCAGGTATTGAAAGAGGAGGAGCGTCTATGCAGGCTCTTTTTGATGTATTATGTTTTTATGATGGGATTCTGACATGTGCACAGTTGTACTGTATGTATGTATGTATGTCTGTGTGTGTGCATAACATGCATGGATATGTATTTGTTTTTTTTAATGGGTTCATGCGTACCCACAACAGAGCCAAGTACTGTCTAAAGTTTTTCACATGCGGAGGGGGCCATACACACACACACACACACACACACACACACACACACACACACACACACACACACACACACACACACACTCATACTCATGTGCATGCTGCAGTGTGGTTTCTGACTTTGCCAGAATGTTTTTATGAGTCCTTTGTGGTTGTTTAAATACGGGCTGAGTTAAGTCCAGGCAGAGCTGCTTTAATAATGAGCCTATTGAAAATGGGGGAGTCGCCAGCACTTCCCTTGTCAAAACACCATCTGAGCTACTCCTGTAAGGGGTCACCACAGAAACTCTGAGAACACTGAGCAGCAGTGAATAAGTAGAGCTGTAGCGGAGTTGTCATCAGGATCATAAAAAGAAACGAAAAAAATGGGACCACATGCCATTGCAAACAAATGGGAGTTATGCAGTCAAAAACTTCTGTTAAACAATGGAAGATCAGGGAGTATACGAAATTCCAAATCTTAAAAGGTCTTCTGGTCGCACAATTGTAAATGATTACGTAATTTGTATTCAGTATGCTTGCATGTACAGTATGTTTGAATGATTTCATGCATATAGTACATACTGTACTTTGTACTTCTTCATACATGCACACAACAAAAAAACAACAAACAAAAGAAACCTAAACCAGAACCCTGTTCCTGTCTGTCTCTACTCCCTTTTATACACACACAACCATACTTTATGGTTTACACAGAGACCCCCTATATATGTGGCATGTAAGCCTGACTCTGCAGTAACCATGTTGAGGAGTTTTCTGGAGGTATCCTGTGGCCCTGTGTGTTTATTGCTACAACTAATGAAGCGAGCCAAAGAACACAGGATTATATGAAGGAGGGATTGGAGCAGGGCAACAATGAGAGAGAGAGAGAGAGAGAGAGAGGGAGAGAGAGAGGGAGAGAGAACACACTAGGCGAGAAAAAGGGAGAAAATGAGATTTTAACAGTGGAAAAATAAGACAATCTACCATGGAGGAAAAGTGAGAAACAAGGGGGGTTCATGCATGGACTATTTGAGGGAGAATAGGGAGATCAAGAGAGAGAGGAAACAAAAAGACAGAGCGAATAACTTAAGGGAGGGGAAAAAAGAGTTTTGCATTGGCAAGTATTATTCATAGAAAACCACAAATGCTATACATTGTTTTAAATATTATAAAAATATTTCAAGTTTCAGAGTAGGACAAAGGTTTGTGTGGGAGCTTTGTTTTTCTCTCATCTATAATACTGTATTTTTCATTATTATTTCTTTTCCCTTTGTCTCTTTGTGTGTTAATTATATCCATGCAATGATCAGTAAATAGGAAGTTTAACACAAAATAAGGAAGTGTTTTATTACTTTGCGCAGGTTTAATGGTGAAACACACACACACACACACACACACACACACACACACACACACACACACACACACACACACCTGGTGGTAGGGATGAAACAGTCTCTGCAGCCAGAAGAATTTTATTCTTTTCCTTTGTGTAGTCTACCAATTAGTGCCCTGCTGAGTCCTTTCATTCAACTCAGAGTGGTTTCAGGCTAAGTGGTAAGTGACCATGCACACCTTCGCACAGACACAGACACACACACACACACACACACACACACACACACACACACAGAGGCAGGCAAAGACATGTGGGAGTGCGGTTGAGAGATGGGTGCTTGTAAATACATCGTCTTCCCATTCCTGGGGATGCAAATAGTCTTCAGGGACAGGAATACATTCTTCCCTCTAGGGACGGTCTGCGCTTTCCTGTTTCCCTCAGTGTGTCTTGTCATAACTGGACTTAAAGCCAGAATGTTGCTAGTTCAAATCCAGGAATATCTGCGCTGGGAAAGTGTATCTTACTAAAATGCTCCTTGGGACTCATGTTTTTATATTTGCTTGCTTGTATCTTGGACTTACTGTATTTTCTAATACATCGATTGTACTGTTGGTCCAACTGGCAGTTTCATGCCCATTTGTGCTTCGGAGGGACTCCAACTAGTCACCTGAAACTTTGAACACCTTGTGTTGCGTTTTCCAACATTCAGTTTCAAAGTTTACATTTTTCCAGACAATCGAGTTCCTGAGTAATGGTGCATATTGATGCATTTTGCAATTCTGACCTCTTGTTAGTAACACACTCTTTATAATTTGCTCAATGCTGAAATTCCTAATCATAAAAGACTTTGTGTGTAAGTGTCACTCATATTTATGAACTGACTGATGATCTGACACATTCTGCCTTTTACCTAAAATACCATTGAGACGGGACTTTCATATGGGCTGTTAGTCACACGGGAGGTTATCTATCATCTGTCATTACTTTGCATGACTATGACTTCTTGTATGTCTCTTGTTATAGTTTTATTTATTTATTTTATTTTTCATGGTAGGCAGATTGCCATTTAAAAGCACATATCGCCAAAACATGTCTGTTAGGTTTGATTCACAAAAACAACAGTCCTGACTGTATGCATAATTTCCTGTCAGGGTGGACTGATAGAGGGAGAGAGGGAGGCACACATGCACACTTAACTTTGTTGGTTACTCAATCTCCCGTGTGGTTGATTTGCTGTTGGTACAAATCATAGCAACACACACACACACACACACACACACACACACACACACACACACACACACACACACACACACACACACACACACACAACAGACAGGATATCCCTATTCCTCTTTCATTTTTTCTTTCAGTTTGAAAGTACAAATATTAGATTGCTTTTGATGTTGAAGTAGCAAAGACAGCCGTCAGTCCTCAGCACTGTCTGTTGAAGAAGTTGGTCTGTAAAATGTTGTTATAGTAGAAGTTCAATTACAGAGTGAATGCCTCTTCAGTCAGTAGTTGCAGTCGACTAAAGGGAAATTGCGGCTCCTGAAATATCGAAGTAAGCTAATTTTCTGCTTTCTTTGTAACAAATGACAACATTGAATTTTGGCCCAAACACAATTGTGATGCCCCATATTTCAATGAAATGAGAATGTTTTAAAACACGATTTTAAAAAATGTGACAACCATCCATATGGCTATGGCTTATGTCAGTATGCGTTTTAAGGCTAAACTGCC